AGGCTCAGAGTCGCGATGAGAGCTCGGTGGGCTTTGAGCGTCCAGGTGAGCCAAAGGTGAGCCCAGCACAGAGGTGTTGATCACACAGCGTGACGTCACGCGCCAAACAGTCAGCGACAGTCACATTGCTCCGAGTCACCTATATTGCCCCTATACTTCTTCACAACTTCAAGTTATGTGTGTTCCACCTTCCACCGTCGGACAACCTTGTCACTTCCTGGCCACCCATGCTGGAACCCATTGGTCAACAAGCCCTCGATCTTCCCAACGAAGTTTTACTACATGTTTTCCACTTCTTCCCCTTAGAGGCACTCATCATCGGGCGAACAGTATCTCAAGATTGGAGGCGGTTGATACCACTTGCTGATATTTCTCCCATACGTCGGGCCTTCCTTGACTTCTACCTCACGCTCGTCAGCTCACCGATCTTTCCACAAACCCGCCCTTGGGTCCTTGCTAACCTCCAGCCTTTCGACCGCCAAGCGTATATCGATGACCTGATGCGCCAGCATCCCTATGTTCCAGAGGCCTTTCGCGTCTGGATCTTAGAGTGGCCAGCGCGGGCAGTGATTGGGTGTGTGTGGCCAGGCTTGCCCAATCTCTACTCTAGACGCCCCTGTGTGGATGATGTCCACCGAATAGAGGGAACAAACTGGCTGGCGCCAGTACCTCCTACGGTCTGTGCCATACCATTTAAAAACTGTACCCCGGAAGCCGAATTCATTCCTGCGCTCTCCATCTTCTACGGCAACGAATCTACCATCTAGCTCATGCTTGACGAGAGAGATACTCTTCGGGACAAGGTTTATACTTTCTTTGAAGGTGGTAATGAGCTTTGGGAGGAGGATGGTTCGACGGAATGGGATGTCATTGATGCGGACTGGATCGGGTGGCAACGACGGACGTGGGACAACGTCGAAGCGGCGGCGAGGGAAAGAGCCCAGAAAAACATACCAATTCTCCAGCTTGAGACAATACCACCAGACGTACCTTTCGTCGAGTGCTGGTATTATACTAAAAATTTTCGGCGTAATCAACTTCAAGCACATCCTTGGGAGCAGAGGGATGATCCCGAGGTGCGGGAAGCTTTGTTCTTCGAAGACGTGTGTTCCTTTTCCCCTCTATTACGCCTAGAACTTATGGAAACATCTTATTACAGACTAATGCAAGAAATCTTGGGGAATTGATCAGGGTCGATATCCTCCTCCCTCCTATCGAACCAATGATGCCGACTAACTAGAAATGTCCCGAAATGTCCCAGTTGAATCGTCCCTTGTAAATTAGCTACGTATCTGCATGTAGCAGAATTTTATTGGGTTGAAGGCCTCCAATTCGCCGATGAGTGGGATTCGACATGGTTGTCCGCAGGCGCTTGACGGACATCAGAGGGTGATAAAAACAAGATGCCGAGTTTGCGACTCGCAAGCAACGAAGGATATACAAAAGTGTTGCTCGCCACGTTGGCTTTCGCAGTATTAGGCAGGATTCACATACCCCAACGCGCCACGCACGAAAGAACGGTGGACAAGACTCGTCGAATGCACATGATGAAGTCTGCGCACGATGCTATGGGGCACACTGGAATAACTCAACCGCGAATTTATACAGCGGTTGACCTGCATTGCGGTATCTCGCGACATCAGACTCAATCGTGACCGTGCAAGTCATATATCTCAAACACATATACCAAACACACATACCGACACCGGCGTCGATGTACAGGACAACATTGTTACAAAAGATTTCAAGAAAAGATACTGCGCACTCCGACGCGCTTAGACACCAAGAGTAACGGGGGTGCAGCCGATGACAACGAGCCCGGACTAAAAAGTTCATTCAAATAATAAGAAATTAATGAATAGGCGGAGAAACGACGGGGGACACCCACGAAGTTGTTGTTTTGGCAGCAAACGGGCTGAGCGGTGCACATGCCACCAGTGCCGACACCGAGGAAGTTGATAGAGGTGCAGCCAGACCCAAGGAGGGCAGTAATGGGGTCAACGACGATGCCAAGGAGGGCGAGGAGGGGGGCGATGATGCTTCCGTTTGCCTACGCGACAAGAGTGGATCGTCAGGATTTTTTTTACAAAGGAAAATGAAAATTACTCACAGCCTGGGTGTTATTGCAGCACCAGAGAGCCCCGGTGTTGCATTGGCTTGCGGGAGGAGGGGTTTGAACTGGCGCGTACTGGAGACAAACGGTGAGGTCAAGTCAGTTCAGCCTGCGAGTCGCCACTAAAGTATAATAACGCATGGTGGTGACGGTAACGGTCTGGGTGGCAGACACGGCAGCGCCAGAAGCAAGAAGGACGAGAGCGGTAGAGAGACGAGAGAACTTCATATTTGTTGAATGTGAGGGATCGATTGACTTGTGGGCTGTTCGAATGAGGAGACTGAGGCAACTCTGGAGAGACTTTATACCTCCAGACCAAGGTCAGTGCGCACTCACATGGTAAAACTCAGGGACTCACTTTACACATGAAATGGTCATTGGAACATCGATACTTGATTTATTCCCATCGGTCCTTGGAACCTGCAATAATTGCAGAGCGTAGACTTGTGAAGTATTGGCCAAAATAGGAATATTTTGAGGAAAAAATAATACTGAAGCCTTGAGAAAACCGATTGGCTCATTTGTCCGAGTCTCGGTAGCTGCCAGCGTGCGAAACGAAGATAGGAGCGCGTGCGCTAGTGAACTTGAAGCACTGATATGTAGTAATGAAAATTGTCAAGCTTTTGTTGTATGAACTTAACGTTCTTTTCTCCCGGGGGGACAATCGCAGGTTTGCCAGATCTCGGAGCAAAAGCTGTGACAGTGGAAGTCCGATCAAGAGCCGCAAGGATCATTCTTAGATTTGTTTGTAGACCGTCAACGATTGAACTGCTCGAGCAAATTCAACGGAGCCCACTAGAGGTCCGATGGCTCAGCGGGTCATGAATGCTTTTTCACCGTTAAAACAAGAAGATACCTGACCCTATACCAGGATATGTGAAAGACAGCGTGGCAAAAACGACATGTATCATCAGGCGGAAATTCTTTGAACCACACTGATTGCGAACCGTGTTTGCTGCCTGAAATGATTAACTTCGCAATTCAAGAGGATGACAATGCGGTCCGATGATACAAGACTCTCCAAGTCAAGGCCATCGAGAGCTTGTCGAAAATGCCGTATTGAGTGTCAACTGACCCATAGGGACTCGAATCGGCACGGTTGGGATACTTCAAGTGCAATACCACGGGTGCCGCATGAGAATCCGCCCCTCATTTTCAGTAAGCGAGCTGGGGGTATAGTGACAGCTGCACGAACGTGGTCGATGGGGGTAAACAATTATTGTCTCATGCGAAGAAGCCTTTGCTTCTGAGGATGCTCTGAGCTGATCTACACCAGAAGGTCGATACACGTCAAGATAACTGTGCCTTGGGGTATAGCCATGGTGGGCACTTCCCAGATTGAATCGTAGACGGATGTAAAGAAGCTGGAATCTGGCCCTGAAATTCATCATCGCAGTCAAATCCCAATTTGATCCCAATGGCGCTGGGAGAATAACATACCCATTGGATTTTTGAAAATTTACCAGTTGTAGCCAAGTACGCCTTTCGTCGTGACAGCCTGGTCTATTCCATGGGCCCGCGTTACAAGGGATTTGAGAATCGGCTATATAATGCGCTGCGTCCAATGGTCGAGAGCCGACTCGGGAAACACGTAGGGTCATTTTTGTTTGAGAGCTTTCAGATGCACTGATTCAGGCGGCCGTACGGTGGCGGAAAAACCCGGGCTGTCCATTCAAGTTCCCTTTGAATTTCCACAACCACATTCGCAGATTTAGAGAGCAGCCAGTATGAAGCATTGACACTGGCGCGATGATTTTGATTTTCGGATCTGATTGGTTTCGAATTTCGGAGAATTCCCATAAGTTTCCCACTGAAGATGTCAGTTTCGGCGATCAGAGTCGCGATGAGAGCTCGGTGGGCTTTGAGCGTCCAGCAGGGTAAATCGGGTCCATTCGTGATCAAAATTCAAGGAACGCTAGCGAGCGCCGCCAGGTTTTCGTTAAGGTGGCAGTTAGAATATACTCCATAAGAAGCGTTAGTGCCAGTTTCATGTTAGAAAGTTAGCGGAAAAGGGAGAGGATTAGCTCACATAACAACGTCTACAAGTTCAAGGGCATGGTTGTTAGACCGCCATCGGGACTCATCGGGCCGACATACATGCCAGGACATGGGCTGCCTGGTATAGAGGAAATTTGCCTGGAAGAATTACGAAACTCATGTAAATACTGGCCGGAAGCCTATGTATGATACCAATATATTAATTGTGGTTCTCAAATGTTTTTGGGTTCGAAAAAATACACTGAATTGGCTCAACGTGCTTGGGTTATTTTTCATGGACGACCTGCCTGGACCGCCGATCTCGGGGTTGCCAGAGGAAACTATATTCAAAGAGAACAATTCGGTCTATCAATTATGATCTTCCGACATCAGGAAGCTACTGCCCTTGCAGGTTCGAGAATTGCTTCATGATTCTCTTTTCATCGAATCAGAGGTCGGGGAAGTTCACGGTAAAACAAATGTTCATATTTCCAAACACAAAATGGTACAAAATATTTACAAGACTCGGGACTACTAGGACTTGGGAGGGAAACTCAAGCCGTATTATCTGAGGCTGTAGGCGTGTTCCAGCTGTATAGAGAACATTGACCTAAATCTCTACCGCCGACATGGCCCAACAACAAAGAACTACCTAAGCGCCAAGGGTGACGGGGGTGCAGCCAATAACGACGAGGGAGGCCTGTTGGGAACCATGAGAAATGAACGTACTAACTTGTAAAAATGATAAAAATCTTACGAAGTTATTGTTCTGGCAGCAGACGGGTTGGGCGGTGCACATGCCTCCAACACCAACGCCAAGGGCGTTGATGGAGCTACAGCCGGAACCAACAAGCGCACTGATGGGGTCAACGACGATGCCCAACAGCGCAAGGAGCGCTCCGACGACGTTACCGTTGGACTAAAAAGTTACGGTTGTGATGAGCATATTGTGGTCTTGCAGAGGCGTTTCATACTTACCGACTGCGTCTCGTTGCAGCACCAGAGAGCGGAAGTGTCGCATTGGCTGGCGGGAGGTGGGGTTGGGACCGGGGCGTACTATCGGAAATAAAGGTAAATTAATGGGGGTATCTAGGACGACAGGAGAAGGCTGGCGTACGGTGGTGACCGTGACAGTCTGCCAAGCAGAAACGAAGGTCGTGAGGACCAAGAGAACAAGAGCGGTGGAGATACGAGAGAACTGCATTGTTGTTATGAAGGTCGGTGAACTGAGAGTTTTCGACTGAGGGATTGGGGATCTTAGTAGGCCTTTTATACCCCTCTCGTAGGGTTTTCACGTCTCTTCAAGGAAGAAAAGAGCTGAATAAATTTGGATAAATTATCCAGCTTGCTGGTTTGTAATATCCATTGCATTACGCAGGGAAAACACAAGAACCCACGTTCTGCCACGTGTAAGGCGCGGAGCGACATACCATTCGGCCGCTCCAAGTACGCTAAGGGGCAAAGTAGGGGTTTACGGGTGGTGGGTAAAAAAAGATATGTCACGAGCACAAACTTTTCATCCGCCACGCGAGTTAAGCAGATGGCCGCCCGGAAGTACACGCCGTATCTGAAGAAGCTGTTAAAAATGTATCTCTGCAGGAACGAGAAGAAGCCTGCCTTCGAAGTGATCTAGTTTGTGTGATCGGAATATTGTCAGATCGGCCGAAGTGCGCAGGAGAGGGGACTTCTTCATAATGATTTCAACGAGGAGCGCACTAAAATGAATGCGATACAGTAAGGCAAATACAAGAGAATAAATAATTCCATAAAATAGCCAAGGGTATACTGCTGGCAAATGGGGTCCATTACGACCCGTCGAGAGATCACCACTGTCGCTTCTTCGTCGCCTTCTTGGTCTTGGGCTGGGCAGCCGCCGCGAGTTTGGCCTTGATCTTGGGCTCGCAGGTTGAACAATACCACTTCTCTGGTGTCGGCTGCTTCATGCCGACACACGTGAGATGGAACTAATGCTAACGTCAGGAAAGAAGAGACACGTTTGACCAAGAATGCAAAACTGACCCATTCGAATGGGCAATCGCCCTCATTGTCACAGGCAATCATCTGCATGATCAAGGTAAGCTTCGGAGCGAGGGGAAAGTAGGGCGAACGACTCACATCGCCGTAGCTTTGCTTCTGGCAGAAGCAGTAGAGCCTCTCGTCCTCCCCTTCGGCATCCTCCCCTTCAGCGTCCTCTTCACCCTCTGCGTCCATGTCGACATCTTCGACAGCCGGCGGGTGTATTTGGCGGGAGAGCCTCGATCGTTGGTGTGCAGTCGCGTGGGAGGAGTTCGCCACCGTCGTTGGCGAAGCAGACCTGTGCTTTGTGGGAGAAGCAACCGGAGAAATCTTGACTGACGTTGTGGTCGTTATACGGCGCCCTGAAAAAGGTTGTCAATGCTAAGGTGTAAACGCCCAGAATAGAACACTCACTCTTAGTGGCACTACTTGTGGAAGCCAAAGCAGTTGTGGAAGGCGTTCCCGGGGACTGCCGCACCTCCACCAACGGAGTCGCGAGGGCATTTCGCAAGCTCTCGCTAATGGCTTGCGCAGGATTTCGCCCTGCGGTCGTCATCGAATCAAAGCTGGAAAGTGGTGTTGCCGATATGGGTTTGAGCCCTCCACTAGGAACGTACTCCACGCCAACGTCGCCTTGAAGTACCCTAACTTTGTTGAGGTCGCTGTCAAGTCGAACACGCGTCCTTGTAATGAGATCTATCAGCCGTTGGGCAAGATCGCGTTTCTCGTTCGCGAGCTCCCGCAGCTCTTCGTATGAAGACGTTATCTTGTCCGGTATAAGACTGGACTTCGGTGAGGGTGCCCGCGAAGTTGGTGAGGGTGGCACTGAAGATGATGCGCGTAAGGAGTGGCGAATGTATCTCGCTGAGTCTTTGTCGATTTCCTGCTGAAGTTCTATAACGACATGAGGCGAAGATAGAGACTTTGATAGAGTTACTCTTACCTTGTGACCTCATCTCTCTGTGTCTGATCTCCTGTAGAAGATGAGATACCTCATGTGGTAGGTTGTCGATGCCTAAAATCGTTAAGTGGTCTTCACTGGAGAACCATGGTTACCCACTGTAGATGAACTCCGAGGCAATGTTGGCAGCCTCTTCTACATTGGGCGCAAGGGCGGCCATATTGAACACTAGGATTGATAGCTGCGAATTGGTCGTGGAGGAGATGAATTGCTCGCTGACTGGACAGTACAGTATACTCACTGTAGATTCGCAGTGTCACATGTGACTCAGGGCCGGAATCACGTGTGGCTATGGAAGTTGTGAAACAAAGACAGTGGGCAAATCTTGGGAAGACATGGATAGTTTAGCAGTTTGATAACTCAGGATGTAAAAATGCGTTTTGAACCACCTCCGAAGCATTTCTGGCTGATGATGTCTGTGGAGAATAGCCGATACGGTTCGTATGCCAACCAGTGGTCCAGTGCATGGCTGATGACGACTTCACGGGGGTTTCTAACTCTCATTGCTATCTAAGTTTGCTATTTTATCTTGTGCCTGCATTCCCGAATCCATAGCGTGAAGATATGTAGATCATCCATTGGACGCAAAAAGCGTGCAGCTTCCTATTTACAGAAGTGTAACATGTCAGGGTCTTTTGACATAGAGTACTCTTCGATTCGGCCCCAGACACTTTGACAGGCGATGTTACTGCCAATGAATATAAGAACACATGCCTCAGTTCAACCAGGCTCTCATAACGCTGAACACGACCAATAAGCTCCACACCTATTTTTCGACAGCTTGGAAATGCACGAAAACACAACTCAAGTAGGGCGGTCGGGTGCAGGAACTTCTCTCTCGCCGCAGTCAGCCTTGCTGATGAAGTTCACGGAGGTGGTTAGCAGGGCGGGCTCTAGCGCCACTATCCGCCATGACTGGCTGGGGAAAAATAAACTGCTGGTCCGTTCATTTTTTCATGACAGACATCACAATGCCCGATGCTACCGTCGCAATTATAGCCATGTTCCAACTGTGCTAACAAAAAGAAATCGTGCACCACTGCTCGATCTCCGCGCTGCAAAGGGTGCCAACGCTCGAAGGAAAAGTGTTCAAATTACGCACTTTTCCTTATTGACCATTCGGCGGATGCCCTTGGTATTTCCCGAGAGCAGGCAGCAGCGCTGCTGCTAGCGTACCGTAACTCGAAAGTCCCCATTGTTGTGAAATCTGAGGAGAATGATGCTGATGAGCGGGATCGGGATTTAGCGAGAGTGAAGCTGATACTCAAGGTTCAACTGATCCGGTTGTTCAGCAATGTGACGAAGATCAAGATAGGGAGGAAACTGAACCGACTCACCAAGAAAGAGTGCCGAGCCAGCATAGAAGGATCGCTGACCGGCTGGCATTTTCGTCAATCAACCACTGCGTCGTCTCGTTGGCGGACATCAAATCCGCACAGGAGGCGATGGCTTGCGTGAATTTGGTGGAGTTAAAGTATCTGGTCGGGGCTGACGAGAATGACGAGGGATTGAAAACGGAAATCGCAGAATTGCAAAACCTCGTCGAGAACTCCCGTCATGTGAAAGGAATTTTGGCAGAGCTGGATGCGGGAAAGGAGTTGGCACGGAAGGAACGGAAAAGAAGAATCAAAGTCGAGAAGGATGCGACCGCAAAGAGCGCCAGGATCGTCGAACTGGAGAACCAGGTGGCAGGTGAGCTATACTTGTTTTTCCCTGGTCAAAATCTTTCACCCGAAACTTTGTCCCTCAGAGCTTCGCGGAAGGCTGTCGAATATAGAAGCCAGCTACAAAGCCCGTGCTGACCACCTGACGCAAATTATTCAATCAGATTTAACTGCACATGCGGAGGAGCCAGATAAAGGATCAGAGACGAGAAGCAGAGTACGCCGGAATTTGGGCAGCTCAGAGGCTGTCAGGAAACGCATTCGAAGCGTTGCTGACGAGAACTCATGAGGATATATCCTGGATATCGACGAAAGCCTTCACATCTTGAGTTTTTCTCATTGGAAATTTTTACGCGCCTAGTCTCTGTATGTATACAGGCCAGTGTAATTCATTCATTCTCGATTGCAAGCCGACCGAGTCCTGACGAAGCCTGAAGGTTTGATCATAAACATTATGGGACGAGGTGGAGAGCAAAGTGGAACGTTGACTTACAATGGTTCGTGCAAATAACTAAATTAAGGGTGTGCATTCGACGAAAGCTGGTAGAGAGTGTTGGACGACGAGTATATTGAGAGTAAGGTTGAGAATACATCACAAATCCCGCGAGGTTGACCAGGACCCTCATCCTCAAACATCACCACAACAACCCAACCCAACCATGCTGCACCGAAGCCCTCCTCCCGAAGCTCCTCGACTTCCTCTGCGATGTTTGCCACCTAGTTCAGAATGTCGCCCTCTTTGACGTCGATTGCATGTGCCATGAAGCTTTGTTAGGCCAACGCGAGCGCCTTGTCGTCAACAAACAGCAAGTCGGACTACCACTGCCAGTCGCGGACAGGGATTTTCAGAGAGGGGGTTGCTTACTGTGAGTAATCAGTTGTCGAGCTGTGCCCCGGCATTGCTGATACTTAGTGTCGCACAAGAGGCTGCATGAGGGCCCGACTTTCTCCGATCGAGCTGGTCCGTCCTACTGCGTTCTCGCTGGCGATGCGGAGCTTCCAACAGACCGTTTGCAGATTGCTGAACGACTTCTGACGTTTCTCGTTCGGATATTGATCCTACACAAGGCAGCAACATTTGGGGTTTCAACCAGTGGGACAAATTTGAGGACCCAAGAATTCTTGGTTCATATCCGCCATTTGCCGCCTCCATAATGGTCGGTGTTTCGTCGTATGTGGCTTGACGGCTTTTGTGGAGCGACGGCTCCGTACGGATGTGCCTGGGCACAATTGTACGCACTCTCGATCTCCAGGTTAGGAGCGGCTGCCCCCCAAAGTCATTCTGCAAGCTCGTCTGCTTGCGGCCACCCCTTTTCTTTCTCGGCCTACAATCTCCAAAACTTCTGTGAGATTCTTCAAGGTGCCACCCATTTTTTGCGTGCATTCCCCACCAAGTCTCTTACCGGGGTCATCTTCCACTTTTCCCAGATGAATTCATGCTGTCATACTTTCGGGATTTCAGCGGATCAGAGGTGCCTCCAACGGCGATGTTCTCCACAAATATCCAAAAATATCGGGGGTGTCGCATATCATTTTCCAGGTAAGCGAAAACGTTCCTTATGAAAGGCATATTATCTTCAACCTTTGCACGAAATAGGACGGATCTTCTATGGACGCTCGACGAGCTGAATTCTAATTCTTGCTGCGAAATTATCCGTCCTCCAAAGGAGAGTCTTCCCAAATCCTTGTTGTGGTCCGAGGGTTTCCCAAAACGATTCCGTCATCCGAAGATATACATAGAGTCGAAGAGGTCTATGACTGAGAATTCACGCCGGCGCCGATGCAGAGGTTGCCCACACTGAACCTCGACCTCTGTAGACCTCAGGAAAGCGCACCTTTGATTCAAGGTACTGATTCGTCAATAGTGACTATAATTATTCACTGATGCCTAGACCGCAGGCCTTTCCCAGGCCAGCCCCTCTAGAAATCTGGCTGGCAAAGTTTTTATCCTCTAGGTCTCCAACTCGCGTCTGGTTCTGAACATTTTGGCCTATCGAATTGCGGTCTGACAAGGCATCGTATGGGGGTAGGATGACCATACTCAACATCACCGCAAATAACTTTGACGGCCCATGCCGACCACGCACGTTTTTTCCTTTTTCCCCAGCTGTGCCATCCCTCGCTAAAATAGAACTCCTAGAATCGTCTAGGTTCCTCTCAAAGAGGTTCTATGGCCCGGATGAGGTTGTAGGATTGAATGGTAGGAAGTCTTACCATCTAGGGACTTCCGTTCACAACTTTCCTCCATTTCAGCGCGATCTACGTGTCTGATGTTTTCGGTCTTGGTACCTGGCGTCCGACAACTCGGAACGGTTAATATGTCCTTATGCATCTTCATTTCAAAAAATGAGTCGGTCGACTCCGAGACTGGCTTCAATGAGCCAGCTCAAAGACCGTCGATTTGGATAGAGGCTAAGAATCCGGAAGTACCGATTTGCCTTTGTTGAGGTGAGATCACTTGATTTTTTGACCAGTACGTACGCTGATAAATCAGTAGGGCACGATGTCCAAATCTTAGTCCCCGCGGCAAGAGTGACTTCAACCCTGATACTTGTTCCGACTTTCTACCTCTCTTCGAGCCTTTCACAGCAGCCTTCCTTTGTGCTTTTAGCAGGTTGCGTCTTCCGTTCGCAGTCAATATGTAGAACGGAACTTTGTGCCGAACATTCTCAACGACAACTTCTTCTATACGGCCCCTCAACCAACGTATGCAAACCGTCATCTATATTCGTCCGATATCCGCCGTCTCCGACCTTCTATAGCAAGACCTGCCAAATTTCGCTGCATACCTTGACCCCCACAAAATGCAGTATCCACGCATTCGTTACCTAACCGCGGTTGCCTATCATGTCGTTCAGAAGACCCTCTGGAAAATGATGGCTTTGGTGACATATGGTCCGGTTCAGCTTGTCCGGACTCGCTCAACGATATCCCCGTCAATCGCGACTTCCCATGAAATTTCGAACAGCGTCCGTCTTCCGCCGATATGAACCAAATCAAATTTTACACATGAATAGTTCGCCGTCTCAGGAAGCTGGGTCAATGTCAAAACACAACCGTACACCCAGAAAAGCGAACTATCCATTCTCTAGACCAACAGCCCTTCCTAAAGGCTCAACTGCACGTCCTGTTTTATGCGGTCAACGCACAGCCTTCCCGTTCGCACTAGCATATTAGTCGACAGATGCAACCCCAGACGTCGCATCCCAACAACTGGTCATGGTCCACATTTTCTGCTCCATTTCGGCTTCCCTCCCATTCGCAAACGACCATGGGCATCATCTGCACCGATGCTCCATGATTCTTCGTTCATGCTGTAATTGTTGACATCCCTAAAAGCCGGATGAGGTGTTTCTTCTCCGTCGTCCGCACGATGCGCATTGGATGGTGCCCAGAAAAACTCCGAAGGTACTCCCTTTGAGCGCAGGGAAAGTGAATGTTTTACCCGACTCGTCGAGAGTGATCATAACCCGGCCGTAATTCATGGAGCCATTCGGTTGCCACACACACCTGCCTCGATGAGGTGGCCGCCGGTCGTGATGGAATTTTCGTGAGGGATGATTGGAAGATGCATATGTGGGGACCCACACTTTCGACGAGCCACGTCAAGCTCCCAGAAGAGAGATTATCAAGGACGTATTCTGAGCTCTCAATCAAGTAATCAGGTCGACCATCTCTCCACTGGCCAGCGTCTGAGTGCTGTAGTTGGGGACCACACCATGCCTCGAGGATTAGCAGAATCCTTGTCAAAAGAAGGTGAACATCGACTGTGTCGAATGTTGAGAGGAATGGCAGTTCCGGAGGACGAGTTCAAGGTATGTTTGCAGCCGCCATCTCATTGCTACCAACTTGAACTAACCTCTGTCTTCATTAAGACACAATGGCTGTTGTATGCCAACGTCAGCGCTCTTCAAGACTTTCCGGCGTTGGCTCCTCGTCGTCAGGGAAGGCCACCACCCCTGTTGCCGCTTTCTGCATCGCGTAAACGTATACTCTTTGCGCCCCCGAGTATAGATGTTCCTCTGAGATGTGATGCGTCTTCTTGGTCTACATCAAGCTGGCCACTGATGCGAAACCATCGCCAAATTTGACTCAGGATGCCTCCTCTTCTCCGACAAGTGCTGTGTTACTGCTTCGATCTCAATCCTTTCTGCGGATGCGGCCGTCATCACCCACATTTACGGACCCGTCACCACCCCAGGGTCAGTGTGAACTGGGATTGCTCGCATGGTATCTTGGTTGTTGCACCTCTAACGTGGTGGAGTCCCGCTGTGTCGCCCCCTCCCTCGCTCGCCCAGCTTCCGAGCCCAATATCACAGGTCCTCCACTCTTCAGAATTGATTAATGGACCCCACTCTTCTCCCCCAACCAACACCAGCATCGTAACGTAGGAAGTCTGGAGTTCCTGTTGGACACGTGTCCGAGTCCGACGATGGGTCTCCTTCTATCGAAGACGGAACGATTCAATAGGGGGCAGCTGATCCATGAACACCAAGGACGGCGACGCTGATCTCGTGGTTCATCCAGGATGGGTTGCAATCAGAAATGAATTGGCTCTTGCTCGCACCTGTGTTAGGAGCAAAAGCATCTCATGGGGTCCGAATGAGGACACAGTATTTCCGATATCCTCGTTTAAGCCTCAATGTGTCTGGTAAATCTAGACCTCTACGACTCGTTCGCGCAGTGAAACCGGCATACGATGATGCCTCGGCTGATATCGGTCCGTGTACATACCCTCTGATACTGTTACATGTACTTTCATTTCAGTTCCTTTCTCGGAGTACTTACATACGGGGTTCCTTTGACAATGATGAAAAAAAGGAAGCAGCGCGCACGAACACGACCCATTACATTCCAGGTTATTACGACTCGAAATTGTATTAGGTTCATACACAACTCGTATTCTAATTGCGGAAATCATAGACAGCTATCTCTCAACTGTGTTGACGGGGTAAACGACCAAATATCGTTAAAAAAACACGGTTCAGCAAACGTAGTTCATCTATCAGAAGGAGCTTCAACTGGGACATTTCGCGACATTTCTAGTTAATCGGCATCATTGGTTCGCTAGGCATGAGGTGAATATCGACCGAGATCAATTCCCCAATGTCTGTTACACGATGATTATTCTGTAAGATGTTCCCGTAAGTTCTAGGCGCAATACAAGGGAAAAGACCCCCAAACACACCTCATCGAAGTGCAAAACTTGCTGCACCTCGGGATCACCCCTCTGCTGCCAAGGATGCGCTTGTAGTTGATGACGCCGAAATGTTTTACTGAAGTACACGCGTTCAACGAAAGGGAGATCTGTTGGCATTGTCTCAAGCTGAAAGATCGGTTCGTTTTTCTGGGCTCTTTCCCTCGCCGCCGCTTCGATGTTATTCCATGTCCGTCGTTGCCACCCGATCCAGTCCGCATCAATGTCATCCCATTCCGTCGAACCATCTTCATCCCAGAGCTCATTACCACCTTCAAAGAAAGTATAGACCTTGTCCCGAAGAGTATCTCTCTCGTCGAGGATGAGCCAGGTGGTAGCTTGACGGTGGTAAAAGATGAACAGCGCAGGAATGAATTCGGCTTCTGGAGTACAGTTTTTGAATGGTATGGCACAGACCGTCGGGGGTACTGGCGCCAGCCAATTTGTTCCCTCTACTCGGTGGACATCATCCACATAGCGACCTCTAGAGTAGAAATTGGGCAAGCCTGGCCAGACACACCCAATCACTGCCCTCGCTGGCCACTCTAAGATCCAGACGCGAAAGGCCTCTGGAACATAGGGATGCTGGCGCATCAGGTCATCGATATATGCTTGGCGGTCGAACGGCTGGAGGTTAGCAAGGACCCAAGGGCGGGTTTGTGGAAAGATGGGTGAGCTGACGAGTGTGAGGTAGAAGTCAAGGAGGGCGCGACGTATGGGAGAGATATCAGCAAGTGGTATCAACCGCCTCCAATCTTGAGATACCGTTCGCCCGATGATGAGGGCTTTCAAGGGGAAGAAGTGGAAAGCATGTAGTAAAACTTCATTGGGCAGATCGGGGGCTTGTTGATCAATGGGTTCCGACATAGGTGGCCAAGAAGGTTCAAAGTTTCCGAATAATAGAGACGAACAAATGAACAAGGTGGTGGGTGGACGGGGCAAAAGGTTTTCAGAGGATCCGTGAATTCGACTCCACGTCGTGCGAATGTGGCTGTGGTTACTAATTTTGGAATGCCATCAATTGCAATCTCGTAGAAAATGCTCCTCTTCCCGGTCTGCCTAGCTGAGCTAATTGTTTCTTAATGTTCTCTAAGTACTGTCTTGGATTGCCTCCGACGGCAATTGGGACTGCCAAGAACTGGTCATCAGCAGCAACTCATCTCCTTCGACGTCCACGACCATATGGCCGCGCTTGCGCCCAATGTAGGCTGTTGACATTGCCTCGGAGTTCGTCTGCAGTGAGTGACCATGTGATGACCATATTAAGAATAGATGATTCAGGTATCTTGATAGATAGACAGATGGATGGATGGATTCCGGAGCGATCCCAATGAGGAACAACCAGTTCCCGACACACAACTTCAGCGCCTTGCGCTGACTGAGACAGTGTCACGCTCGCTTGTGTAAGCATCGTATAATGGGGAAACGAGTCACTAAAGTTTGTGACGAAGAAGTAGTCGTCTTGCCCTCCTAACAGGCCACCTAACGACTTTAGGCATAGCATGAGGTGTCTCTTCTTCTACAGGAAATAAAACACACAAAGATGAGGTCGTAAGGTACCACAGTTGCCATCTTCGCCTCATGTCGTTATGGGACTTAAGCAGGAAATCGACAAGGACTCTTGAAGGACTCGGCGAGATACATTCGCCACTTCTTATGCGCATCATCTTCAGTGCCACCCTCACCGAAGTCCAGTTTTATACCGGACAGGACAATGTCTTCATATGGAGAGCTGTGGGAGTTCGCGAACGAAAAACGCGATCTTGCCCAACTAGATCTCGTCACAAGGACGCGCATTCGACTTGACAGCGACCTCAGCAAAGGTTAGGGTACCTCAAGGCGACGTTGGCGTGGATTATACTCCTAGCGGAGGGCTTGAATCCATATTGGCGGAACCACTTTCTAGCTTTGATACGGTGACGACTGCAAGGCGAAACCCTGCCCAAGCCATTAACGAGAGCCTGTGAAACGTTCTCGCGACTCCGTTATTGGAGGTACGGCAGTCCTCTGGGACGCCTTCCACAACTGCTTCGGCTTCCGCAAGTAGGGCCACAAAGATCGAGCGGTCTATTCCGGGCGTTTACACCTTGGCGTCGACAACCTTTTCCAAGGTGCCGTATGACGACCGCAACGTCAGTCAAGATTTCTTCGGTTGCTTCTACCACAAAGCACAGGTCTACTCACCGACCTTTCAGAACAACAACGCAGTTCTCCACCGCTCTTGTTCTCTTGGTCCTCACGATTTTCGTTTCTGTCACGGTCACCACCGTACGCCAGCCTCTCTCGTCGCCCCAAATGTCCCCATTAATCTATCTTTATTTCCGACTGAACGCTCCGACCCCAACCCACCTTCCGCCAGCCAATGGCGTACTGCCGTTCTCTGGTGCTGCAACGAGACGCAGGCAGTAAATTTCTTTTTTTGCAAGCCCACGATATGCTCACCGCAACTTGAACTGTCACTTTTTAGGCCAAGGTAACGTCGTCAGCGCCCTTCTTGTCCTCCTGGGCATCGTCGCCGACCTGATCAGTGCGCTCGTTGGTTCAGGCTGCACCTCCATCAACGCCCTTGGCATTGGTGCTGGAGGCATGTGCACTGCCGACCCTTCTACTGCCAGAACAATAACTTCGTCAGCTTTCTATCATTTTGCGAGGTTAATACGTTCATTTCTCATGGATCCTCCTTGTCGTTAGGGCTGCGCTCCCGTCACCAATGGCGCTTTAAGTGTAGTTCTTTGTTGTTGGGCCATGTAGATCTAGGTCAACATTCTGTATGTGGCCGGATCACGCCTACGACCGCACTGGATGTTACGGCTCCAGTTTCCTCCGAAGTTCTAGTTGTCTTGAGTCTTGTAAAGTGTTTGTACCATTTTGTGCTTGGGAATATGAACATTTGTTTGACTGTGAACTTCCCGACCTCTGATTTGATAAAAAGAAAATCAGGAAGCATTTCTAAAGGGCAAAGTAGCTTCCTGATGTTGAAAAAAGATATGATAATTGAACGAAATCATTCCTTTTGCGTGTACATAGTTTCCTCTTCCAATCTCGAGATCGGCGGTCCATGCAGGTCGCTCACGCCAAACAGTGAATTTTTTTCGAACCCCAAAACACTTCTTTTGTGTAAACACACCCAAGCACACCTCGAAAAGCAGAATACTTCAGCATTTGAAGCCACTTGCGGACCGATTCAAGACCGATTGATGCCTCCTCAAACAGCCTCAAAAAGGACGGGAAATGGTACCAGGCAAAGAACGATTCCTTCGTTCCTTGCGTTCTTGGATTCATAACTCAGTTGAAGACCACTCCTTCAATCATCTTCCCTGTTCGTTTTTACCTCGATGGCGACTCCGAACATAACAATCACTCGTATGTTCCCTTGTTTTTATTGAGGTTTATTTGTCTCACGTGTTTCCTGGCAGCTCAGTATCTGGCCGATCTAGTCACCAAATATACTCTCCGTGGTGAAATTCCGCCATCTGTGCCCCGGGAACGCGACAGCCTGGAAACCTACGCTTTTTCGCTTGAGCATCCGTTTGTAGAAAAACCCCTGGAATATTTGCATGCTCTAAGGGAAGCGCATCAGGAAGCAAAAGGAGACCGCTCGATGCCCTCGGCTTTCTCTGTCGCTTTCTCGACATCCCATCCCATCCCTCACGCGTATGGCGTCACAGCTCCACACAACAAAACAAGGCCTCGACCAAGCACTGCATCTGTCAATTACCTACACTCTTTCCGTGAGCAGGAAGCCTTCACCAATCTGGATGTGGATGTCCCGCAAAGCCTATATTCACGCAGATGCACTCATTGTGCAGAATATCAGAGCCTGCCTCCGATCTTTCAGGCAGCACGCCAAACAACCGGGGCGGTGAGCATTACCACTATCACGATCCTCAAGAATGGTCGGCCCCGTGAAATGTGCCGCAACTGTGAGGCCTACGTTCAAACAGTGGTCGACGGTCAGCCCGGTTTAGTTGTTATTGATGAAGTTATGGAAACAAAATACATGTCGCTTGAGACGGTATGTTTTTTATCAACTACACCTGACTCGGAAAGCTTACGTTATCACGCAGGAGCGCATGTGCGCCCAGGCAGCCCAGGCGGCCACGTATACGCCTTGATCTGTGATCAATTTTAGCGGTGGGGTGGATTGTCGGGGATAACGTACGATGCTGATACCCAAGTATTACTTATGCTCCGATAACTTCAATAGCTGTTTGAATTAACCAGAGTGGTTACAAACGTCCAGTTGGTCTACGGGAGCACCGCTTCTCCTGTTCATTGATGTCCTTTGTAGCGTCGGTCCTGGTTCAGCTTTGTGTGGGTGGTCGCCAAGTCAGCCACTCCCTTTGAATATTCTTCCACTTGTTTACGGGTCACCGAGCCTGTGAGCTCAAATTGCAACACGCGCGGTTGAGAGGATCTGAATGCGCCGCCACTTTTCTGTTTGTGTAACAGGCTGCCAGGTCAAGACTCTTTTTCTTTGTGGACCTCGGGCGACCTACGCCAGACGCAAACTTTCCCTTTGTTGGCATCATGATGTTCGTCCACCGTTTCCTGAGACCTGGAGGTAGAGTGCTTTCAAAAGTCTCTCATTTGAAATGAAGGACCGGGACGTAACTGACTGGCACAGGATTGACCTAAGATCAGCCGAACGGACAAAAACCACAAACGACTTCATGCAACCAAGTTTACGCGCAATTCCAAACCTGCGGCGTAGAAAAGGATGTAAGTGATGATGGTATGCACGGTACAAAACCTGGATGATTGACATGACGTTAAATTGTGTGAGGAGTGGAGGGAGAAAGAAGAAGCGGCCGCGTTCGTTACTTGAAAGGGGGAATGGGTGTGGCGTGCATTGGCAATGCTACTCCTAACGGGTATAACTCGCTCGTACAAACGACGTCGATCGGACGACCGTATGGCGGGACGACATGTGCAGAAACTCTCCAAGGTAATCCTAGAAGAGAGCCTAACGCCCTCCAAAGTCGGTGGTCACGCTGATTTGCAGAAGTGTAGATTCCTCAATCCTAGGATCCAAGTTCGTACGGGATTGGCTTTATAGAATATACAGTATGACCTGGGCAATGGGGTTGAATCAATCAAATCTAAATTCCCGCTCGACTTCTCATCTGAGTCAGGAAGGGAGAGGCCGATGCTGTAGGCGTTTGCGTTCTTGGATAGGAAGTATGATGGGAATCCTCCTGGACAGCAACTGGTACATGTTTATGTCACAAGATGACGACGTTTGGTGATAGATAGACTCACCCAATGTCTAGGAAACTCAGCAGGAAGTGAGTCGGCACGCAGTAACGATTTCCTCTAGGACGAATTTCATGGATCGGAACCATACCCGTTGGAGATGGCGTTCAGGGATGTCTGACTGTTTCCGCTGAAGTGGAAGTATGCGTTCAGGGAAGGGTCCTGTTGGTGCTTCTGCTGCGAAAATCAGCGCCCGTGAGAGGGGAAGGTCGTGCATGCATTTGGGGGCAGCACAGAATGTAACTTGAAACGTTCCCTTCAATTGGTTCAGAACTTTCCAAGACTCATCCTCGATCAACCGTCAACGACGGTGCCATTTTGGCGGTGATGTTGAGGGGCACCACATACAGGCTCAGGACATGGCCGCCTCATGGCCCTGTAAGATTTTGAGTTTGAAGGCCTAGAAACGGGCGCTTGATAGCTGCGCAATCTTGGAAAGGATGTCCAGAAAGGCGATGCAACAGTCTTCCGTGAAAGCGACGAGTAGGAAAATTGATCATGTACTCGTGTGCTCAAGCGAACGTAGCTTTTCGATGTAAAACTGGTGACAAGAGGAATTAGCTATTGCACATACGTCACAGAGGTACACTCTGTGATCAACACCTCAGTGACACGCGTCGTGATCCCTGAGTCATAACGCTGAACAAGACCAATAGTAAGCTCCACACCTATTTTTCAACAGCTTGGAAATGCGCGAAAAACAACTCAAGTAGAACATTCATATGCAGAAACTGCTCTCTCGCCGCAGTCAGCCTTGCCAGTGAAGTTCACGCAGGTGGTTAGCAGGGCGGGCTCTAGGCTCTAGCGCCATTATCCACCATGACTGACTGGGAAAAAATGAATTGCTGGTCCGTTCATTTTTTCATGACAGACATCACAATGCCCGAGACTACCGTTGCGATTATAGCCATGTTCCAGCTGCGCTTACAAAAAGACATCGTGCACCACTGCTCAATCTCCGCGCTGCAAAGAGTGCCAAGGCTCGAAGGAAAATTACGCACTTTTCTCGATTGACCATTCGGCGGATGCCCTTGGTATTTCCCCGGAGCAGGCGACAGCACTGCTGGAAGCGTACTCTAACTCGAAATTCCGGATTGTTATGGAGTCTGAGGAAAACAATGTTGATGAGCGATCGAGGATGAAGGTGATACTCAAGGCTCATTCGATCCGGTTGTTCAACAACGTGGATGACAAAAGTACGAAGATCAAGATAGGGAGGAAATTGAATCGACTCACCAAGAAATAGCGCCGAGTCAGCATGAAATGATTGCTGACCGACTGGCATTTTCGTCAATCAACCAATGCGTCGTCTCGTTGGAGGACATCAAATCCGCACAGGAAGCGATGGCTTGCGTGAATTTGGTGGAGTTAAAGTATCTGGTCGGGGCTGACGAGAATGACGAGGAATTGAAAACGGAAATCGCGGAATTGCAAAACCTCGTCGAGAACGCCCGTCATGTGAAAGGAATTTTAACAGAGCTGGATGCGGAAAAGGAGTTGGCACGGAAGGAACGGAAAAGAAGAATCAAAGTCGAGAAGAATGCGACCGCAAAGAGCGCCAGGATCGTCGAACTGGAGAACCAGGTGGCAGGTGAGCTATACGTATTTTTCTTTGTTCAAAATCTTTCACCTTACTAAACTTTGTTCCTCAGAGCTTCGCGAAAGGCTGTCAGATATAGAAGCCAGCTACAAAGCCCGTGCTGACCACCTGACGCAAATTATTCAATCAGATTTAACTGCACATGCGGAGGGGCCAGATAAAGGACCAGAGACGAGAAGCAGAGTACGCCGGAATTTGGGCAGCTCAGAGGCTGTCAGGAAACGCCGCCGAACCGTTGCTGACGAGAACTCATGAGGATATCGGCGAAAGTCTTCACATCTTGAATTTTTCGCACTGAAAGTTTTACGCGCCTAGTTTCTGCATGTATACCGGCCATTCTAATTCATTCATTCTCGATTGCAAGCCGACCGAGTCCTGACGAAGCCTGAAGGTTTGATCATGAACATCATGGCACGGGGTGAAGAGCAAAGTGGTTCAATTTTGGACTTTGACTTACAATAGTTCGTGCAAATAACTGAATTAAGGGTGTACATTCGACGAAAGCTGGTAGAAAGTGTTGGACGTTGAGTATATCGAGAGTAAGGCTGAGAATACATCACAAATCCCGCGAGGTTGACCAGGACCCTCATCCTCAAACATCACCACAACAACCCAACCCATGCTGCACCGAAGCCCTCCTCCCGAAGCTCCTCGACTTCCTCTGCGATGTTTGCCACCTAGTTCAGAATGTCGCCCTCTTTGACGTCGATTGCATGTGCCATGAAGCTTTGTTGGGCCAACGCGAGCGCCTTGTCGTCAACAAACGGCAAGTCGGACTACCACTGCCAGTCGCGGACAGGGATTTTCAGAGAGGGGGTTGCTTACTGTGAGTAACCAGTTGTCGAGCTGTCCCCCGGCGTTGCTGATAGTGTCGCACAAGAGTCTGCATGAGGGCCCGACTTTCTCCGATCGAGCTGGTCCGTCCTACTGCGTTCTCGCTGGCGATGCGGAGCTTCCAACAGACCGTTGGCATATACCAGATTGCTGAACGACTTCTGACGTTTCTCGTTCGGATATTGATCCTGCAAAAGGCAGCAACATCTGGGGTTTCATCCAGTGGCACAATATTGACGACCCAAGAATTCTTGGTTCCTATCCGCCATTTTGCGGCCTCCATCATGGTCGGTGCCTCGCCGTATGTTAACGGCTTTTGTGGAGTGATGGCTGCATACGGATGTGCCTGGCACGATTGTACGCAGAGAGGTGGCTCGATCCCCAGGTTAGGACCGGCTGCTCCCCAAAGTCATTCTGCAAGCTCGTCTGATTGCGGCCACCCCAGTTCTTTCTCTGCCTGTAATCTCCAAAATTTCTTCAAGGTGCCACCCATTTTTGCGTGCATTCCCCATTAAGTCTCTTACCGACGTTGTCTTCCACTTTTCCCAGATGAATTCACACCATCATACTTTCGGGATCCCAACGGATCGGAGGTGCCTCCAACGGTGATGTTCTCCCAAAATATTCAAGTTGTCTTTGTTTCTTTTTTGGGAAGGTGTCGGGGATCTGGCAAATCATCTTCCGGGTAAGTGAAAACGTTCTCTATGGAAGGCATATCATCTCCAACCTTTGCACGAAATAGGACGGACCTTCTATGGATGTCCGAGGAGCTGATTCTCTATTTCTTGCTGCGGAATTTTCCGTCCTCCAATGGAGAGTCTTCTCACCTCTTTGTTGCGGTCCGAGGTTTTCCCAAAATCATCTCGTCATCCTAAGATTCTGGAGTGAATTCTAGCGCGCCAGCACGGTTTCACGAAATGAGGCAGAACACTCACAGGCCTGTATTCTTGATGTGACATGCTTGAATGTTTGAACCCGCAGTGCTGGCCTTTTGCGAAGCATCCTGTTCAGATTGTGAAGCGCACGGCCAGTCGGCAGCTTGCCCGAGGGTTGGAAAGGCCACTTGAGGCTCAGTTCGTTTCATGGATTGTCGCATATCTGAAGGCAGACCTTTGTTCGGATTGCCAATTTTCGATGATTCATGTCACTTCAACGTTCTGGCTGGCGCACACCCAGATGAGGGCACCCGTTTTGTGGCCGCAGCTTCATTGCGGTTGTTGTTCCTAGCTGGAAGATATACATAGAGTAAAAGAGGTCTATGACTGAGAATTCACGCCGGCGCCGATGCAGAGGTTGCCCACGCTGAACCTCGACTTCTGTAGACCCCAGGAAAGCGTACCTTTGATTAAAGGTATTGATCCATCAATAGTGACTATAATTATTTACTGACGCCTAGACCGCAGGCCTTTCCCAGGCCAGCCCCCTCTGGAAATTTGGCTGGCAAAGTTTTCATCCTCTAGGTCTCCAACTTGCGTCTGGTTCTGAACATTTTGGCCTATCGAATCGCGGACTGACAAGGCATCGTATGGGGATCCAGGATGACCATACTCAACATCACCGCAAATAACTTTGACGGCCCATGCTGACCACGCACGTTGTTTTCTTTTTCCCTAGCTGTGCCATCCCTCGCTAAACAAGAACTCCTAGATTCGCCTAGGTTCCTCTGAAAGAGGTTCTACGCCTCTCATGATGCCGCAGGATTGTATTGTAGGAAGTCTTACCGTCTTGGGACTGCCGTTCACAACTTTCCTCCATTCCAGCGCGATATACGTGTCAAGTAGGATGATGATGTTTTCATTTTTGGTACCTGGCGTCCGACAACTCGGAACGGTTAATATATCCTTATGCATCTTCATTCCAGGAAATGAGTCGGTTGACACCGAGACTGGCTTTGATGGGCCAGCTGAAAGATCGTCGATTTGGGTAGAGGCTAAGAATCCGGCGAGGAAGTACCGACCTGCCTTTGTTGAGGTGAGATCACTTAATTTTTGACCACTACGTATGCTGATAAATCTATAGGGCACGATGTCCAAATCTTAGTACCAACGGCAAGAGTAACTTCAACCCTGACCCTTTTTCCGACTTTGTACCTCTCTTCGAGCCTTTCGCAGCGGCCTTCCTCTGCCCCTGCATCTCGCAGGTTGCGTCTTCCGTTCGCAGTCAATATGTAGAACGGAATTTTGTGCCGAGCGTTTCAAACGACAACTTCTTCTATACGGCCGCTCAACCGACGTATTCAAACCGTCATCTATATTCATCTGATGTCCGCCGTCTCCGACCTTCTCCAGCAAGACCTGCCAATTTTGCTGCATACCTTGACCCCCCCAAAATGCACTATCCACGCATTCGTTACCTAACTGCGGTTGCCTATCCTGTCGTTCGGAAGACCCTCCATGAAATGATGGCTCTGGTGGTGTCATATGGTCCGGCTCAGCTCGTCCGCACTCGCTCAACGATATCCCCATCAATCGCGACTTCTTCCATGAGTTCTGAGCAGTGTCTACCGCCGATATCAACCAAACCAAATTTTACTCTTGAATGATTCCCGTCTCAGGAAGCTGGGTCAATGTCAGAACACAACCGTACACCCAGAAAAGCGAAACTTCTTACTCCAGACCCAACAGCCCTTCCTAAAGGCTCAACTGTTCGTCCTGCTTTATGCGGCCAACGCACAGCCTTCCCGTTCGCACATGATAGTCGACAGATGCAACCCCAGACGTCGCTTCCCAACAATTGGTCATGGTCCACATTTTCTGCCCCATCTCGACTTCCCTCCCATTCGCAAACGCCCATGGGCATCATCTGCACCGATGCACCATGATCCTTCGCGCATGCTGTAATTGTTAGCATCCCTCAAAGTCGGATGAGGTGTTGCTTCTCCGTCGTCCGCACGATACGCATTGGGTGTTACCCAGAGAAACTCCGGAGGTACTCCCTTTGAGCGCAGGGAAAGTGAATGTTTTACCTGACTCGTCGAGAGTGATCATAACCCGGCCGTAATTCATGGAGCCATCCGGTTGCCACACGCACCTGCCTAGATGAGGTGGCCGCTGGTCGTGATGGAATTTTCTTGAGGGATGATTGGGAGATGCAGTGCAGGGTGACATGTGGGGACCCACACTTTTGACGAGCCACGTCAAGCTCCCAGAAGAGAAATTATTAAGGACGTGATCTGCGTTCCCAATCGAATAATCAGGTCGACCTTCTTTCCGCTGGCCAGCATTTGAGTACCGTAGTCGGGGACCACACCATGCCTCGAGAATTAGCAGAATCCTTTTCTAAAGAAGGTGAACATCGACGGTGTCGAATGTTGAGAGGAATGGCAGCTGGACGAGTTCAAGGTATGTATGCAGTCGCCATTTCATTCCTACCAACGTGAACTAACCTTTGTCCTCAGAGGCGTGGGTAAGACACAATGGCTGTTGTATACCAAAACCAGCGCCCTTCTAGACTTTCCGGCGTGGGCCCCTCGTCGTCAGGGAAGGCCCCCGTTGTGGCTGCTTCCCTGCATCGCATAAACGCATACCGCCTGCCCCCGTAGCCTGCGCAGCTGAAGTATGTCTTACAACTACAATAAACTCTTCCCAATCAAACTGACAAGGTAACACCCAGCTACCAACATCGGACAGTTCTCCTTGGCTTCACCTCTTTCGGAAGATAGAGTAATGACTTTGGATTGGATTGGCAGGCTTTCCGGAGTGGTAAGACGATCGGAACCCCTGCACCATTGGACCAACTCTTGCATTACTCCCTGCCGAAAAAGTCCATCGAGAAAATTTCCCTGCATGTACGTAGCCCCTCTTCCAGTTATCTACCTCTCCCAATATATGGACGGTGATGCTAACGACTTCACAGGAAATCACGGTAACGAACTATCCAGGCGAAGCCCGGGAGTACCTCAAGAACTCATTACCGCCATGGGTGCCGGGTTCACCCCAAGTATGATGGGGAAAAATACAGTTCTCATAGCCGCTTTGTGCGTGCCCTTTCCCGTTCTGTTTTCCCTCCCCCTCCTTCTCTCCCTCTTTCTCTTGCTTCCCATCTTCTCTTCCTTCTCTCCTTCCCTCCCTGTTTCCTATCACTAACCCATTTCACTACTCAGCCTCTCGGGAACAAAAGCAAGGAAAACACTTTCCTGGTCTATCCCAGTAGTGAATCATACCTGGCTCGAGGACTGCTTTGTTCAATGGCGCAACCTCACAGTTGGAGTAGAGAAATACATCGTCGTCCCCCCTGGTGTGGATTTTGGCACGCTCCTTGGGGTGTGGGACGGGGGATCGAAAAAGAAGTGAAGGAGATGGACGATGATGATGAATGGGGGCAAGGGGTCCCAAAGGCGGAAGGACCCAGGGTATGGATGGGAGAATGAGAGAGGTTCAGAGCCGAATTGATGGGCGTGCACATGGTGAATCCGGGGAGCACTATGGGATGGACGTTGACGGTCTTGCTCCTGGGGAAGATTAGATTTGACCAAGGTGAGGAGGAGGAGGAGATGCACCGACCGGCCTGTGGTTAAGTCAAAGCTCAACGACGCTTTATCGCCAGGGAAGAAAGTGCTAGCTACTTCATCACCATCAAAACTTTCCTCCTCAACTGCTAAACCCACTACACGGAAGAATCTGGTCAAACTCATTCCTGTTGCTAATCCTTCGGAAACGCCGACGAAGAATAAGGCGCAGGTGAAGGAGCTTGGGCCGAAGTCTGGTCGCCTGACAAGTCGAGCCTGCGCCTGTCAAAGCCGCAGAGGTCAAGTCGGGGGAAGAGGAAGAGGAAGAGGAGGTGATATCTACCAAAGTCCAAGTCGGGCCCACATCCAAGAGCACGTCCACGTGAACAACACGAGGAAGAGCAGGAGGAGCAGGAAGAGGAGGTGGAGGTTACCCCTGCCGTTGAGCCCAAGTCAAAGGCGGGTGCGTCGTACAAGCCTAAACCAAGACCCTCGTCGCATCATCTGTTGCTGGTGGGGAAGTGTACATGCTGTTCCAGTCCACTTTCTCCTGGTGGTCATGGAAAAAGGTGCCTCGGCCGGCATATCCGTGCTGTTGGTTATGGGGGGTGGTGGTTTGGGTGGTGCTGGAACTGTTCGTAGAGCGCTGCGATGGTGTCGTTGTATGAAGTGACCATGCTAGGTCTAGGAAGGATATGCGTAATACCCCTCCAGTAGCCGAACTGGCGGACGGAGGGATAGTATGCGCAAACGTTTAAGCATAGCAGCCAACCGTTGATCATCCATCTCCTCCAAATGCATCTGCACGTTCGGGTGCTGAGTCGGAACAGTCGAGTACTGCCCCTCCTCCTCAATATCATCCATATATGCACCTCCATCTCCACTATCATTTCTCTCTTCCGATCTTCTTCGTCCCCTTCCCCAGGGACAGTCACAATGACCTCCAATTCGTCTGACAGGATCATGGAGAACTCGTCTGAGCGCGTGGGCTCCTCAATCCGCGCACTCATTGAGTTCCCAGAGGGCATCAGACTCGAGTTTAAGAAGAGGAAACGAAAAAGCACAGATTATTGAAGGACCACAAGAGAAGGGGGAAAAGCGTGGGGAATCCCAATTTGATCACTACAAACCACCATTCCCAAGGCATAGCACTATGGGATGTGGACGGTCCTGCTCCCGGCGAAGTTTTTAGATTTGACGAAGATGAAGAGGGGATGCACCGGCCTGCAGTCAAGTCCGAGCTCAACGACGCTTTACCGTTAGGGAAGAAAGTACCCGCTACTTCATCACCATCAAAACCTTCCTCCTCGACTGTTAAACCCACTACACATAAGAGTCGGGTGAAACTCGTCCCTGTTACTATTTCTTCGAAAACGTGGACGAAGAATAAGATCACGGCGAAGGAACTGGAGCCACAGCTTTCTCCTCTGGCGCCTCTTATGTTGAAGTCGCTTTCACCGTCAAAGCCGCACAAGTCAAGTCAACGGAAGACGAATAGAAGGTGATACTATCATACCTACCAAGACGAAGTCAGACAGGATGCGTCCTCTTTTCGGACAAGTGCTGATTCGTTCCTGCTTCGATCTCCATCCTTTCCGCAGATGCGGCCGTCATCATCCACATTTCCGGACCCGTCACCAACCCGGGGATCAGTGTTAACTGGGATTGCTCGCACCGCATTTTGGTTGTTGCACCTCTAGTGAAGTCCCGCTATGTCTCCCCCTCCCTCGCTCGCCCATCCTCCGAGCCCAATATCACAGGTCGTCCACTTTTCAGAATTGAGGCGTGGACCCCACTCTTCTCCCCCAACCAACACCAGCATCGTGCAACGTAGGAAGTCAGGAGTTCCTGTTGGACACGTGTCCGAATCCGACGATGGGTCTCCTTCCGACGATGGGTCTCCTTCCGTCGAAGATGGAACGATTCATTAGGGGAGCAGCCGATCCAAGAACACTAAGGGCAGCGACGCTGATCTCGTGGTTCATCACACGATGGGTTTCAATCAGAGATGAATTGGCTCTTGTGTTAGGAACGAACACATCTCATGGCGTCCGAATGACGGCATAGTATTTCCCCTCGTTCAAGCCTCAATGTGTCTGTTAAAAATAGACCTCTACGAATCCTTCGCCGCAGTGAAAACCGGCATACGATGCTGCTTCGACTGGTATTGGTACGTGTACGTAGCCTTTGATGTTGCCATTATTATTACATGTATGTACCTCCACGCACGCTACGATGAACGACCTGCATTATTTCTCCGAAGACGACCTGGAATTGGCGGCCGAAACCCATATGCTAACAAGATGTCCACCCAGATCAGTCTCCACAATCATTCTGAAAACTTGAAGAATTACTACTACTTCTGCGGCATGATACGGCCTTGGCAGCAATATGTGATAAAAATACAACTTACGATAGGCTCGGAGCTGAGCAAGATCCTGTTTTCTACCAGGGCAAACCGGTCTCTTGTTGGGCTCTTGCTTCTTGCCTCTGGCTTTAGCTAACTGATTGAGCTGCTGATAGGCCGTCGGCGCTGATACATATGCTCCAGGAGCTAAGAGCTTCGTTAGCTGGTTTGAATTAATCGGAGTGGTTACAAATCTTCCGTTTGTCTACCGCACCGCTTCTCCTGTCCATTGATGTCCTTTGTGGCGTTGGTCCTAGTTCAGCTTTCTGTGGGTGGTCGCCAAGTCAGCCACTCCCTTTGAATGGTTCTTGCACAAGTTTATGGGTCACCGAGCTTGTGAGTCCAATTTGCGACGCGCACGGTTGAAAGGATTTGAATTGTCAGGACCGCCATTTTTCCGCCCCCGTAACAGGTCGGGTCAAGATAAACCATGGACTGTTTTTGTCTCGGGCAACCTACACCAGACGCCTTGATTGGCATCATTTATCGGGATCTGGAGGGAAAATGTTTCCAAAAGTCTCTCATTTGAAATGAAGGACCGGGAAGTAACTGACTAGCACAACCCATCCCGCAATTTTGTATTTCAATCAAACGTCGCATTTTTGTCTAATATTCCGGAGTCTTTTGAAGAGTCCCCTCCAAGTGTCTAGGTTAGCATTTACCGGTGTTATTATAGTACACCGTTTCCTGAAAGGACGCATGCTAAACGTACCGGCACTTTTTAGATGAAACGGGGTTCGTTCTCAACGAGTCAACTGGCACTTGGTGTGACGTTTGGACCAACCTATGTACCGATTGCGAAGCTGCGTCTTCCTTGACACGTGAAGGGCTCCTCTTAGACCTACATATAGCTCGCCGGAGGTGGCTATTGAGCGTCCATTCGTTTCATAAATTTCCGCAGCGTTGAATCAGGATGACCCCCCGATTGGATTCGGCTACACCTCGGTCCTGCCTGAAGACCCAAACCTTCTGAATACGGTGCTCCTAGTCGAGGGACGTTGAGTGGTACACATCCGTGACTATCCGCCGGTCAATTCACGCTGGCGCCCACCAATCTAAATACAGAGGGCTGGCCGATCATCCAAAAACGAATGTCTCCATCATCAAGGGCACCTCGAGAAAGCTTACTCTCTCAAAGGACCCTGGAAACTCTATTCGTTCATTGATTGCCTAGACCGCCACCCACACAGTCCGTCACCCACCCAGCGTTTCATCAGTAGGTCCCCAACTCATGTTTGGTTCTGAATGGTAATGACCATCTAGCTGCGATCTGACGAAGATGTTATGAGGATGTCATTTCTACGCCGCCATCACCAATCACCGCTCCACAAGTATCAAGTTGACGGTCCCTCTCCGTTCTACGCCCTCCTATAACTTCTTCCCTTCCCTTGCTGTACTCTGTCAACAGGCCTAATGAGCTTAACATCCATCCCTGCATTCAGGCGTCCATTTCCTTCTTTCGCACAGGCTCTAGCATGCCTCCCGAAACAAAATCTTCTGGATACTCACGGGAATCCTCAACAAGAGGTTCTTTCTGAGTACTACACATCGCTTTTCGCGCCGCGAGACTTGATGGTAAGCAGTCTCCTTGTATTACGACGGGCCCGATAACGAATTTCTTCGCCTGCAGCGCACTATGCGACCAAAATACGGCGATGGCTTACTCCTGGTGCGTTCGATTGAATAATCTGAAAAAATCATACCCACATTTTTCTCTGTAGCCTGACGTCTTCCTTGAGGACGATGAATCGTCCGAGACAGAGACCGAGTTTGACGATTCGGATGAAAGATCGTCGATCCATAAAGAACCTCAGGCTAGGGCGAGAAAGCGATTGCTCGCGCTCTTCGAAGTATGCTGATCTATTTCTCCGATCTACTGGCGCTGATAACTTCCGCCCGTTCGTAGCAGGCAATATCCCGATTGCTAGGAACTTTCCGAAGAAACTCTGCTTCCAGTTGACCTAAATGCCAAACCTTGCGATAGCATTTATACTCTAATCTTCATATCACTTTAGAGGTTCTTCACTCGCAAGTAGACTAAAGCTTTTCGGGCCATCATTGCAGTTCGTATGCGCTTCGCTTTCTGTATATTTGATGATTCCACAGTGGGGCCCTGGTATTTCGGTACATCTGTGTAGAGCTCGTAGATATGTTAGAGTCAGTCCGCCTTTTGTCATACTCGCTCACTTCCCAATGATCCCAGACAAACTTCTAAGAGGATGTCGCGCAGACCACGATCAATCTTGACAACCAGTTGCGAGATCGTCCCACCTTAAAGCCTCGCACTGAGCCTTGCATACCGGTTCAAGCCGAGATTTCATTTAAGAATCTTGCTCAATGTCCATGCATAATGATTGCGTCGCGGGATAGAAATAGATGGCGCCCATTTCAATGATTAGAGGTCCTGCTCAATGTTCCAAGCGTCGCAAGATGGGAACAGACCGCAGTCCATGCCTACGACGCTATTAAAAGAAGATAATGTTCCCTGTCCGCGAACTTGCGTCTAGAGATAGGAACAAGCCGCATCCATCTGTAGATCTTTTTATATCCAGGAAAGCAGGCAGGAAACACGATGATGCCTCGACGCATATATATACGATAGATCCACTCAAAAGGAGTTGCATGATGCCTTCTTTTTCCGCCAATTTGCGCAGGACGGAGTACGTCATATAGATGGATGAATGTTGTTCTGAGATAAGATTAACAGATAAAGCAGGCGAGTGTAGAGAAGGACCCTGAAAAACTTCAGGGCTCGATCCCGATTTGAACTAGAGAACCTCCGCATAATCATGATACTATACAATAAGGCTGAGCTTCACCTTGCATTGCAGAAGCGATAACCGTCTTCGCTGCCGGGCTTTGACACCAGCCCAGCGATGAATGGTTTCCCTCCTCTCCCTCTCGAAGGCTATTCCTCTTCTCAACCTCAGTGGGGTTTTGCGGTCGGGTTCGTGCATGGTGATGCAGCTACAAGCGCTCACCGTTTTGGTCATCTAAAACACCCAAGGTATTGGTTGGTTTCGATTCGGGCTTCAAATGTCCACCCTGAATCGTTATCATATATCCCTGAATCTTATCTCCCAAACTCCTGATAGAGTGGATAGAGTGGCCTTGCTCCAGATTTGACCTGGCAACATCTACGTGTTGATTTCCCCGCAGGAGATGCCACGAATGGCACCGTCACTATCAAGCCCTGCGTAAAGGCCATTGATCATCATTGAAGACTACGATGAAGCAAGTGGAAGAGTCATTAGTGAAGGTAAACATTGCGAAGGAAGAGAGTCTCAGCGTAGCCCTAGAAAAACGGGCTGAACAGGATACCTCTGCAGATCATCCACAAGTGCAGACAAACGCGTTGCAGACGCGATTACCGTCTTCGCCATCTTGATAACAGAGAGTTAGGCGAGCAAATGTTTGTTTGATTGCAGGGAGATTAAACGTCAATTAGAATTGGGGAACTGAAACCCGAACTGTAAGTAGGCACTGTGTCCTTCGAGGGAAAGAAAATGGTGATTGCCAACTTCGGCCAGGAGTCAAATACCAAAGGGAAGAGGAACAGCCTCCCAGAGGCAGAGGTGCTTAAGCCTCAAGCTGCGGCCACAAGAAGGTGGTCTAAAGCTCGCGCCATGTTTGACTAGGCAACATCTGCACGTTAGATCCACTACAGGAGATATGACGGACATTGTCATCATTAGCTCTGCGTGGTGACTGTCAGCTCATAATAATCAATGCCAGCAAGTCAAAGAAGTCAACTATGAAGCTCATCATCGCGAAGGATGAGGTAGCCTCATGGAAGATACGCAATAGATCCAGAACGAAAAGAGCAGGAACAAAGCAGGTCGGCCGAATTGGAAGGAAGGCAACAAAAGTGGGCGCCAGAAAGGCGTTTCGGCAAAAGAACGGAAAAGTCACCCATTAACACGTATAATTAGTTCAATCGATGGAACTCATGCGTCAAGAGGGTGCGGTTTGACGTTGTTCGAATGTCTATATCACCGAGAATACAACGAAGTGTTTTGTCTTTGCCAAAGGGAGACAGCGTCATCTACGGGGGCTGTGTTCACGAGGACTTCAACCCAACGGTGGGTTCCTCTTTCACCAAGGTCTGTAGATAGAATATCATCAGCCAAGTGTACAGAATCTGGAATGGCGGAAACTACTCACCTGGACGCCGCCAACACCATTGGCCCATTTCTGGTACCTCACTGAAGTGAGACCTCTTTTCTCCGCAAGGAGGCGCTCCTCTTCCTTCAGCGAAGAGCGGACAGCACGAGCCGTGATTGAAGCAAACTTGTTGTAACTGAGATCCACACAGTAGTCAGGAGCTTGACGTCGAAGGTGAAAGAGAAGGAGACGTACGTGAAGAGAGTTCTCCAGGCGGTCATCGTGTCAGACGGTGGTGGAAGGAGCAAAAAAGTTTTATGGTGAGCAGAACGATGAGGACAGCGAAGAAGTTGGATTCCGGAACAGTCCGAAAGACCATGTGACTGAATTTACTGCTCTCGGATGACGTAATTGCGCCTGTTGCCACTGTCTCGCCACGATTGTTACCCTCCCCTCGTCGTTTACGACGTCCTACAGCCTCAGAGCCTCGCCACCGTTGTTATAAGCGAGCTTGATATTGAGAACGCCGCAGGTCCTCAGACTACGCTACTTGGCCGACTTCATTTGTGACAAGACTCCAGCATGGCAGGCATAACATGGCATTATGTCTTCAAGTTCATTATCACAGGTACGCGCCAGCCTCGCGTCTCCCACACGACATAGGCTATTTGACATATAATCCTTTCATTTCCGACTGCTAATATCATCTAAATCTCACCAGGCGACGCAGCTGTCGGAAAGTCGTCTCTTCTCATCCGTCTCACGGATCAGAGATTTCTGGTGAATCCAGACCCGACAGTAAGTTTCAAACATTTATATTATTTGATAATTGCGCTCATATTCTCCGAAATTACGTTCTATCTCGTTCTGTTGCCATGTGCCACTCACCAGCTTGGGGTTGAATTTGGCTCGAAACTTATAACGATACCAGAGGAGGATAAGATCGTCAAGTTACAATGTGCGTGCACATTTAACCCGTGAATACACGGCGTTTATGTTGCGGGCACCCGCGTCGTCATGACGTCTCTAACGTCTCTCCCCCCCACCAGGCTGGGATACCGCTGGCACTGAGTCGTTCCGGGCCATTACACGGTCCTACTACCGCGGTGCGGCAGGCTGTTTGCTCGTCTACGATGTAACATCCCGGAAAAGTACGTTGTCAGCTCCTGCACGTCTCATACCCATTTTAATGAGCAATGCAGGTTTCATGAATGCCCGCACGTGGCTAACCGACGTCCGAGAACACGCCGACCCGCAGCTCACCTGTATCCTCGTCGGCAACAAGGTTGATCTGTGTGAAGAAAGCAACCCCGTGGCTGACGTCACGGCATCCACAACCCCTCCGACGTCGACAGCGATGGCTCCATCTTCAACAAGACTAAACCCAAGCCCAAGTCCCTCAAAGCGCGGTTCTGCTGTGCCATCTTCGAAACGCAGAGCCAGGGAAGTGACATCTGAAGAGGCTGCACTCTGGGCTAAGGAGGAGGGCCTTCTCTTTGTAGAGGCTAGTGCCAAATCAGGGCAGAACGTCGAGTTGGCTTTTGTGCAGGCCTCGCAGGACATTTTGATCAAGATTCGCAACGGCGTTTTTGACGACGATAGAGTAAGTTTTGAAGGTTTACAGTCAAACAAAGCTGACTCTTACGCTCTTTAGTCCCCAGGAATAAAGCTTTCCAAGCCCAATACCAACTTGACTCTGGAGCAGAATACTGCGCGTTCATCATGTTGCTCATGAGCAACCTCTCTATCATCAATGGTCTCACTTTCTGTTCCTCTCTGTCACGAACCTTGCCTCATCCGCCTACGTTAACCGCAGTTTTTCTTAATTCATTCATTCATTCGGGCAACATATCACTACTCGACATCCCACAATAATCGATATTCTCTTCCCAGTTATATCCCTTCCCCTACAAACAAGACGTAACGGATTATGACACCAAGTTACAGTCGTGTAATACGACTGATGACCATCAGGTAGATGTATTAAATTATGTATGTATAACATGAAGTTTCTTGTATCATCGTCTCCCAGGACGTTGTATCCCATCCCTTGTCCGATCTGGAGCTTGAGCGTCTGGTTTCAAGCGAGTTAAACGGGTCGAAATTGATGACCTCACGCCAACATTCAAGGAAGTGAGTTTCCCCTGGCTCTTTCGTTTCAAATTCATCACACCACACCTTATTAACTTCAGTCATAGCTCTTTCTTGCGGCTTTAGCTCTATTCTGCTCCGCTGTTTCCCAACACAGCCGTTTCTTTTCCCAAAGAATTACTTCTTCAGTGATGGATACGACCGGCCAGTCTGAAAGGTCGCGAACCTTACTGCTTTCGCGCTTCCGATCAACCAATGCCGAAGGGAATTCGCAGCTGGTAGATGTTGAAGCCATATCAACCTTTCAACATTCAGGCGGCGGATCGATTTTTGGTCCCGTCCAATGGCTGAAGAACCAAGAAACCGAGCTCGTTAGACACCTCAGTTCGTTTCGCGGAAGTATCGCAAAGAAGTCCACCTGCTATTCATCGCGCCAACGCTACACCAGGCATCTTAACCTCAGACAGTTACTCAAGATGTTCATGAACTAGCTCTTGCTCTCCCACAACCCCTGCCAACCAAGCTGACATCTCAGCGGCTACTCTAGGCATTCGTGAAATTACCTGACCCTTCCTCCTCCAACTTTGAGTCTTCCCTTGGCTCGGAGCCATATTACCAAGTGCGCGCGTATTTTGATACATTCAAACTCCACTTCTGATGTACTCGTTAGCGGAAACACCCCAGTGGTAAATGAATTACTAGACTTCTCCCCGTCTGTATACTCCATAATTACGGCTCGTTTACAGTTTTCTATCTTGCCCTGTTTTTTCCAAGTGCTGATTCTGATGAAACTGTTCAAGGATCCGAAAACCCGGGAATTTCTCTCCTCCTTCCATGGCAATATATATCTTGCCCCCACCGCATGCCTGGGACGCGAATGCACAAGCACGACTTGTGATCTCGAATTATGGCGATAATATGACCAACCAGGCTCGGTGGCGGTATGTGCTGAGACCACGCCTCAATTCACCCGCTACCCTTGGACGTAATCCTGAATTCAAACGGCAATCATGACAATCCTTCCAGGGCACATTTCTATTCAAAGCCCACTCCCGGCATTAGCTGTGCGGCAAGATGTCTATCGTCCGAAATCCCCTCGCCTTTGCCACAAGGGTCGATATCACGTACTACTATGTGCAGCTGATAAACGGAGTTTTTGACGCGCACACCTGTGTTTTGTTATGTTTCAAGTTTATGGCCGCTGAAATTCACTGGCATGGATTGTTTACTAGGCCTATTCAACGCGGGGATGATCGTGATGAGATACTCCTCCATCACCACTACACAGCCATAATACAATTTCCAAAAATCCGTTTTACGCATGCGCAAAGATCAAAGAGTTTCAATGCTATGTGGTTACATTACGGATATGGATGGCATCATACAACCCGGAACTAGAGAGAAACATCCGGCGTAATCGCATTCACATTGATGTTATACATAGGGAATGGACCAGCAGCCTGAGGATTAAAAGCTAAGAGTCGCTAAGATATCGTATTGATAGTGGTGGTACAAAATGGTATAGAATTGTTCTATGTATATGAGGCGAATGCAATAAATAATGGACAAGTGTTGAAACTTTGAACTTTTCGTCGTAAATCATAAATCCGAAACAACGGTCGCGGATGAGGACAACCAAAACACACCAACGGAATAATAGGAGATGCGATGAAAATTTCTTTTTTTAGGTATTGAACCCCGGAAGCCCAATGGACGCAAGAAAAAAAGGAGAGTGGCGAAGAACGAGATCAATCCTCACGAGTTTTGGCCCGGCGGAGAAAATGGCGGTATAGGAGGAGGCATAGCCCTACCCAAAGAGTCCCTCCCATATTCATGCAGCTGCTGGATAAACCCGAAATTCGGGTCCGCAACGAATCTCTTGCCTTTGATGTACTGAATCGCTTCGCTTGGAGACCACCCAAACTGTGCCATCAGAAACGCGGCGACGACGCTCACGCTCCTGCTTACGCCCTCTATACAATGCACCAGTACCCTCGCTTCCGCGTTGCCGCAAAGCGCATCACGGATCCATGCGGTCGTAGTGGGGAGGTGAGCCGCGAGCTCCGCGAACGGCAGGTCCTCCACGCGGATCTGGAGTCGGGCAGGTTGTACTGGGAGGAGGGTGGGTGGCGGATGGAAGATGGTGTCTGGGAGGGTGGAAAGGATATGTGTAATCCTATGTGAGGCGAGGAGCGCTGGGTTTTCGGCGAAGGCGAGGTCAGAGATGAAGAGGCGGGGTATAATTTCGGAGACGCTCCGCGCGGGGCGGCCAAGATGTTGGGTTGGAGAAAAGGGGTTAGCCGAGGGTAGTGAGGCGGTAGGCGCGAGCGTCCATTGATGGTGAGGGGGAGGGCGCGAATGGTTATGGTTCGGGTGGTTGGAAGACATCGGATGGTGTGAGGAGGGTGGGGTGTTATATACGGGAGCGGTGTTACTCCTGCTTGGGTAGGGATAAGAAGAAGGCTGGAAAGGCAGTGTGAGTGGACTATATATGGTGCATGACGGTAAGAGAAGGGTGGACGGATTTAAGGTAAGGGTAGCGTCTCATCATTAAAATGATAGAGGTATGATGGCGATTTTAGAGAAGTTACAACCCCGAACGCCAAACTTTGAACGTTCAAAGGCGGATACGAATACGGAAAAATGTATTTTGACTCACCATGATCGCACTTCCGACGTAGGACATTAAACAAATGATAGGCCGTTTATCCGTCGATAACTCCGAGCGGGATAAACGTGGGTCCTCTCGCTTTCGGAAACGTAGGCAGGCGGGCAGGAAGGAGAGAAACGTCAGACAGACGCCTGGCAAGGACGAAAGGAGATCTATAAGATATGTTGTAGCTGTGTGCGCCGTGGCTGGAGTAAATGGGGATAACGGCCCCCCTAGATTTCCAAGACAGAGGATGCTTGGTCGTCGGAATAGCCAAAGTAAGAATCTCTTTTGAAGTTTTGATAAAGTTGATGGAACGGGAAGATATTTGATGGAGACAAACAGAGGATGATGTCAACGTCGTCCGTCAATCCAGGGTCTCAACTGAGTGATTAGATTGCAGATTACAGATTGGAGAGGAACCGAGGGAGGGCAGGGCGCCCAGCCAGGAGACGAGAGCAAAGGGTGTTCCTTTTCTGGAGCGAGCGCCTATATAGCCAAAGATGGATTAAATCTCCGAGTCCCGGAAGTGGACTTCGTCGTCGCAACGCAACGCCGTTCAGCAGAAGTCAATAAGGGAAGGTGGGCGCGAACGGGGAGGGGACGGAGGTTAGCAATCAAGAAACCAGGTGAATGATCCCCAACCCATCAAACCTGTCGTTCTTAAGAGCACATTTCGACAGCCGCAGTAGTAATACATACCGTACTGCATATGTCATACCAAAGTTCAAACCCAAACAATAGCTCGGGAATGATGGAGGGATGGCCGAAGGCGGAACAAAGAGCCAGGGCAGGTCGGGATCGGAACGCAAGATAGCCAGAAGTCTCAAACACCAAACGTTGAGCAGGTGCATGGTGCACGCAGGATGTACACTGCCAGCATATGTATTACCAACATGTCAAAGACTGGCCCCGATGTCATTCGTCCAGCCAAAAGGAGGGGTTCCCCTGCGTTTCGGAAGGGAGTCGAGTGAGAAGAAGTCGTGGAGAAACGATTTGAGCGATCCAGGTGGAAGAGGCTAGGCATGAATGATGATGAAGCGGCTGTGAAGCGGTGTTGCTGGGGAATATTGCCAATTGAATCCCGAAGTATTCCCTACCTGTGGTGCCTCGGGAACGCCGAAACGCGAATGCAATGCTGTGCATCCACCTTGGATCTAGAACAGCCACATTAGACCCACATGCATTCAATCCTCCTATCAGGCGCTTGTGTATATAGACGACGATCGACCTGATCCGTCGGTGGAGTGGGAATGGGGATCAGGAAAAAAGAAAATTGCGAGAAATTTGAGGGAAGGCCAGGAAGCAAAACCGGAATGGATAAATATATCGTGTTGAAGCTGAATGGAGTGGACAAGGACTGGACGAGGAAGAACCTTGCATAAGAAAGCCTGCAGATATTCATTCTACAGAGAGCCAAGAAAAGACATCATTGAATGTCGAAACGACTAGTGACATAACTCGACTTTTGGGGCGGAGGGCATGTATCATAAGTGATAGGAGAGAACTGATCGAAAGAAAGAGAGAGCGTGGTCAGCTCGTGAGAGTATCAGATTCGTGAAATGAAGTGAGGAAGCAAGAAATTGGGCCCGCAGGAGAGAGGAAAAACTATGTAGGAAGGGGACAACAAGACAACATCTAGATGAGATCATTGTAGAGATGAAGAAAAGTGATCAGATCTCGGACTATCAGGGACACGCCGTAAGAGCTGCACTCACGCAACGTTAAGAGGCATCTCGTCAATCTGGGTGTTGTAGAATTCTGAAATGAGATAGTCACAATGATGCGCGCCAGAAAACAAAGAAAAGTCCACTAACGTTCGATATCTCTCAGCATCCTCACATCGTCGGTCGTGACAAAGTTGATGGCGACACCCTTACGTCCAAATCGTCCTCCACGACCGATACGATGGATGTAGTTCTCCCTGTTGGTGGGCAAGTCATAGTTGATGACGAGGGAGACTTGCTGGACGTCAATGCCACGAGCGAGAAGATCAGTCGTAATCAGGACGCGCGATGATCCAGATCGGAACTCCTTCATCAGAACTTCGCGCTGCTTCTGTTCCATGTCACCGTGCTAAGGAAACAACAACAGGGACGGTGATCAGTCTGAAAGTTAGATAGAAGGGAGACAGGTAACCATGGCCGAAACGGTGAATTCCCTGGAATGCATCTTCTCAGTGAGCCAATCGACCTTCCGCCTGGTGTTGCAGAAGATGACAGCTTGAGTAATGGTGACGGTCTCGTAAAGATCGCACAGGGTGTCGAGTTTCCACTCTTCCTTCTCAACAGCGATTCAGAACTGCTTGATACCCTCAAGAGTCAGTTCATCCCGCTTGACAAGGATTCGGACAGGGTCGCGCATGAACTTTTTGGTGACCTCTAGAACGTCAGCGGGCATGGTGGCGGAGAGGAGAACGACTTGGGTATCCTGGGGGAGGAGTTGGAAGACTACATCCACAGGCCTGTTAGTGCCCAAACAAGATCAGGAAGCAAACAAACCGACCCTCGTAAATTTGGTCCTTGAACCCACGAGACAACATTTCATCGGCCTCGTCCAAACAAAATATCTTGATGTTGTCGGTCCTCAGTGCACGACGGTTGATCATGTCGAATACACGGCCTGGGGTACCCACAACGACTTGGACCCTCCTGGAGCTTGGCCATATCCTCACGGACATTGGTGCCACCAACGCAGGCATGACATTCGATGTTCATGTAGTCACTGAGAGCAATGACGACCTTTTGGATTTGCTGGGCCAGCTCGCGGGTAGGTGCGAGAATGAGAGCCTGGGTGCCCTTGATGGACATGTCCAGCTGTCGTCCGGGTCAGCTAAGGATAATCGACGAGATGAGACACAAGCGAGGCTACTTACCTGCTGGAGAATAGAGATAGAGAAGGTGGCGGTCTTGCCAGTTCCCGACTGGGCTTGCGCAATAACGTCGTGGCCCTTCACAACAGGGACGATTGCACGCTGTTGGATGGCGGACGGACGTTCGAAACTGAGGTTGCAGGTTCAGCTATGTTCAGTGATTAATGAAGAGGTGACGGACCCATAGGCGTAAATTCCTCGGAGAAGTTCTGGCTTCAGATCCATGTTATCGAAGCTAGGCAATGACGAGAAGCAATCAGTGTCGTTGTAGCACTATCGGGATACATTAAGGCTTACTTGTCGACGATCTGGTCCCAATTAGACTCGATCTCGTTTTCTGGGACATCCTGAAGTTGTTCTTCTCTAGAGATAAAAGTGAAAAAAATGAGGATTGGCCATGGTAGAAAAAAGTGGGTGCTGACGCTGACATGAATAAGTTGTAGTGTTATCTCCAAGTGTCGACTGCCAGTGTCGACTTTGTCTTGGAAATGAAGGAGATTACTCAGAAACTGAGAAAGTGTTGTGTTTTGGTTGTGTTATAGATCTTGTGCTATGAGCGATTATTTTTTAAATTCTGCTAGGCTCACCGGCATCTGCCGAACATTCTTTCAGCTTGTAGTACGGGCCCGAGATTCAGTTCTAGCGGTCAAAGCGCAAATCAGCATGACTCTTTAGGCAAGTTTAAGAAACTCAGAATTGCACAAGGTTGGTCCTTAGAAATTACTCCTCGACGCAGCCGATGTTATTGAGCGGCGACAGAGCGCTAACGCACTGCATCGCCTCGCCCCAAACTCTGGCAGTACGGTACCTGGTGTCGTACTGCGGAAGCGCTGCGACGATAACTCTATCCAATCCTGCCACTGGTACACCTAGTCCGTCATTGATGGCGAAACTTAGTTCAACCATTAGCTTTGGGCTTCAGGCCATTCGAATGTCCCGGTCTGTCCGTCCAAGCAGCATTCCATCAACTCTTTGGCTTTTTTCTGAAATTTTTGATCCCTCAGACTGGTTCTCACACTGCAGGAGCTTTGAATCTACCCTTCTTTTCTTTGGGGATTTAACCCCGTCATTTTTTCTCCTGCATTTTTTACAGTGACGTTATGATCCTATCATTAACAAGAACCCCGTTTTCTCAATTGTCTTGTAGTCTTATGGTTCGTTCCGACAGCTCCAGGTCCCCAAGCTAGTAGGTGCGATGATATGGATTACTTCTTTTTTTTGGTCGATTTACTTCATCGTCTTCCTACTTACATTGTTCCTAGACATCTTTGGAGCCATACCTGGCCTCCGAATAGCCGTCACTCTGGAACGGCCATCTCAGGGAATGAAAAATTATCAACACTCATTGATGTAGCCCGCGATGTAATCAATTTATCACATCATTAATGCTCACAAATGCCTCCTTCCCCAGGTATATACCGGTCCCAGAATATAAGGGTCTGTCGCCAAGCTGAAGGTTGCTTGATCTATGAGAACCCGGTACTGAAATTCTACTCACAGGCTATATTCTGCCTGCAGGCTACGAACGCTTTTGCGCTATTTAAATTCAAGGGAAACTTTGCAATTGGAACCTCCAGCACACCCCTTCAAATTTTGTATCAAAGGGTACGGTATACGGTAACCATCTTCAAATTCTATCTTACCCTTATGTATCACTGATGTAGAGACTTGGAACTTCAGAGTCTCCGTCCCCGTCGCTTATCAAAACGTTTTTCCAAGCTCCCTACCACAAATTTAAATTTGTGTGTCAGTATGATCACTGATACCCCTAGTCCAAAAAAGAAAACCCCCACGTTCACTGCAGGTTATGGCGAACAATCACCCGAAAGTTGCGCTGTGGAAAGTTGGAAATATTTACTGCTTCTTGATTCAAGGCTTGACCCCGATATTCTACTTCTATCAGGCAAACCTTGCTATCAATGAAACACCATGCAGCTTTGGTGGCCTCACGACTTTCTTGCGTCATGTTCTGCTAAATTTTTTACCCCATGAATTCATGTATGAAAACTTCGTATTCTATTTTTTTATTATCTATGTGTCACTGATGTAGAGACTTGAGCAGTTTAGCCCAACTCCGCCTTCATCGCGTACCGAGCGGAATTCTTAGAGGCTAAAACTCCCAAGTAAACAGTGATACACCTGGTCAAATTTTTTCTAGCGTTTATGGCGGCCAAAAAATACCACCGATCTCCTAAAAATGGCGCTGACAAAAACAAAAACATATTTTCTCGTTTTCACACTGCGAAACACCGTCTTCAAAAATACCGTTGCTCCATATCGCCAGCTGAGCCCATGTGAAGATGATACTGGACAGTAACAATGTACATAACTATACTGCGGCGCTTTTTCAGGGATGGAAAGACTTTCTGGTTCAGTGTCTCCGCCCTCTTCGCGGATCAGGCCAATTTTAAGACGCTCTTAGTCGTCTAATTTTTATTGGGTGCAATCAGATAATATACCTACCTAGTCCAATTTATTTCTTGCGTTTGTGGCTACGGTATATATTGAACAGGTACCTGTAACATAGCTCTGTCAAGGGTTCATCCATTGCTTGTTTTTAGGCGTCGTTGGCTTCTCCAAATAGTATAGGGCTATTTATAGAACATTTGTGAGGCAACATGGCCATGTGAAGAATCGCGCTCTTCCAGGTTTCTTCTGAATTTGGCCAAAATTTGGCATGATTGCACGATGGGACTGCTGCTTTCTGATATGTTTCATGATTCTCCTATCCGAATTACGTCAAATAGGCATAAGTATGGTCCCGGAACTTCATGTCAGAGCTTGCTCAGAGCGAAACAGTTACCGTGTATATTGGGGGCAGGGCCCATCAAACTCAGTGACGGAATTAAGAGTTCAGGTTCCCCTTCAGCATCGATCTGTCTAACCTGACAGGGCAGAGTTAAATGAAGTTGATCGATTGCGGTAGATGTTGCGAGGCTGTCCGTATAGGTCCGCAGCGTAAACATTTAACATGCAGAGCGCCCTAGATCTCAAGTGAATAGATTCATACATGAATATGTTTCTGATCCATCCATATTCTGTTATTCCATTGTGTATATAAAGCTCTATATAAGTCCGTGTTAGAAGTGGTATACATAAGCGTAGAAATTTAGTTTCAATTTCAATTTCGCCTTCTAGGTATCAAAACTTGCCCCAAAATCGTCGTAAAATGAGGTAGCGAGTAGTTGCCATCAAAATAGTCGCAACCACGATAACACTACCTGCAGAGTAACAATCTCTCATCAGTTTCACTGCAGGCGGTCAAGGGTGAGCGACGTACCCGCGTAATAGCTGACTGCGTTGAAGCCGCCAGTGGATCTGAAAATGGCACCCGATATTGGGGGTCCACAGAGCGCGCCGACTGCGGTAAACATCATCACGGTTCCCAGTCGCCGGCCCACGTCGCCCATTTCCCCAAGAGCGAAAACTGGCATGTTGAGAGCCGATACGAACGAAGATGAGGTGAACCTCCACCCACAGTGTCAGCGCTAATTCAACCCGCGCCAAAAACAACTTACCCGTAAAGGATAGCCACAACTATGAGCGAGCCTTTGGTATGTGCATATGGCCAACCGAACGTCATTATGGCGCTAGCAAGTGTCATTGGTACCATCACATTGACAGGGCCTAGGTTTTATTTAGTACCACTCGTCCGAAGTCATCATACAGGAGGAAAGCTCAGACCAAATTTGTCTGCCATAATTCCAGTGGCGATCCGGCCAGGTCCGGAGCTAGCGTTCGCAATACTAACGAGGTAGAACGCAAAGTCCGGAGATACCCCAACAAGGACGGCGCTTGTATTTATGTATGTCAGAACTACGATAAGGGTCAATCAAAATCTTTTTTTTACTAATGGGCGAATCGTTACCGGTGTAAATCCCGAGAAAAGCGACGAGCGTCGCGAAGCAGTATATTGTGAAAGCAGGTGACCTGAAAACCCTGACATTGAAGAGGCCGCCTGGAACGTCTTTTGGCGGGAGTCGTGGTTTGAGCGTGAGATTTGATACGCTCAACATGACCATAGAAATCAAAGCCATGACGCGCATGGTCCAAGAAAATCTGTTTTTCGCGTCAAAGTGATGAATCTATATATTTTTGTGAGGTTTCTTACCCAATGAGGGGCATAAGTTGACGGGCCGCGATTGGGTAGATAGTTCCACCTATCGACGATCCCACTGCCACCATACCCAGCGCCAGCCCGCGCTTGACTAGAAACCAATGACCGACGATTCCCAAAGTGGGCCCAAAACAAATTCCGCTTCCAATCTGCAGGAATATAAAGTGAGCCACACGAGTTTAGCGAGAGAAGCGCGACATAAATTGACGGACCCCAGTCAGAATACCTTGGCAAAGTAGAAAATGCCAATATTTTTTGCATTCCGCAGTAATCAGGCAGGATACAACGACGAGTATACTTCCAAATAAGAAAGGGAATCGAAAATGCCCAAGATCTAGCAACCTTCCCGCAATAAGGCCGGGGAGGAAGACCAGGGCATACTGAGTAGCAGGGGATGAAGGTATTCTGTGCATGGATGGCGGAACTTAAAGCTGGTTACCTGTATTGATCCGATCCATGATCTGATTGGTTGGACATGACTGGGTTAGTACTACAACATTATAACGGGTGGCGAGCCACACTCACATACTTGAGGGTGAGATATCTCGCATTACATTTGACGTGTAATAAGACTGGAACACCTGGATCATGCGTTAGAGAGAGTCCTGCTGCCAATACGCGTTAACTCACCCCCCAGGCATTGACATAACCAAATCTACCAGGCGAAGGTGAGTAGGTTTTTTAAAACGAGTCACTTGAACAACCACGCACGTTGAAAAAGTGCAACACATCGCCTGGAGGGCGGGAGGTGACTTTCAACGCAAACGCGAGGCTATTCTTAGCTTACCCCACAAACAACGAGCCAGGCTCTTGTGCCGCCATCCGGAAAATTTATCTCCACAGACGGTGCTCTCGATGCGATCTCATCGATGCCCTCCTTTTTGTCTTCCCGTTCGTGATTGAAAGACGTCTGGTTTTTTAGTGACGGGAGGTTGTCTGTCGACGCCGCGGTGACAGATCGAGAATTCTGCATGGCCTTGGGAGTGGCGATCGAAGAGAAAGGGACAGTCGGGAATATGTCGTTGAGTCATATTTTTTAAGTCAAAACTCATGGCTGACTGACACAGTCATGGGGATGGTAAATGGTTGAGCCTAGTTGGCCGATTGTACCGGTTGTGCCTTGCTTGTTTGTACAAATAAACACGCCGGGACGTCCCCGGGCCGTGTTTCACGCTGAGAACGCATGCACCAGAAATTTCCTTCGCAGCTAAGAAACCTCAAAAATGAGTCAGAAATTGGGATGACTGATACGCTGCCCAGCCTAAATGTCCGGACCGTCGGGTATGACGGGGAGCGTGCGTGTGGAGGGCGTAAATCCTAATGGCAGCTTGGAGACTTGAACGGATCCAACTTTCTACGGGTTTCTAGTAAGGTAGGGGACATCCATCTCTCTCCAACGTCACGTGCAAGGCGTGACATTTCTATTTTGAGCGGCAGTTATACAAAAATGCATCTAAAACATTCCTTCAACAATTAGATACAAATCGGAAACCAGGAGTTTGTGCCAAAATAGGTTGTGAACCGACGCAAAAAGAAAAAAATGTGTAAAAATGTGTTGCACCCAAATCATATCAAAAATACATTTGGGCGTTTAGATTAGTGGCGCGTCGTGTCGAAATCAACAGAATTTCCCTGGACACACCGGAAATACAGCGAAACACAAAAGGCTCACCCAGAAAAGGTCAAAGAACCTTCAGAGAGGCTCTAAAAGGAATAGAGGACCTGAAAGATTGAAAAAGAGAAGAGAGTGGCACCTACTTTGTGCATATTTTTGTATTTTGCATACCATTCCATGAGATCAAAATCCTAGCTTCTATAACTTTGTATATAGCTTTCTAACAACAATTATAACAATCTCCTGGGAGCCAATTTTGAATTTCTACTCTGGAGTTGCATATCTTCCATCTTCCAGTCCCCGTGAATATAAAAGGAGCGTTATTGTAACAGCACGTGACGTTGGAGAGAGATGGATGTCCCCTACCTTATGTCGCGCAGGAGCCTCTCTATTCATCAGCATGAGAAAATTCGCCCAGAAGTCCAGCCTTTATTCCTGATCCTACACCCTTACAATAGATACATTAAGCATGCTACATGCCTGCAGCAAAAAGTTTGATACAAGTTCGTCACGATTCTATCACTCAATGTTGTGGTTTTTCGTCTTGATGTATTCTGGCGGTGAAAGGGTTGACTTTGGCTACGAAAAAACACTTACTTTCTAAATGCGGAGAGCATGAGGATGGAAACGCACCGGAAGTAGTCCAGCATCGTTCATAGTTTCTGTCGTTGTATTCATCTCGATTGATATAGCTTGAGCGAACTGAAGAAGCCATGGTTAGATACTGTACGGAATGAAGCTTTTTTCCTCCTTACGTCTATTCTTGAATTTTCTCTGCCAGTGGGGTCTCGTCGTACAACAGTCCCAGTCCTGGGTTCGCCGTATAGCTCGACAGAGGCACTATAAATCGTTTCTCTCATCTCCCGACGCTCGTTTAGGCTGAAGATTACATGGTCAGTGATGTCACCACGGCCCGAGAACCACAACATACGCGGAGAGAAGACTGTTAGAATATACTGCAAAAGACGTGTCAATCTGCGTTTAGGATTCAAAACGGGTTCGGCCTACGTTTTGCAAGGAAGGTGTACAAAGCTAGCCAAATAACTGAACAAAGGAGTTAGAGACGTCTCGGTGTTAGGGCGACGGAGAGCAACGTACGTGTTTCGGGAATGGATAGGAACTAGTTTCTTGAAGCATAAGTTAGTATAATGGGGAAGAAAGAGAACGTCGTACACATATTAGCAGCGCCACGGCAGAAACACTAAATGACAATAGTTAAAATAGCAAATACGACAGAAAGGACACGCAAATACCTTGTGAGTAAACCAGTGCCTTTCATAATAATAGGTCATAAAAATCATGACTTAAAAGACAAGGGATCAACTTACGAATGGTATAAGCAACAAGGCGGTCAAGTAGCCTGGCCACCCTATTAGGAAGGGAGTCAGTTCGGGTATCCATACCTGTGCACGAAAGCCGCGTACTTGCTGAAAGCGTTCTTCCGACTCTTGTGAAGGTAGTATACCATCGACGCCGCAATTGTGACGTCGATGATCGCACCGCCGACCAGCAGCGTCGTAATCAGCCATTTCCATTGGACCGCGTATTGAGCAGCAGAGGGCGTAGTGATGCCTTGGTACGAGAGAAAAGTGCTTCCTATCATTCGAGCGAAAGACGCGAGACCACAGACGAGGCCAACATAGCGGAAAGGATCGGGTAGAACCTTCCACACGCGCAGCGCAAAGAAACCCTACAATGGAACGGTCAAGGACGCTTGAAGTAATCGCGGAATTTTACTCACTTGAACCAAAAGCGTAATCAAGCCACCAATTGTCAGCGTCGCCCCCAACGCGGGGAATTGCGTCAGTTTGTCGGGTCGTCCGTATAACACAATCGTTGCGTGATAAATTTCATAGCAGATGGCTATTGTATGTCCAACTTCCAGTAGCCTTCAACCGCGCTCTTAAAAATGACCGACATATCTGAAAGAGAGCATACCAGATACCACCGACCTGAAGAAGGACGAGTCAGCGCTGGGTTCAGAGAAATCATAATGACATCACAGGCGCACCAGTGCTTTTGTTGACCAGTGATCTTCTCTGAATTGGGTAAAGTACAAGTGCGTTTGCAAAGTGACCACGCCAAAGAGAAAGACAGAAAAGAGGGTGCCTATCAATAGTGCTCCAACGGTGTCGGTGAGATCGACATGAATGAGACCTGTCGACATCCTAGAAGGTGGGTAGAGGGAGTGTAAAAGCTGGGGTCTATCCAGGACCAAGAAAGCTCATGCGAACACCCCTGTTTTTTAAGCATACATCGATTGGTACCTTGAATCTTGAATCTGGGATCGGGAGATCGGAGTCGACGCCCTGAAAGTCGCGTGGCGAGGCCAAGTCTGGCCAAGTACATTGATTCTACCTCGGCAAGATGTCCATCCAAAAATGCATCTGCTTTTGTATGAAGAAAGTACTGTTATAGAAAGCCGTAACTTTCTACTTCAACCGGAGCCCTTGCTCCTTGGTTCAAGTGGATGGAAGAACGAATAATGCGTCGGAAGAATCACGGGCCTTTCCGCTATCTGTCGATCAATCCACTCTGCCATAGTCACGCGTCCCTTCGGCATGGGAAGAAGCTCAAGCTTACGTTCAGCCTTGCCCCCTTCCTCTGAGTCTGTCTTCGTATTTTGCAAAGAGACAAAACCTATGTAAGTACATATCCCACTATTATAATTGTGTATATAACATTTTTGCCCGCCGAGCCTTCGACTCTCGACCGGCCTTTACAATCACCGGGCAAGGCTGGAAGAGTTTGCCGAAGGTCGTCTTGGGACTTGACGTTGTCAATCTGTCAGAACCGAAGGAACTAAGTACCTACTACTAACATTATTGCTCAGGTACATATCATTGATCGTTGGCTTCACTAGGCGGAGCAGATCTTTCACAGACATCCGCCCCAGGATTGCGAAGATTTTCTATCCAACTGCAAGTAGCCCCTACAGTCCAGGTAAGAGGCAAGCAACATTGTTATTTAGCAACCATCCTGGCAAAACTACAGAAATCACTATGAGACGATTCGTTGACCTGAAAATACGACATCCCCTCGGAAACGGAGCTACCGTCTAGGCATGTGGATTTGCAAGCACATGCACGGCGATGACTTTCGATTCCGAGAAAATCTGAAGCTACGCCGAGAGAACCTGACAATTTACAATTCACAATGGATCAAGGGGGTGGCAAAAATAAATCATATCGAGTCCCAAGAATCCAGCACATGAACTCCTTCCTCCTGTTGCTCCACTCTATAGGGCATATTTCTCTCGCCGCTCTATGTTTTTCTTGGAAAGAAGAAAACCATGATGACTACTCTCTCCTTACCTCTCGACGAACTAAACTCTTTGTCGCATTGACTGAGAATTGGCCAATATCAGCACAAAGGCAAAGAAGAAAACAAACTTCTGGCTCTCCCTGCAAGACGCTGTACATGACCTCAGGTTAAATAATTTCAGCAAACGTAAAGCTGATCCAAAGTAGCTTGGCAGTGGCGGTAAAGAAAGGAGAAGGGAGATTGTGCAGCACGCTCACGTGGATGTTATGGTGATCCGGGGCCCGAACTCGCGAAGCACCGGGGACGTACTCTCGAATCTCACTTCCACTGCGGCCAAGTCAATTCAAAGGCAACCTAGCGCCAAAGCGACTTGTGTGGTTCCATGTGCTTTAACTCGCCACACATCACGCAGTATGGCAACTGTAGGGATTTGGGAACATAAGTATCACTGACGTTGGTCGTGACAGCTCACCTTGGGAACTGCCGGAAATTCAGGTGAGTAGTATGTCTTTCTAGTATGAGGCAATGGTTGAGAACGAACGTGGCAGATCCAGAAAGACAAGCTCGAGCCTGCCATAGCACCCGGGGGTACACACTAGCCATCCAATCAGCCATCGGTCGCCGTTCAGCGTCTACAAATGTGGTTTTCTTACGTGAACGTTAACTTCGCCCCTATTCTCCCTGACATTCTGAATTTTCCCCCCAACACCGGTGCCGAGAGCTTTCGAATGCGCGGCCGCCGAACCCGTTGATAACTCTCTTGATAGCCGAAGACTTCAACGTGGACCGGAAAACACGGTATGTTGATTTCACGAAGAGAATGCTTCTTCAGAATAACTCCAAGCTCGAATCCTCAGGCATCAGTCGTCTTGAGAGTCGGGGCGGCAAAGATGAACAGTCACAAGTAGTTATTGGCTGGAGGCGATCCAGCTTCAGCGGACGTCGTATCTGACGGATGACATATCTACTTTCAGTAAGTTAGCTGATTCCCCTCCTCGCAGAAAGAGTGGGAAAAAGATGTATTCATTCACAGACGTCTGTTATCACTTTCACAAACGTCATTCGTCATTCGTCATAGCGTATCCGTCACCATTACTCGCTTCTGGATCATAGGGCTCAGGGACATACTAGAAGAAAAGGCATTATTGGGACGTAGAAAAACGAGGGAGTGTAGTACCTTGTGCTCCACTAATTCGATAGGTAAAAAATTGGCTTTTGGGGGTAATTTAGGTCAGCGCTCGATGGGGCAAGGTTCTGAAAATGTATCACATCTTGCAGGTCAATGCAAAATAGGAGTTTTTACCTCGGCGTTATCTCCCCACCATTTCGAAAATGCGGCTTGCAATTCTGTCAACAAAACATCTGCGGAGGGATATATGATGTTGAAACATTTAGCAATGATGTCTCCAAAATACGGATGCAAGGATGGTGCCAAAGTGTCGTAAGAACCGCCATTAGAACAGATCTGATGGTGCTTTTGCAGGACTCCGAATTGCTGATGAACTGATGCAAGCAAGTCCTCGTGAAACGGGAACCTTTCGGAGAGGAGCGCAAAAAGAATGACACCAATTCCAAAAATGTCTATCCGCCTTGGTGACTCGCCATAGTATCCCAATGGGCAGAGGTATATCGGCGGAGGACCTCTAGAAAACTCGTAATAATACGGCGCATTGTGAACAGACAACCCAAAGTCACAGAGAACGGCATGGTAGTCATCCGTCAGAAGAACATTGCTGAGATGGGGATCAGCCCATATAACGTCGCGTGCGTGGAGGTGGGCGAGACTTTGGGCGATCTCAATGGCCCAAGTCAGTCTGGTTGATAGTGGGATGTTGGGGTGAGAGGTCAGATAACAAAAGAGGTCCCCATTGCGAAGTAATGGGAGCATGATTTGCCCATCGTCGTCGGTACCAAGGTAGTTGACAATGCAGGGGTGCAATCCGAGGATTTTGTAAATGGTTTCCTCTTGAACCTCGGCATCTTTTCGGAAAACCTCACCTGTATACCTTGCTATGGTGGACATCACAAGTAAAGGGGAACGGTCTTTAACACGTTCGAAGGACGAGTCACGACACGACGAACTGTAGGCATGTGACCGTGTCTTCAATATTACAATCAAGCGCAAACACGAATTCAAATTTCTATGGCAGGCGCATATCAGTAGCCAATGCTGCGCTGAGCTTGTTTCGCCAGGAATTCTCGGTGATCCGATCTAGCAAGGCTCGTCCCTCGGTCTATGAGCCACCATATTTACAAGAATTTCGTCAGCCTCTTTGTGGGAGAAGTTGTCTGAACGCGTCACAGTCCCGGGCCCTTTGACGAGCCATCGAAATCATTTATTTGCTTCACCGGAGAGTACGAACTCAAAGATGAACCGTTGGTGAGCGCAAACTGTCACATCCCTCTTGTTCATTTTCTGGCTGATGCTAATGCACATTTCTAAGTATCCGCAAAAGGCTCGCGAGCCGTTTAGTTGCTCATGCCTGGTTTAATGGGCGCTCTCAGGACCATTTTCCGTGGTGACTGGATGAATCCCCCTTTGGAGGATGGGCTTATCAGCAATCTGGCATGTCTGGGCTTTCCTCGCCCCTTTTTATTGAGTGCTCATGCGCTTTGTAGAGCTACTAGTATTTGGAAGCGGTGATGACGACAACCAGTTTGTGGGCGGTTTTACTGTTCAAGGCCGTACATATAGTTGTGGCGCCTCATATTCAACTGAGGGGGCATCGAGTTTTGCATCAGCAAAACCAACTGAATGCATCGATGCCAACGGTTAAAGTATAATGCCTCGCTTTGGATTGGTAAATGCACAACTTACAAATACTTTAAAAAGATACAACAGTGATAAAACATCCAATTCCCAACAATACTGCTCATGCCTGATTCGAACAGGCGCTTTGAGACTACAGCTCCTCCTCCTCCTAAACTGGGTAATACTAGGAGGAATGAAGTGACTCCACTATGAGCTCATTGATTTCATCTGACCTGGCCCCTTGTACTAGAGGTTCAAAGAATTTATTGAAAGTGGTTGTTCAAATTCTGCGGGAGACTCGGACTTTGATTTGTGACCATGCATGTAAAGACTCGGAAAGACCTTGAAACTGAGTACTGAGGTATCATATCTACCAAAAAAAAGTCGCGAGTTCTTTGACATAGTGCTCATGCCTGATTCCAACAGGCGCTGTCCGGGTTTCTCCTCTAGTGCGCTGGTTGCTGGAGAAATGAGGCCCGGACACGTCTACCATTGAGCTCTGTGAAGAATTAGCCAACTTCATGTTTTTCTTCAGGCGTTTTCGAAAAACCGAGGAGGCGTTTTGTCGGAGAGTGGTTCAGAAATTAGTTGTCGAGATGGTGGCCGCATGTGCATAATGCATACTACAACATAAAATTCTGGGAACAGTTGAAAGCATCTGGTGCTCATTGTCTTCGTTCCTTCCACAGATCTAGCCACAAAAAGGAGAGAGGGGCAAGTCTACGATTGAGGTTCGTGAGTTCATTCCACTCGACTGTTCTTGCTTGCCAAAACGACACGCCTTTGGATAACGTTGAGCGCCCTGTTGAATTTCCCTGGTCCTGAAAAATCAATGTAGCCACGCAGGCCCGATGAAGCCAAGTCGAAGCCAAGACGAGGGTGGAAAATATTCGAATTTGGGAATTTTGTCAAGAGTGGGGCCAGGGATCCGTCCAGAAATGAAATATTTTGTCGAAGGCGTTGGATGGTGGTAAAAAGCACCACAGACGTGCGACGGGAGGGGGGGTCGTTTACTGGACTTGAAAGTACCAATGATATTCCTGGCCGTCGTGGTCGTTGCTGCAGAGAGCGGATTGAAACTTGAGAGATGGCGGAGCAACTGAAAACGTCGAAACCTACCACCATCTGGTTTGATCAGGCCCCAATTCCCTTGGAAAATCACCGTTCATCCTCCAACGTTTTTCGTACCGCTCAAGCGCGCGTTTAATTTTTCGGACTCTCACCGCCAGTGAGCGCTCCGTCTGTCAATGGTTCCATGAGAACTTTTTTAGACCTCGTGTCCAGCTACGCAAGAAAATCGTCACTCACTACTGCAACTTTATTCTAAGTATCGGAGCCGGTATACCGTCGCGCCAAGACCTCGGATTCTTACATCCCTACATCCAACCACGCGTCAAGTGATTGAGGCAATCCAATTGTCGAGTTTATTTGGGCGTGTGAGTGGAGTACGCCTCGTGTTCTGGTCTGTTGGAGTCATACTCTGAGAAATAGATATATTTGAGTGCATGAGGCTTCAATGACCCTTCACTTTCGGGAGGGAGAGAGACAGCGGAGTTGGGTTGAGTCACTGGGAAGGATAACGTAATCATTCCTGTGGGATTATTTTTTTCGTCGGCGTCTGACTTTTTGTCTCCTCCTCTCCATCACCTCCTCTGAACGATTCCTCGTCGTCGAGCCAATTCGTAACGTGCGTGTCGTCGCTTGCTCTTTCAAACTGGCCAGAATCCTACTATCCTGATTCTATCACTTATCCTCGCTTGCTTCGGGTCGCTGCAATCATATTGATCATAAACTGACGCTCAAGTGCCTTTGTGCCTCTTCTCCCTCTCACACAGAAACACAACACACCTCTAAGACTAAGAAGAAGCGAAAAAAAAAAATGTCGGGCGCCCGAGGATGTTTCAACTGTGGCGGCTGTGCGTGGTTGTTCCTGTTGTCGTCGTTGAAAATCCCCCTCCCCAATTGTTTCTGCGTCCCAGCCGTTTTTTGACCTTTTTTCCACGGGCGCTTCGTCGTCCCTACCCCCCACCCACGTTTCCTTGGCTGGGACTATGCTTTTTTTATACAATGTTGGCAGGTTATCTCGTTTGCAATGAATAGACAAGTGGTCTTTTTTGGCCATTTGATCGTGTTGTAGCGGGTAGCTAGCTAGCACTCCCTCCCTATCATCCTACCTTCTTCCTTCCTTCTTTTATCTCGCGCCCTTCTTTTTTCCATTTTGTCTTGTCTGTCAGTTGCGCGTGGTGTGGGGCGGGGCAGCTACTCCCATCCATACATTGTAACCGCACACACACACACTTGGGTTGTGCACCGTCGCAATCCGTTCCAATATATGTGGTTTTTTTTTGCCATCTCTCTCTCTCTCACCAACCGCAATACACGCACCGCACACGATAGTCCTCCCCACCCCTTTTTCGTTCCCTCCCCTCTCCTGTGTATATGTCTCATATTTGTTGCAGTCGGTCATCAAGCTGCGAATTGCCCCAAAGCTGGCACTCCTACCTGGTAAATGAACCCTTTTAAGCGACACGCCTGCCTCGTTTCCTTTTTGTGTCCTGTTATCTGTGAGATGCTGATGTGCCCGCTCGCCTTGTCATCTGCAGCTACAACTGTACGTTTCCTCTCCACCCAAGCGCTCTCCTACCAGTTTTGACCGCTTTTCCTGCTTTTCATAGGCGGTTTGGAAGGCCACGTCTCTAGGGACTGTACCCAAGAAACCAAAGCAAAGTCATGCTACAAGTGCGGTCAAGAAGGCCATATCGTGCGTCATCCATCCATCTACTTCCCTCTTTCTTCATCAGGCGCTCATTCCGATCTTTCCCCCTAGTCCCGCGATTGCCCCGATAACGCAGCCTCGTCTGGGGGAGGCTATTCCGGCGGTGGTGGAGGAGGAGGCGCTGAATGCTATAAATGTGGCAAGGTCGGACACATTGCGCGTTCGTGCCCTGAGTCGACTGGAGCTGGTGGTGGAGGAGGAGGTGGTGGATATGGAGGCGGAGGAGGAGGACATTATGGAGCGTTTGGTGGTGGTGCGCAGAAGACTTGGTATGCCTCCCTCTTCAAGCAATGTGGTAGAGATGAATGCTGATTGGGGATGATGTCGTCAGCTACTCTTGCGGTGGTGTAGGCCACTTGTCGCGCGATTGTGTCCAGGGATCGAAGTGCTACAACTGCTCTGGCGTCGTGAGTTCATCGGTTTTTTAGGAGAGGCAGTTGATCAAGTTGCGTTTGCTAGGGACACATCAGCAGGGATTGCCCCCAGCCTCAGAAGCGGGCTTGTTATACTTGCGGGTCTGAAGGGTGAGCTTGCTTGCCCTATACTATAGCCTTTGCTGATTGACCCGATGCCAGCCATATCTCCCGTGACTGCCCCGGGACGGAGGCCATCTGATTTGATTGTGAAGACGTGTTCATGCACCCATGATTGACTGACATTTTATACTGTACTGATGTCGATTTCTCCCTCGTCTCGTCTCGTTTACGTTCCTTCCTTCCTTGCATGTCCTCTCGTAACAAAAGAATGCGTGTGTACCAACCTACGAGCCTGAAGTAAATAAATATCATAAAAAAATAATACACAGAGTGTGATTGGCCAGAGCATCAGTGTGATATGAGGCAAATTCCCGGCTGGACCCGAAAAAAAACCTCACGAGTGTTTCCGTATATCGCCCGCGCCCTTTTCGCTGTCAACTTTGCTCGTTCCGTATTATAATCCTTCCCGCCGTGGCTAGATCTCTCCTCCTTCCCCTTCCTCCTCCAATCTACTAAAAAAATGCAAGCCGTCCGGATGGTAGCGCGCCGCAACGGTGCCCCCAGGCTCCTTCTCCAACAAAACCAACAACAACAGGCTCGTAGGTGTCTGGCAACGGCCACCACCCTCGGACACGCCGCCCAAGCAGAGACGACGACGACGACGCCTGCGAGGACGGTGGTGCCCATCCCGCTATCGAACGTCGAGGCGCAGTGGGCCAAGTTGTCGAGTGAGGAAAAGGTGGCTGTTCATGAGCAGCTTGAGGTTCTGCAGAAGAAGGATTGGAAGGAATTGTCGCTCGATGAGAAAAAAGCTGGTTAGTCTCTTTGCGTTTTTTCTTTGATTGTTGGCTGGAATGGTGGAGTGCGACTGTGGTTTTGAGGATGTGTTGGACGTTGCCCGTTGCCCTTCCTCGTCTTACTTGTCTTTTGTTGTCCCTCCGCTCGAAACGAATGAATGCTAAAATCCGTCCTTCACAAACAGCATACTACGTAGCCTTTGGCCCTCACGGCCCACGCACACCCACCAGCCAACCCGGCGACAACCTCAAGATCTTCCTAAGCACATTCGCCCTCGTCGGCGTTGCCGGCGTGCTTTTCTACGCTATTCGACAATACGGTCAGTCCCTCACCCCTCCCTTCGATTGTGTGTAGCGGTTGATTGACGTGCTATGTAGCTGCGCCCCCGCCAAAGACACTGACCAAGGAATGGCAAGAAGCTAGCAATGAGCGTGCGTTGGAGATGAAGCTTAACCCTATTACAGGTGTGTACCTTTCCTTTCTCTCTTCATTCCCCCCTTCCCTCCCCTCCCTCCTCGTCTGGTTACTAACCCCCCCATCTTTCACTTTAGGTATCTCATCAGAAGGCTACACCGGCAAAGGGTTCGTACAATCAAAGTAGAACACTCTTTCCTTATCTTTTTCGCAAGAGAGAGAGGTTAGACGCATACATAACATCATTATTAACATATTCAACAACCCAAACCCACCCCGTTATACAAAGTGCTTTTTATGGTATTTGTTGAAATGGCAATTTGCATCGTCGCTGCTCCGCTTCAGTGTGATCGTTGCTGTTGACGCCACGGGCTTTTTGGAGTGTTGATTCTAGGCTTTTGAGGATGGCCTGGGCGCACCTTGTCATGTCGCTTCGTTTCCCCCTTCAGCGTGCTATTGTTGTTCTTTCTGGCTAGGCTATAGAGTGATAGCGCCGTCACCGACCTTTACGTCCCTCGCCCACCTTATCTCCACCCGCTCGCTCGCATTGATAACGCTTGATAACGGCGCATAGATTCTGGTTCCGTCTCTAGCCAACTTCTGCTTCCGGCGACGGAAGGAAAAAGATTGGCGGATGACATCATGCCTACTTGCATTGACGGAATGCTGCATTGCTACGGAACAGTTCTGTTCCCTAGCTCGCTAGCGCTCAGCACTCATCGGTGAGGGTGTGAAAGCATGGATGGACGCGGACCTTGCTCGATCAAGAAGTACCCCGCTGGTGACTCTCGTCTACCGATTCTGATATCGGGCACTCAAGCATCAAATGAGTCGCCTGTCCTAGTATACAATTTGTAGAGCTCAATGGTGCAACTGCTCCGTTCCTTCACCTCAATCTATAGAATCCGGAGCGGAGGTTTGAAAGCGTCTGTTCGAATCAGGCATGAGCGTCAAGTTCAACGAAACAGGCCTTTTCAACTTTTTGGTAAGTTCAAAAACGGCCGGGTCAAGTAGAAACTTGTAAAGCTTCATTGAGGATACTAGCTGGATTTATGTTACATGGATCCCTTATCATACAGATTCCAGAAAGACAACAGGTATCAACGGTGGATGGTATCGGAAATTGGATACATCCCCTCTTTGAGCACACAAGGATCGGATGAGTCGCCTGTCCAACTAAACAACGTGTAGAGCTCAATGGTAGACTTTGCAAATGCTCTGTTCCTCAGATTATATTCACCTAAATAGAATCTGGAGCGGAGGTCCTGAAAGTGTCTGTTCAAATCAGACATGAGCACATGAAAGGAGACTGAGATATATCTTTCCAAATTTTTGTCAATATTTATCAAATTGAAAAACAGCTGGGACAAGTGGAAATTTGTAAAGCATTCATCAACTTGGAGGTCAAAAGCTGGATATATGTTACATGATTTTTTTTTCATGCGGAAAGACAAGAGGTATCAACGGTTGATCAACGGTGGTATTGGAAATTGGATACATCCCTCTTTGGGCATGCAATTGCAAGGATCAAATGAGTCGCCTGTCCAACTAAACAACTTGTAGAGCTCAATGGTAGACTTTGCAAATACTCTGTTCCTCAGATTATATTCACCTAAATAGAATCCAGAGCAGAGGTTTTGAAAGTGTCTGTTCGAATCAGACATGAGCACTGGTGAGTAGTGTCAATCTTTTCAATTTTTTGTCACTGGTATTTACCAGGTCAAAATATAGCGCAAGGATCAAATGAGTCACCTGCCCAACTAAACAACTCATAGAGCTCAATGGTAGACTTTGCAAATGCTCCAATCCTCCAGTTATATTCACATTAATAGAATCTGGAGCAAAGGTTTTGAAAGTGTCTGTTCGAATCAGACATGAGCACTTGTGCCATGTCCTCGATGTTTCAACTTTTTGTTGGTATTTATCAAGTTGAAAAACAGCCAGCTCAAGTAGAAACTTGTAGTCCTTCATTGAGAATACTAACTGGATTTATGTTACACTTACATGGATTTCTTTTCATACATTGTTGAGAAATTGCATCTGGAAGTGACAAGCGGCATTGCAAAGAAAATTTTCTGTTTATAAAAAGGATTTGCAAGCTGATTGAAAGTGGTAGTATAGTGTTCAGCAGATGCTCTGAGCCAGGAAAGAAATAAGAAATAACTTATGCTTGAACTACACGACCATGTTGATTAATTTTGTGTAGAATTGAGCCATGTTTGGACTTTCTCTTGGGTCTTTTCTTCCTTTGCTTCATGTGCCCGTCACTGACCCTTCCTGGCATTGTGCATCCCAAACCCCAAGATCATGTCAGTAAAGTTGGCTTGGGTCTGAGAGGAGTCCACAGCTTGCATTTCCTGCCTTCTCTTCTCTCGTGCAGCAGCCCACAAAACACATGGAGCATCATCATCATCTTCCTTGTAGTAAATATGCCTAGTGTGTTGTCGGGTCAAGTCCACAAAGTGAGGCACCCCCCAGGTGTGGAGGGCAGCACAGCCATAGGAGATGTTGAAAAGAAGCAGTGGTGGCCAGTCATCATGGCCCACATGTAGTGTTTGAAAGTCCGGTTCGGTCCGGTTTTTTGATGCCCAGGGGCGTTAACCGTAACCGTAACCGGTCTGCCTTTTCCCCAGAAGTCAAAAGACCAGACCGGACCGCAAAAAGACCGCAGACCGCGGTTTTTTGCGGTCTATAGACTGGTTTCGGTCTGCATCAGTTTTAACCGGTTTATGACCGGTCTTTAGGCCAATATTTTAAAATTATGAATCGGTAAATTTATTAACATCTCTAATAGCTTCAAAACGAGCCCAAGAACGTTAAATCCCGTTAGGTATTGGTGCTTCTATAAAATAAGTCTGGTACATCTATTATTCCCAAAAGTAATTTACATTTTAATTCATATCTCTCTCGTTTTTTTACCAAATCGTACGTTCTTGGGTGCGTTTTAAAGGGTATTTAAGGGGCTACAAAAAACCGGTCCAAACCGGTCAAGACCGGTTCACGTTAACCGGTCTTTTTGCGGTCTTTACATTTCAAAAATAAAAGACCGTAACCGCAGGTCCGGTCTTTTGCGGTCTTGGTCCGGTCTGGTTACGGTCTTTTTCCAGTCACGAGACCGGACTTCCAAACACTACCCACATGTTGCCTCGCATCTGAGTTGTGAGGTGTCACAAATGCAGTGGCAACATCAGGGTCTTTAAAGTGCTGAAGTGTGAGGCGATTGGTGGCAAGTGATGGATTGAAGCCCAGATGTTTGCCATTGCCAGTGGGTTGCATGACGACAGCCACGTCGTCGACAGACATCACGAAATTTGGGGTCTATCAATTAGTTTGGCCACATGAAAGGAAATTTGGTGAAATAACTAACTTGCAAAAAGGTGACCACAGATTCTCCAAATGGCCTGTGTAGGCCTACATAAAGCAGGATTCCGTTATGTGGATCATTGATGTCATCCAAGGGTGGATCCAAAACCTCATTCCTGTGGGCAGCAAGACTTTTGATGTACTGGGGCCTGGAATAAGAAATTACGAGGGATTCAAATATTCAGAAACATACCTGGTTTCCCTTTGCATGAGGAATAATGTGACAAGCCTGGAAGTTTGTTGCTGCACCAGTCATCAGACAGGTTCCATCCCGATTAATCATGTCCTGTGCGAAATGGCCACGGCGAGTGGAGATAGTTGATGATTCTGAAGTCCTGTCGTCCATCATATTAGGGTCAAGCAGAAGTGGTTCTGACATTGTGTGAACATTGATCATTGACTCGGAGGCGTCCTCACTCCAACCTCACTGGGACACCCGAAATATATTACTTGCCTTGTTCGTCGGGTACATAGTAATAAACGCCGGCCTCTAGATCCGTATTGAGATCGGAATATTCAACCACTGGGCCAGTGGTGGATCGGGAGATGTGGCCTTTGATTCCATAGATCATAAAGCCTACGAACCGCAACCACTTGAGGGGGTGCACTGAGAAGCGTTGACACGCCTCAACACTGACAGGAATGGATAGCGCAGGCTGGTATTCACCATTGATTGGCATTTGGAGCTCAACAATGGCGGCCATCTTGGATGAAGAAATGTGGGTTACGCGGTGACGAGTGACAAGGAAAACTTGAGGGCATGTTTAATTTCGAGACTTTTGAGAATTTTATGCGAGAGGTGCGCATGGTCGACGCAACAGCGAGCTTTTCGACAAATACACAGGGTACAACGAGGGCAAGGGTGACGCGGAAGCGCAGCAAGAGTGCGCCACCTCCACATTCACATTCCTTGTGTGAGCTGATAGGGTGCGGCACGACATGACAAGACCTTTACCTGACTACTGTATATGTATCGAATCCATACGTAACACCTCTCCAAGATCAGCTATTCAACCTCCACATCCCGTCCCTCACGACGACCAACCCCTCCCTCTGCGCAGCCTCCATGAACGTCGAGAGCTGCTCTATCGACTGATCGTACCCCGGCGCGAACCTTAACATGGTTTGAATCCGGTCAAGGGGTAAATTCCCAAGGTTGGTCAACATCCCTTCGATGAACTATACATATCGTCAGTTTCGGGGCTGGAGCATGGTCGAGGAAAGGAATAGACAAACCTTCCAATAAACCTCCATCTGTTCGGCCTGTTGTTGCTGTGCAGTTATCACGGGCGGTAGTTCGGGACCTGCGTTCCCCACCAGCAATTAGCACAAGCACCCAATGGATCATTAGGTAGCTAGAAACGTACCTGCAGAAACGCCCCATTCTTCAGGTGACCTCTTGCCAGACACGTCCTCCTCCACCCTCTCAAGAAGCACAAACATATTCTCAGGTTCCTCCTTCAACATGCCCATGTTCACCCATGTGACTACGGCTTTGAACACAGCGCTTCGATCAATATCTCCCACTTCTGTAATGAGCTCCTCCAGCGTCCATTTATCTACCAAAAGAAAATGACGGTCAACATAGTAGCTGGGAAGGAAACGAAAACAGGTGAAGGACGCCCATCAACCAGGCCAACAAAACAGGTTGTTCAACCCCATAAGAGCGCGACCAACATCTCTTCATAACACTCATAGCAAATGATGCAAACTCACCCTTATTCGAAAACATCTCAATAAAATCAGCTTCAAGCGGAGGCACGTCCGCCTCCACCGTCCGATCGTCAAGCTGCAGCTCTAGGCGTACAGTCCCCAAATGGGACAACCACTTCAGTTTCTTGTCAGACTTGAAGATACTGAATTCTTGCGCATATAGGTCCTGGAGTCTTTTTTTAGGTCACGTTGGTTCGAAGGAATGGGGAGAAGGACGGGAACGAGGGACGTACTGCTGGGACTGTCCTGGCATGACCATGTCACTTGATTCAAGCGCGGGCCAAAAATGTTTAGATATGATTGTTGGATGTACATCTGACTGTAAATAGATTGCACATCAGCTTCAGAATCTCAGAGAAAGAGTGGAAAAAACAAACAGCTTTTTGAGATTGAACATGCCCATCGATTCTCTTCGAATCAGTCATGTCCTTCAACATGACCTCGCACACTTGCAGCGCAGCTTCTCCAAATCGGATTTTCAGGATTTCGATGTTCCTTCTCTGATTCCGAGACACGAGCATCAGTTTGATTCAACAACAGAAGGAAGAAGATGGCTTACCTCCTTCTCAACCCTCTCAAAGTTCCCATCCTTGGTAGCCAAAAGCCGCTGCACAAGCAGGACCTGCAGCTCTTTCACAAAAAGATCTTTCGAGTCGTATATGCTGACCAGCGTGCTGATGACGTCGCTTGGCTTGTTTGTTCGGAATTCTGTGGGGAAGGGAGAAAAGGCAAAGTGAGTTGATGGTCATAACAAGGTGAGCCGCAGATGAAAGGACATGAAGGAGTGAGGCGAGCGAAACGAAACTCCACAACCAAGGTCCTTTATCAAAAACAAAACGGGGAGGGGAGGGGGAAAAAGCAGATAAACCACCCACCAGGCCCAGCATCAACCGGCTCTGGCTCCCAATTCGGATCACCATAATCATCCACGGAATCCATCACCTGCTGCAACGGCACAATCGGCTCATTCTCATCCACGAGCGCGTCGCCTCCATCCGAGTCGTCCCCGACGAGGTTGGCGACGATGCATCAGATGGTGTCTGGTCGGTCTCTGTGAGGTATGTTAGGTTGTTCGGGGGAAGATGTATGAGAAGGAGAAAGTGAGGTACGAAGAAGAAAAGAACGACGAGAAAGGGGGTAGAATGGATTGCAGGGATGGAGAAACGGGCAAAAAAACAAGGGAAGATTTACCTCAAATATCGTCGTATAGGATCCGCGACTTTGAAAAGCAACACTCCCGGGGGATTTACAATCCTCAAACACTTGATGGTAGTGACGTATTGCGATAAAATGAGTTTCGTGTCTGCGCCTGGGTGGAGGAGACGTTTTCGGTTTCTAGAGAGTTGAAACGTTAGTAAGTAGGAAGGGAAGAAAGATGGAGGATGAAAGAGGGAAGGAAAAGGGAGGAATGACTAGAACGGGAAAGAGCGTACGCTTTACGGAGAGCCGTGACGAGGGCCGTTCGTTGGTCTACGCGTTGTAGGCAGTCCTAAGCGCAAAGAGAGCAGCTGTGAGTGAGGTGAATCGAACGAGGGTAAATGACCAATGCGTTACCTTGAGATCATTCAGTGTGCCCATAGAATCTGGAAAGTCGATGATAATGTCGAATATCTCTCTTGTTCTGTTGTGCATTAATGAGTACATTATGTCCGCACAAATGAAGAAAGAAACACACCTTAAATCGCACAACGTCTTATTGATATGAAAATCAAACCTCGATCCAACACCCTGCAACATACTCCTCGCCTCCTCAGCTACAACAAAGCCAAGACTCTCGTCAACAACCCTCAAAAACCGTAAAAAGAACAAAAACACTTACCCGTCGAAGCCCCCCTAGCATAAATAACCAACATCCACGGAACCACCTTGTCCGACATCCATGACCTCAACACATCCAACATCGTAGTTCCCCACTGGCCCGTACACGTCTCCAAAACGTACGCCTCGATATGCTTGTACCTTACGCTGGCAATCACGCTTTCATAGCGATCTATCAATCCCAGCTCTTCGAACTCGCCAAACATTTCTTGGATTATCTGGGGTGTTACTGTGATTTTTGAAGGGGAGGGAGAAGCAGACGCAGACGAGGAAGGGGACAAAGGGGAGGGTGAAGGCGAAGGGGAGAGTGACACTGAACAACTTGTAGAGCTCAGTGGTAGACTTTGCCTCAGGTTATAGATAAAATCCGGAGCGGAGGTCCTGAAAGCATCTGTTCGAATCAGACTTGAGCAGTCCGGGTTCGACGCCGATCTTTTCAACTTTTGAGTTTTTGTTGATATTTATCAAGCTGAAAAACAGCCGGGTCAAGTAGAAACTTGCAAAGCGTTCATCGAAGGCACAAGCTAGATTTTTGTTGCATCATACAAAAAGACAAGAGGTATTAATGGTATCATCGTGGATGGTATCGGAAATTGCATCTGACTCGGAATGGGGTATTAGAAGTGGCCAAAAGAATCTTTCTGCCCTTAAAAAAGACTGAGGTGAAGTATTGGAAGTGACGAGTGGCAGAACACCAGAGGGATTTCATGTCTATGGAAAAGAGGAGATCCTGAAAGTTGTGTCGGAATGGAAGTGACAAGCGCCAGAGCATGCGGAACAGCGAGAAAGACCGCGAGTCGCCAAGAATTTGATGAAGTGTTGAAAAGACTGTACTGTGGAGGCAGAGCAAACAAGGAACGATTGCTGCTACCTGTGAGTAGTGCATGATCGTTAGTGATTTCCCAACACTAGAAAGAGTGAGGAAAAACCCATTATTCACTGGCAACCGGCGCCAAGCCTGGAGCGTTGTGATGCTTGTGGGGTTTCCCCTTTTGCTGACACGACCCCTCTCCGTTTTTGCGCATAGAGATACATTCGCGAGTAGTGGTCCAAGTCGCCCAGTACGTAGCAGGGTTATCGCAGTAGCGGAGACCATTTTGTTCACACCAGTCAGCTCGGCCGAGGAGTGGGCCTGCGGTTGGATCGTACGACTCCACGTACGAATGATAAGCCTTGCCTGCATTCTCGTGCGGTGCGCAGACACGGTGGACAGAGAAGGAGGCCGTCGCTATTCCTTCCCCACCGACGACATTGACGTTGCCAGTCGTAGCTTTGCAGACAAACGATTTTGTTTCGTGTTTGACGTAGCACATGGATGTATGCAAGATGTATGCGGTCATAGTCGTTATGAATTTATATATCGGTATAGGAGGCGGAGCCTTTATCGGCGTTTGAATTTGAACTTTGACAATGAAACGCAGTGACTCCACTTGAATCGTTTTATCTTCCACTGCTCCCAGTGTCACTGAGGTACCTTGCTACATACGAGATCGACAACACCGTCCAACGTTTATACAAAATGATCATGAAAGGTGAGCTGCTTTTTGTCACTTTAAGGAATTTGGCAGGACAGCATCAACTCCCACCTCCAGGCAAGATTTTTAGAAAAGATGACGACGCTAACGAAGAAGCAATATATAAAATTCTTGGATCGCACCCTCGCATTGTCCATTATCTCGGTACAGACGATCACACAGGAGAAATTATGCTCCCACTACTTCAAAATGGCGACCTGTTCTCTTATCTGATTTCTCACACCAACATACCAATTGCCGCTCGGTTGACTTGGGCCGTCGAGATTGTCCAAGGTCTCGCCCACCTCCACGCTCGCGACGTTATTTGGGCCGACCCTCATCTTTGCAACATTCTTTTGACTGACGAATACCATGTTGTTCTCTGTGACTTTGGACTGTCTATTCACAACGCACCCTATTATTACAAGTTCGCCAGAGGTCCGCCACCAATATACCTCTGTCCATTGGGATACTACGGTGAATCGCCAAGGCGTGTGGATATTTTTGGACTAGGCATCATTCTTTTTGTGCTCCTCTCCGAAAGGTTTCCGTTTCTTGAGGACCTCAAGCCGTCAATTCATCAGCAATTCGAAGTCCTGCAGGAGCATCACCGGATCTGTCTCAATGGCGGCTCTTTTGACATGTTGTCCCCATCCTTGCACCCGTATTTTGGCGATATCGTTGCTAAATGCTTCAACATCAAATACCAATCAGCAGATGTGTTACTGACAGAACTCCAAGCTGCATTTTCGAAATGGTGGGAAGATAACATCGAGGTAAATAACTTTTCTATCTTGTATATATCTGCAAGATGTGATTGATTGTTCAGAACATTCACGATGTCCCTTCGAGCGTCGCGGTAAATTATCCCCAGAAGCCGGTATATTTGCCGATTGAAGTAGTGCAGCACAAGGTAGCATGTCTCTTCATTCTTGTACGTCCCGTTAATACTTTTCTCTATAGTACACCCCTGAGCCCTGGGTTCCACAAGCGAATAATGGTGACGACGAATATGGCTATGAAAACTGACAGTGGTGAAAGAGGTTGGGGGGCAATTGCTGTCCATCTGTGTACTGCAACTCTTTCAATTTCGAATGGCTACTTCTCCATGATAACACAATCCATAATAAATTCTCTGGTTTATGACCGGTCTTTAGGCTAATATTTTAAAATTATGAATCGGTAAATTTATTAACATCTCTATTAGCTTCAAAACGAGCCCAAGAACGTCAAATTCCGTTAGGAATTGGTGCTTCTATAAAATAAGTCTGGTACATCTATTATTCCCAAAAATAATTTACATTTTAATTCATATCTCTCTTGTTTTTTTACCAAATTGTACATTCTTGCGTGCATTTTAAAGGGTATTTAAGGGGCTACAAAAGACTGGTTCACGTTAACCGATTTTTTTGCGGTCTTTACATCTCAAAAATAAAAGACCGTAACCGCAGGTCCGGTCTTTTGCGGTCTTGGTCCGGTCTGGTTACAGTCTTTTTCCAGTCATGAGACCGGACTTCCAAACACTAATCAGCATTGTTGCAACTGCCATATAGTTTCCATATACCGCTGCCAAAAGTGCATACTGTCCTCCCTGTGCATTTACATCTGCTCCCTTCTCTATGAGCAGCTTTGCAATTGCCTCATACCCTCCACATGATGCTATATAAAGTACACTTCCACACTGTCCTCTCTGTGCATTTACATCTGCTCCCTTCTCTATCAGCAGTGTTGCAATTGCTGTATGGTTTCCATGTAATGCTGCCAAAAGTGCATTCTCATATTGTCCTCCTTATGCATTTACATCTTCTCTTTTCTCTATAAGCAGCTTTGCCACTGCTTCATGGCCTTCATATGATGATGCCTGAAGTACATTTCCATAGAGTCCTCCCTGTGCATTTATATCTGCTCCCTTCTCTATGAGCAGCTTTGCAATTGCCTCATGGCCTGCAAATGATGCTGCCTGGAGTGCATTTCCATGGCATCCTCCCTGTGCATTTACATCTACCCCCATTTCCAACAAGGCATGTGATGCTTCAGTTAGTCCAGCCAGTGATGCATAATACAGTGGTTTAGCAATCTCCATCCTCTGTTCTTGTTCATCCAGGTAGTGTCCATCTATATCATAAATCTGGTGTGGAAGTGTGACTTGTTTCATTCACGACGCACTCCATATTTTATTTTTCTCCCTACGTACATTTTTATTAGTTTTATTTTATTTTACGAACCTTTGCCGAGTTTGATACTGAACACCATCAATGAGCATTAGAAAGACTTTGATTTGACAAGATGTATGACATCATCGTTTGGCTTTGTTCGCACTGCACCTCTGGTGAAGGATTCGGACTCGGACGCTTGCATTATTTTCTGTACGCTTTTATTTTGAATTGTTCATTATTTTCTGTATGCTTTTATTTTGAATTGTTCATTACTCTCTTCTGCTTTTATTTCTTCGTACTTATGACAGATCTCACCAACCCAAAGCTCAATCTGAGGACCAGACGGTAGGGTAGAACATCGATGCTTGGGATGTCTGCACTGAAGGCAGCAGTTGCGCATGTAAATAGACCTCTCCAAGTGTCGTACATTCCCTGAGTCATACCTGGTTCGAAGGTTTTGCCTAGGAATCAAGTGGGTGATGTCAATTCTATTTTTGTACTTTCTTTTGTTCCTTTTTGAACATTTTGACGTTCTTCCCCAAAGAATTGGTCTGGCAGCATGAGAGTACGTGCATTGCCTTGTGATTTTCTATTTTTGTACTGTTTATAAGGTGTCCTCCCACCTGTCGAATGGAGTCATCTTCTTTCCCCCTCTTTCATAGTCGGATTCTTAAGTCATCCACTCATCTCCTCAAGAAATTCTAAAGTTTACACGATGTTTCTACAAGTCATCTTCAAGTTCTCTAAGTTATACGTTTGAGGCGTATCAAGTAATTACAAGTGTTTTGAATCGACACGTCCCAAACACATATTCAGCTGAGTTGCCTTTCTTTTACCAGAATCCTCTCATGCCACGTTCTCCGCCACCAAAAGTCCTTTTCAAGCGCTTATCTGCACATTGTCCCTCTTTGACATCCCCTCGTCCATTCAACATCCTCTTCTCTGAACCCTCTACATACATAGATTTCCTTTGACGTGTTTCTCTTTTTCTTTATTTGGCTTTACTTTACTTCATTTCTCAGCAAACGACCAGATCACCTGTCCTTTTTAGGATCTCTTAGCTTCCATCTGAAGGAACGATTCGCTTCCACACTGGACCTAGTTCACAAAAGCATTATTTTCATCTCTTAGAAGCTTTATTATTAATGCAAATAATGAAGATGACTGAGATTTATTCTTGCAACCAGAATGTGCATGTGTAATCCAATGTTCTGCAGCATATTTTGCAAGAGGGGAAGATACATCCAGATGTATATCAAGAGGCCCACATGTATTCAATTGCAAAAGATTGGCCAGGCAGATTTGAGATATCACAGAGTGTGATACCTTCTCATTGAAGCTGAAGCCCCTGACTTGCTGGACAGCATGATTTTGAATATACTGAGATATAAGATATTCTTTGACAGAAAAGTGAGAGAGCTTGATGACACGTGTTTAATGTTCAGCATCCATTTCAATTTTCCAGTATTCTAACTTATACCTTCTGATTCCATAACAAAACTAGAACACATTTTCAAGACATCCTTAATATCTTGAAGTTCATTATCAGATTTATACTCTGGTCCATTCTCAGCAGAAAGATCAACAGCAGCAGTTGCAGCCAGTTCTCTCAGTTTAAGTGGATGAACAGCAAAGGACAGCCACTGTAGAAACAACTTCACATAACTGTGATCTTTTTTCTTGATCCCCAGCAAGATTTGATCATATGTTTTATCCAAACCCTGAGGTAGATTAGCTAGCTGCTTTTTCAGATCAGCCCTTGTTCGGCACTCTTTGAGCTCATTTAGCTGTAATGCAACCCATCAAAACCTAAAATTGCATTCATTAATTATTCTGTCAGTCAAATCTTAGACTAAACATACATTCCATCTGCTTGTTCCATCAATGTCAACTTTATTTGTTTTTGGGTCTCAGAATCCCATTTTTGCAAGTCAGAGTCATTTTGAAACTGATAGTCAACATAGGCCACAAGATCATAATTTCCAGATTCCTCAACCAAGTCAAGAAAGTGATAAGACTTCAACTTGTTCTCAATCTCCTGTTCTGGATGGCTAGTAACTATCAAATGAAGCCCAAGGTTTACATCTTTCTGCAAGATAAAGGTCTGAATCCAGTCAAGAATCTTTCCTCTTTCAGCACATTCATCAAGAGCATCCAGAATAATGAATGTTGAGTTAAAGCCATCAAGAATTATTTGAAGAGTATTCTGCAAATCATCCAGAGTTGGCTCCTGATGGCCATTACAACAGCCAGCATACAGCTTCACTAAGACTGTAGGCACTCTACCCTCACATTTGAGAGAGAATTGCCAGATGAGTGATCAAATCAGTTTATCATGCAACTGGAAATCCTTCCGTGAGTCTCTTCCATCAAAAAAGAAATAAGCTGTAGCAGAACTGAATCTCTGGAGGAGATCATGAATGATTGCTGAGCTATAATGAGAAATTTCAATGAAGTTCATAAAAATTATGAGATTTCCAACCTTAAAATGGTTTTACCAGAGCCAGCTGGACAGACTGTCAATAAGATGTAACTGTACAAATTTTGTCAGAAAACTTACATTTTCCTTTAATCCAAAGAAAGTCAGGCTGTTTTAGCCACTCAGAAAATGCATCTCCATTGAGAAACCATAGACAGGTGTCTGGCTGACTCTTTAGAATTGCATATGCAGCATTGTAGTTTATAGACTCCTTGGGTGGAGAAAGCCACTTATAAATCTTCTCTGCTGAAACAAAAATTGAAGTCAATTATATATCTGAAATTAGAACCTGTAATAATAGCCAGTTGTTCATCCTTCATTGTCTCAAGTGTGATTTGAATAATTGGGTCCACACCTATCAACAACAAATGATATTAAGATGAATATGATGTTTTTCTTACTTACCTTAATTGATGGTACCTGTAAAAATATAAGTGAAAGCAATAAAATGTGATGACCCAAATTCAACAAACCATAGATAGGGCCTGTGTTCACATTTTGAGCAGTAATGTTATTTATAGTATCAAATTGAAAGTTTGTTGAGAACTCTGCATGGTCTTCAGATTTGAGCTAGACTATAATTATTAGAGTACTGACCAGCAGGCATCACTTCTGCATTCAGAACAGAAGGACTAGGAAGAGAGGTAAGCAAGTTGGAACTTGAAGGAGCTATACAGAGTTATCAGAAATAGAACATAAACATTTGGAGCAAGCATGAACCAATCAAGATAGAAGACAGCTGTTGCAAGGATTCAACAGCTGCTTGCACAGGGCCTTCACCCTGATCAACTGTGAGATTGGAATTGATGAAGGTCAATGTCAACTTTATAGCAACCATCTTGAAGGGTATCTCACAAGCAGAAGTTGGTTCAGCCTCCACTGACACCAGGCCTATGTTCAAAACAGAGGCAATCAGTGGAGAGGTAGGCAAGTGAGTTCTCAGGAAATCTATATCAGAGTCACTTATAATGAATGATAGAAGTCTGAGGCTGATACAGACCAGTGGGGGTAGGTAAAACTTGTTGCAGGTGCTCAATCACCCCTCCCTCAGGGACTATAACCTGATCACTTGCAAATTTGATTTGATGAGTGAGTGATGTTCAATTTGGGGCATGAAGATTAGAAAGTATCTTACTGGTGACTGGTATGGCTATATCCACCCCATGGATGGTCAAAGATGGAGTTATCAAGGTAGCCGGGGCAGAGCTGGGGCCAGCTATATTGATGCCAGTGCCATCCGTGGATTCAGGTATTGGAGAGAGTAGTACTAGTCTTGTGAATGCTTTTTTCAAACTGTAAAATGGTTCAATGAAAGGGTCACTGGATAGGGTACACATTGTTCATGACGAGATGGAAGTTAAGATGAAGATGCGTGTGTGGCCTGCTTGTTTGGGTGTGGCTGTTCGCAAATACAACTCCACTCTCCCACAGATTTTGCAATTGTTGTGGCTTACAGTCATTGACAAGCAAAGCCCACTAATAAAAATGGAAATGTTTTGATGGCTACCAAAGTGCCTGGAAAATGTGCAGAAACATTGAGGGAAGCTTCTGGCCAAATTTCAGCCAGGTCTCACAAGCCGTTTTGGAGAAAATGGCCATATACAGAAATAGACCCTAAAATTTTGGCCGGGACACCAAAAACTGCCAGGAAAAATATGAAAAATAGCGGAATCACTTCCTTTCATGGAGAACAATCTGCCCATCAACTTTCGAAACAATTTATCGAGCGGTTCTTCTGGAAAAAATTGCCAAACATTGACCCAAATTGGGCACTTAGTCACTTTTGATGTGACATCTATCACGGGACTAAGAAATTCCATCACACTAGGCGTTCGAAACGCAGGGAAATCCCTTTCTGATGGATTCTTTGCCCTTTCTGAGTAGCTTCCAGCCGAAGCCCAGCACAGGTACCAACTTTCGATAATTTCTGGGCGGTTTTGACCTGTTTTTCTCCTTAAATGTTGCAGTTTTTTGGTCGAAAATTTTGGCCACACCCAATTCCTCGTGGGAAAATTTTCGGAGGTGTGTTTTTCGACGTATTTCGCAAATCCGAGCCAGAATCTGGAAAAATCTCAGCTGTAGATACATTATTTACCGAGATACCAAATTAGTGGGCTTTGCTTGTCCACGACTGTACGGCTGTCAAGGTATCGATAACCACAACACTTCACTTAGTGATTTTGTTTGCCTTATCCTCTCGCTTCCGCGCGACACATCGCTCTATTTTCTACAGGACATTTCTCGCGCTGGTAACTATGCAGCTACCAAAGAATCAACGATGACGTCGATTCAGAGGGGCAAGAGCATAAAAGGGTGCGTGGTCATAGCTGTGGTCAACCTTCCAAGATGGCATGATGATCCACTCAATGATTTTGAACAGGCTAAACTTCAACGTTCAACGTCGGTTCCCTCGCGCTGGTTATTGGTCTGCAATGCTTCCCACCCAGCCACTGCTGTCCCTCCTCTGATGTATCCTCCTCCTGTCCCTCTGCCTGGACACTACCGCCATGCACCTGCACCTGCTGTGCCACCTGGCCAACACCGAGGTTTCCATTCCGCTCCTTCGGTGCCCTTCATAGCTGATCACCTTCAAGGCCAAGGTCGCACAAATCAACTCCATATCGCCGAGGTGTCTAGGGCACTGACGGGAAGGTTGCGAGGATTCATTCTGTGAGGAGTGGAGGGAGAAAGAAGAAGCGGCCGCGTTCGTTACTTGAAAGCAGGAATGGGGGCGGGGTGCATTGGCAATGCCACTCTTGACAGGGTATAACTCGCTTGTACAAACGGCGTCGATGGGCGGACGACCATATGGCGCCCCCAGCTGTGGAGAAACCCTCCAGGGTAAACCTAGACGAGAGCCTAACGCCCTCCCAAAGTTAATGGTCACGCTGTCGTCGTTTACGGTTGCCACCTGATTGAAGAGGTCAGTACATGCTCGTATTTGGAGTTTGAGGGTATATTCTTACGCTCATTTTTTAGGGAAGTCACACCCTTTTTTCCCGATCTTTTGGCCTCGTAAAAGCGGAGACCCAGATATGGGAAGTTTGCTCAGTCCAGAAAGCGGTGAGATATCCATGTATAGCGTGCGATCTAATGATTCTTTCAATGCGAAATCGTCAGCGTCACAATAATCTACAGAGGCAGACTGACGTACCTTCATCGTTAGCCTGTCCTGGCTCCGTTTACGCCTCCCTCAACATCGCCGTTACTCGTTTCAGGCCCCGAGACGACGTATGGCCATCCGCAAAACCGGCTCAGCCTTGTTTCCCTCTTCAATCAAGGCCCTGCAAGCCTTATCATCTTCGACGAGCATCTTCTCAATGTCCTTGTCGCTGAGTCCAGACGAAGAGGCAACGGTTACTGACTGGTCCTTGTCGACCTTGTCCTCCAGCGACACGTTGACAATGTGCTTGGAAACAATTAGTAGTGTGCAGGATGAACAAGGCAACATAGCGTACTCACTTTTCATGACCTTCCCACTCCTCAGGATCCTATCCCACCTCCTAACCGCGCTCCGTAGTGTATCCAACCGTTCCCCGCACTCCCGCGCCCTTCCAGCGGCGTTTACGCGTTAAATTTGATTGTTGGGTCTTTGTGTACGCGTTGTCATTGCCTTATTTGTCTTCTAGCGCGTCGTTTCAGCTTGTGGTAGTCAGTAGAACGAAATCTATGAAGTCTTGTCAGTAGAAAACTTGCGGGAAAGAGAATATGGTACGTCGAGTCTTCCGAGAGAGTGAATGCGAATCTGCGAAGGTATGTCAATGTCATGAGAATTTGCAGGAGTGTCCTCACATACTTTGGTCGTTTAACGTGTCCTGGCTCCGTTTACGCCTCCATGATCGCCATTGCTGGTTTGAAGTCTCCAGACGACGTATCTCCATCCGCAAAACTGGCACATGCGATCCAGAATGCGGCTCCATGCTAAGTGCTGAGTACGTGGACACAACTACGGTCGTCAGTGTTGTGCATGATATACAATGGGACGTAGATACTCACTTTGGGTCACCTGGTCCCATTCTTTACAACCCAGCAGCGTATCTGCTCGTTGTGTGCAGTCCTACGCCCTTCTGGCGGCATTCACGCGGTGGATTGCGCGTCCACCCTTCGTATATGCGTTATCGTTGCTTTGTTCGTCTCCTCGCTTGTCAATTCGGTTTGTTATAGCTGGTAAAACGAAATCTGATACCGTTTGTTAGCTGAAAACTGGTATAATTAGTGATTGTGGTGGTACTCACTGTTGCGTGAAATCGAGAATTTCGTATGTCATGCGTGTCCCGGTGTGCATCGTTGAGTGTTGAGCGCGAGTTTGGGTTGTAGAGGATTGGCAGTTCGTGCTGGACAGGTGCTATGGATCACGACGCGCCTGACGTTTGCAACAAGTTTGCATCGAGAGTCACCGAGCTGACATTTGCAGCTAAAAAGCGAGCTAGGCAACGGAATTGGCTTCTGGGAGCACTCGCAGACGTAGGCCTCTCAGTTTACAGGTTCGTGCCCAACGTCGAGGTTGAGAACAAGTTGAGGGCATAATAAAGTTGGAGCCAAACAAATCTCAACTCTCGACTCTCATCTTCTCATCTTGAACCTGGCTTCTACCTTGGATCGTTCGTGACGACGACGACGCCTAACAGACAGAGTCTTCCCAACTTCAGCGTAACCCCCAGCCTCAGCTTCAATGGCAACAGACGCGTTACGACTCCAAGTCGCCGGAAAGTGGCAAGATTGTTTCAAGCGGTTCAACCGCGAAGAACCGGGCATCTCAGGGCTCATGTCTTTCAGCCAGGTAATATTCACGCGTCCACACGTCTAATCCCACTCACTCACGTAAAATCCAGGCATGGGCCATCGCAACAGCGTTTGTACGTCCCAAAAACCTCAAGGACGCGAGTATGATGGCTGAGCGGCCCAGTGAGCGCCTTGCGAGGTTGAAAACCGGCAATTGAGCTTATGCGCGTACAAGATAGATTTAAACAATGTTCGAGCTGCGTTTACGGTCGTGCATCAGTGTAGGAGGTTGCCGGTGTTGATGGAGACTTTCTTGAGTTCGTTTCCTGTTTGTTGGATGGAAGTGTTCAGCTAACCTTAGCGCAGACGATGCGAAATCGAGTTTCCATTGGGTTGAATATGAGATTGGGGAGTACATGGCGCGGTACGAGGTACGCTAAACCTTCACTCTACGGAATTATAGTGCTTAACAAACACCTAGGCGACAAAAGATGTGCAACTCATCCGGATGCTTGTCTCCCGCCTTTTAGACTGGTACAAATGCTGGGGTCCGGGAACAGAGTTCGTTCAACCTCCTCGTCTTTCCTCTCTCTCTCTTCCATCTCTAACCCATCTCCAGACTCGGCAATACAATATCAAGCGCCTACACACTGACCTTCCAAACACACCTCTTCGCCGCCCTCCCTCCCTCTTTCGCAGAGGGGTTCAAAGCCCTATGCAAGTGGTCACTCTCTCCTTCGCCTTCTCCCTCACCTTTGTCCCCTTCCTCGTCTGCGTCTCCCTCTCCCTCAAAAATCACAGTAACACCTCAAATAATCCAAGAAATGTTCGGCGAGTTCGAAGAGCTGGGCTTGATAGACCGCTATGAAAGCGTGATTGCCAGCGTGGGGTACGAGCATATCGAAGCGCACGTTTTGGAGACGTGTACGGGCCAGTGGGGAAATACGATGTTGGATGTGTTGAGGTCGTGGATGTCGGACAAGGTGGTTCCCTGGATGTTGGTTATTTATGCTAGAGGGGCTGCGACGGGTGGGTGTTACTTTTTTTTGCGCGTTTTGAGGGTTGTTGAAGAGAGTTTTGGCGTTGTTGTAGCTGAGGAGGCGAGGAATATGTTGCAGGGTGTTGGATCGAGGTTTGATTTTCATATTAATAAGACGTTGTGTGATTTGAGGTGTGTTTCTCTCCCTATCTCTGCATCATTAAAACTCATTAATATACAACAGGACAAGAGAGATATTTGATATTATCATCGACTTTCCGGATTCTATGGGTGCATTGAACGATCTCAAGGTACCCATTTAACGTTTACCCTTGTTCATATCACCTCACTCACCCCTGCCCTTTATCTCCTTAGGACTGTTTACAACGCGTAGACCAACGAACGGCCCTCGTCACAGCTCTCCGCAAAGCGTACGGCCTTTCCCGTTCCAGTCATTCCTCCCTCCTACCTTCTTCTTTCTTCCATCTCTCTTCTATATGACACATACTTACTAACGACATTTCAACTCTCTAGAAACCGAAAACGTCTCCTCCACCCAGGCGCAGACACGAAACTCATCCTCTCGCAATACGTCGCTACCATCAAGTGTTTGAGGATTGTAGATCCCCCGGGAGTGTTGCTTTTTAAAGTTGCGGATCCTATACGACGATATTTGAGGTAAGCCTTTGTTTTTTTTTTGCACCCGTTTCGCCTTTTTTCTCTTCCTTAACCTTCTCCTCGTTCCTTTCTTCTTTGCATATCACTTTCATTCCTTCTCTCTCACACATCTTCCCCCGAACCAACCCAACTAACATACCACACAGAGACCGACCAGACACCATCCGATGCATCGTTGCCAACCTCGTCGGGGACGACTCGGACGGAGGCGACGCCCTCGTGGATGAGAACGAGCCGATCGTGCCGTTGCAGCAGGTGATGGATTCTGTGGATGATTATGGAGATCCGAATTGGGAACCGGAGCCGGTTGATGCTGGGCCTGGTGGGTGGTTCATATGCTTTTTGCCCTCACCTCATCATGTCCATTGGCTCATTCGCCTTTTCTCCCTTCCCCCACAGAATTCCGAACGAACAAGCCAAGCGACGTGATCAGCACACTAGTCAGCATATACGACTCGAAGGATCTTTTTGTGAAAGAGCTGCAGGTCCTGCTTGCGCAGCGCCTTTTGGCTATCAAAGATGGGAACTTTGAGAGGGTTGAGAAGGAGGTGAGCCGTCGTCGTCCTTCTGCCTTCTGTAATTGAATTAAACTGACGCTCGTGCCTCCCAACCAGAGAAGGAACATCGAAATTCTGAAGATCAGATTTGGAGAAGCCGCGCTGCAAGTGTGCGAGGTCATGCTGAAGGACATGACGGATTCGAAGCGAATCGATGGGCATGTTCAATCTCAGAAAGCTGTTTGTTGTTCTACTTCTTTCATCAAAAGTTGGAAGCTGATGTGTAATTCATTTACAGTCAAACGTACATCCGACAATCATATCTAAACATTTTTGGCCTGCGCTTGAATCAAGTGACATGGTCATGCCAGGGCAGTTCCAGCAGTACGTCACTCGTTCCCGTCCTCCTCCCCATTCCTCCAAACTACGAACTAACAAAATCTGCAAAAGACTTCAGGACCTATATGCGCAAGAATTCAGTATCTTCAAGCCTGACAAGAAACTGAAATGGCTACCTCACTTGGGGACTGTACGCCTGGAGCTGCAGCTTGATGATCGAACGGTGGAGGCGGATGTACCTCCTCTTGAGGCTGCTTTTATTGAGATGTTTTCGAATAAGGGTGAGTTTGCACTTTTTGCTATGAATGTCATGAAAAGATGTTGGTCGCACTCCAGTGGGTGAACGACCTGTTTTGTCGGCCTGGTTGGTGGGCCTCCTTCTCCTATTTTCGTTTCCTTTTGTCATGTATCCCAGTTTGCGCTATGCTGACCTTCATCTCTTTTGGTAGATAAATGGACGCTGGAGGAGCTCATTACAGAAGTGGGCGATATTGATCGAAGCGCTGCATTCAAAGCCCTTATCACATGGGTGAACATGGGTGTGTTGAAGGAGGACCCTGAGAATACGTTTGTACTTCTTGAGAGGGCGGAGGAAGACTTGTCTGGTAAGAGGTCACCTGAAGAATGGGGTGTTTCTGCGGGTACGTTTTTGGCTATCTACCCAATCATCCATTGGGTGCTTGTGCTGATTGGTGGTGGGTTTAACGCAGGTCCCGAACTACCGCCCGTGATAACTGCTCAACAACAACAGGCCGAACAGATGAAGGTTTATTGGAAGGTTCGTCCATTCATTCCCTCAACCGTGCTTCAGCCCCGAAACTGACAATATGTCAGTTCATCGAGGGGATGTTGACCAACCTTGGGAATCTACCCCTTGACCGGATTCAAACCATGTTAAGGTTCGCGCCGGGGTACGATCAGTCGATTGAGCAGCTCGCGACGTTCATGGAGGCTGCGCGGAGGGAGGGGTTGGTCGTTGTGAGGGACGGGATGTGGAGGTTGAATAATTAATCTTGGAGTCGTGTTGGAGGTGTACGCATGGATTTGATAAAGTAGTCGGATAAAGGTTTTGTCATACCCCGTCGTGTTGCCCCACAAAAGGGGTGTTGCTTTTTCCATCGCACTATGCCATGATTCGAATAGGCCCTTCCAGGACCTCCGCTCCAGATTAGGAACAGAGCATTTGCAAAGTCTACCATTGAGTTCTACAAGTTGATTGGTTGGACAGGCGACTCTTCGATCCTATGTCTACTTGGCATGATGTGACCCGCCAGTCTTTGCCTTCTGTCGCGGTCGCCTCATCGAAGCAGAAGTTGACCGGGACTTTACCGGGACTGACCAGTGACGGAACCAGAATATTATCTAGAAGTCGGAAATTTGTGATTCTTAATGCGAGCAAGCGGATTAGGGGGGCGAGGTCATCGTCAAAACAAGCTAAAGAATCAACACGCAACGATCAATCAACTCAACCTGCAAATTCCCATTCAATACTGGAAGCAAAATTTGTATAAGTAACGTGTGCATTCAAGTAAAGCGTTGAATAAGATACGATAGTAATGATTTATGCGTCGACCTTGCGAAAAAGAGGCTGTCTACTTTGATTGAACGAAGTTCGAACCCCTTGTTCGTGTTCTTACCGCTCGACGCTGGCACTTGCCACTGTGGACCGATGGTGGCAACATGAGCGTCCGTGCGCTTGTGTTCTTTCTCGCTAATCAAGCTTCAAGGCCATGGTCAAAAGCAGCTAAACAACTTGAATCGGCTAGTCGCATTTGACCTGTGTGCAGGCGGAGGGACAACCGTGTTAGAAAATGACGAATAGGCCCAACTAGCCGCTTCATATGCGCCCGGTCCTCTTCCGACTCTAGTACATATAATTTTATTCTTATTATTACAGGTGTCAGCGTTTGTGACCGAGTTAAAACCGATGTAGACTGAAACCGGTCTATAGACCGCAAAAAGACCGCAGACTGCGGTTTTTTGCGGTCCAGTCTGGTCTTTTGACTTCTGGGGAAAAGGCAGACTGGTTACGGTTATGGTTAATGCCCCTGGGCATCAAAAAACTGGACCGAACCGGACTTTCAAACACTAATGCTGATAGAGAAGGGAGCAGATGTAAATGTGCAGAGAGGACACTATGGAAGTGCACTTTATGTAGCATCATATAAAGGCCATGAGGAAATTGCAAGGCTGCTGATAGAGAAGGGAGCAGATATAAATGCATTGGGAGGAGCGTATGGAAATGCACTTTTTGCAGCATTATATGAAAAGAATGTGGCAATTGCAAGGCTTTTAATAGAGAAGGGAGCAGATTTAAGTGCAAAGCTGCTGATAGGAAAGGGAGCAGATATAAATGCACAGGGAGGACACTATGGAAATGCACTTTATGCACATCAGGAAAAACCCCATTTGCTTATCTGTAGAAATAAGCATCAGTAAGTTGGGGGCAAGCTGACTTCAACTAATCCAGGGAAATCAGCTTGAAATCAGTTGTCAATCAGCAGCTCATTACTTATTCAACACTTATCAGCACTTATGCACAGTAAATCTGTTTAGATTAGTTCGGGCATCCTCATATGTCCTCCAATATACTTGGTTTTACTAGTTCATAGGAATATATCCTGCATATTGATTGAGTTCACTATACTAATGTTTAGAGATTCTAAGTTAATAATATAGACATGTGACAGTGCCACTGGGTCAATATCAGCGGAGGACAGGACACGCTGCATATGCGTCAACCAGCTGCATTGACAACAGTAAAGGAGGGGGCACTAACGGCGTTGACAGCACAGTGACGGAGGCATCTGCCTCGACTGCTTGCACCAATTGGTGAAGGAGGTGGGGCAAGTGTTGCTGCATTGGCATGGGAGGTGATGTCATGGGAACGAGAGGGAGGGCGAAATTGTGTAAGAACCTGGGAGGGGTGAGGATGGAGTAATTCTCGTGATAAGCGCATGTGAATGGTTTCTTGTGTTCCAAGTGTGTGCGCAGAAATGATGCAGGAGTCGTCTTTCAAGACCCGAGGGCCAATTGACGCTCTGGGTTGTATGCATGGGAGTTTCATCCATTCCCTTTTGGGGGTGAGGGAGGCCATGTGTGCAGAAAGGGAATGGAAGAGGGCCTGGGATTGTACTGAGGTGCAGGACTGGCATTCTGTTCCATGTGGATTGGATGGAACATGCTGCATTGTTAGGGACCTATGATGAATGTGTAAGATGAGCAAAGGCTGTACAGATAAAACAGTACATACGGGTCTTGATGAGCCTGAACCATGCCTGGGGTGTTTTTGAATGTGGAGAGGTGGTTGGCGAGTTCACCAAGGAGTGTCTCCAAGCCTTCGCACTCCTTCGCCACATGCGGCTGAGGTTGGCATGGTGGTCAGCGACGATGTGTGAGTGGTCTTGGATGGTGTAGAAGATGACCTGTGCCGTGGATGAGGAATATGATGAATAGAACAAATGATACAACATAACTGAAGTCCTCCTTAACCAAGGAACTGGTTGCGAGCTTGGAAAGGGACTTGAATGACACCAGTGAGCTTCATCATGTCCCTTGCTGTGTTATTCTTGATTTCTGCGATACACTGCACATAACATGAGATCTCTATCAAACTACAAGGAACAAGTTAAATGTACCTCAAACCAAGCAGTAAGCTGCCTAACAATAGCCTTCCATGCTGTGAACTGTTCAAGGAGGTCATCCGGAGGCTTGAGGTTATGCGTCCCAATGCTAGGCTCTGGTGGCAAGAGATGGCCAACATCAGCGATGTGTGCAACGTCATGCGGGACAGTGGCAGTCTTCTGTCTGGGGCACAGTGGCCTGATTGGTGTGGAGGGGAGGTCGATGGGACATTGTAAGTAAATGCAGATGGTGGGGATTTGGTGATGGCATTGAGAGAGTTGCAACAAATTATTCCTAAGTCTGTTGGAACTCTGACATCATGTGATCATGTTGAATGAATCATTCCTTTCCCACCACTCTTTCTTCCCACTGTTCTTCCTTCCCACCACATCGTCCCAATGGCAAGTTTCCTCCCTCCTGCCCCATCTCGTTCAAATGGCACATCTCAACATTCCGGATTCACTATAGCAGCTCAACACTGAGAGCCAACACCCAATTTATGGCAGCTCGCCTCCCAGACTCAGCAAGACAAACCACAACGACAATGTGACTATTACCACACAACGACCACAACGCCGGACTATCACGATGCGACCATGACCACAACAGATGACAACCATGATGGACCACCACCACCATGATGAAGACAACCATGATGGACAAGGACGAACAATGAATGTCAGATGACCACGACAGACGATGAACAACCAACCACCCCTATTCCTGAGCCACTGCTCACCCCCCTCGTCTTTAGGAAGTGTGTGCTACTCCATCATCCACGTTTGCCATACTCACACCCCCTTTTGCCTCCTTGTATGCAGGCAGTGCATGCTTTCTTCCTCTCACATCCGTGTTTGCCATACTCACACACACCGCTTCAGCTCATCTCTAGCAAGTATGTGTTTCCATCCATGTTTGCCATACTCACCCCGCTTTCTCTCCTTGCCTTTAGTTGGTGTGTGCTTTCATCCTCCATCCCTCACACACCCCTTTGTCTCCTCAATGCTAGTGGGTGTGCTTTCATCCTCCCTTATCTGTTTGCCTTACTCACAACTAGTGTTTGCAGGTCTGGTTCAGTCCGATTTTTTGCCCTGAAAACAGGCAACTGCAGACCGCAACTGGTCTAGGACCGACCCAGATATCGAGGGAACCGACCCAGATATCGAGGGAACCGAACTGGACCACCTAGGACCGGTCTTTTGCAGTCCATGGACTGCATTCAAACTGATTCAGACGGGTCTTTTTGCATAAAATGTGTCATACCAATATAAACCATTTGTATCTCAATTATTATTACTCTAAAAAAGAAACTGGTTATATATCATAGTATAACATATAAATACCCATCATTCCACCAATTCTTAAGAAATTTAATGAAGGTTTGACATAGCTATGACTGAAACCGAATTACATCTCCTAAAGACTTGGGCAAAATGTAATGCAGCAACTGTAAATTATTTGATGCATACCATATATTGATAGATGGTGAGTATATTTTCATACTTAAAATGTCAATATCCAAAAATTGAATCAAGCAAAATGATGAAAGTTTGAGTGAGTTAGAATTAAGTCATTCTGGTACAAGTTGCACAAACAAGTATTTGTGCCAAAATGGATTTAGTTATATCTTTCTCAGTTCTTAACCGTTTTTGATGAACTAAAAACCCAATTAAAGGTAATAGACGTGGTTCCAAGGCTATGCAAGACACGTGACCGTTTAACCAGTTGAAACCGATTTAAACCGGTCTTTGAACAGTTTTAAAAGATTTTTGAAATGAGGCAACCAGCAACTGGACCAACCCCAAATTTGGGCAACTGCAACTGAAAAAAAGACTGGACCATGGTCCGGTTCAGTTTGGTCCACCGGTTTTTTTCGGTCCTATGGACTGGACCTGTAAACACTACTCACAACCCCGTTTCTCACCTTGTCTCTTGTTGGTAGTGTTTGCAGGTCCAGTCTACAGGACTGAAAATATACATAGGACTGAACTGGACTGAACCACGGTCCGGTCTTTTTCCTCTTGCAGTTGCCCATATTTGTGGTCAGTCCAGTTGCCAGTTGCTATGTTTTTGTAAATATATAAAAACCGAAAAAGACCAGTTTAGACCAGTCACAACCAGTCTTTTGTCCCACCATGTGTTGTACCTTACTTGTGCACATTTTACTTAATTTTTGGTCCCTGAACCATCAATGACGGTTAAGAATTGGTTGAGATATGGCCAAAAACATTTTTATACATGCAATTTGAATGTATGTCCTCTCTGTTTTCGCCCTATCTCAGTCAAATCTTGACGGAATTGCTTAAGCTTTTAATCAGTCTACAGAGAATTAAATTATCTATCTACACATGCAATGTATGTGAGGTAAGATTTAGTTTCTGTGGTGTAATAAATTTTACAACAAAAGACTGGTTGCAACTGGTCTGGACTGGTCTTTTTTGTGTTGTGGACCGATTAGGACTGGTCTAAAATGGTCTGGTTGCGGTCCCTTAATATCTGGATCAGTCTAGACTGGTTGCGGTTGCCAGTTGCCTTGTTTTGAGGTAAAAAACTGGACTTAACTGGACTTTAAAACACTACTTGTTGGTGAGTGCTTTCATCATCCGTGTTCACCATACTCATGGCCCCTCATCTCCAGCAGTGCATACTTTCGTCCTCCTTAATTCACATTCGCCGTCCTCTCACCCTGATGCAGCTCCATGTTCACCAATTGCTGCAGATCATCCATCTGTGTAATACTCATGGACTTTGCCCCCATCACAATGTTCTATTGTTCATCCCAAAAGGCTGTCACTGACTCTGGAAATTATGCCTTTCTTATCCTCGTTTCTTATTATGTTGTACACTAGTAGTATCTGTATTTTGTTTCATTATACACCAATATATGGAGTTCTTTTAAAGCATCTGATATAAACTTGAGTGAAATCAAAGACTTATTTTTGCAAATCATGCACTTATTCTGAGCAGATACACAATGGATTAGAATGAATAAGTTGTGATCAGTGAAGAATCAGCTCCAATATTTTGGACACTTAGCTGATTGGGCTGATTTGCCTTATGGCACTTACTTGCAACTTATATTGACAGATTTTTTGCATATTCTGACACATTCCAGCTTATGACTACAGATAAGCAAATGGGGTTTTTCCTGATGCAGCATCATATGGAGGTCATGAGGCAATTGTAAAGCTGGTTATAGATGAAGGAGCAGATGTAAATGTGCAAGAAGGACACTATGGAAATGCACTTTGTGCAGCATTATATGCAAACCATACAGAAATTGCAAAGCTGCTCATAGAGAAAGGAGCAGATGTTAATGCACAGGGAGGACATGGAAGTGCACTTTATGCAGCATCACATCAAGGCCATGATGCAATCATGCAGTTGCTGATTGAGAAGGGAGCAGATGTGAATGAACAGGGAGGACAATATGCACTTTTGGCAGCAGTAAATGGAAACTATATGACAATTGCAACACTGCTGATAAAGAAGGGAGCAGACATAAATGCACAAAAAGGACACTATGGAAGTGCACTTTATGTAGCATCATATGAAGGTCATGAGGCAATTGCAAAGCTGCTGATAGAGAAGGGAGCAGATGTAAATGCATTGGAAGGAGCTTATGGAAATGCACTTTTTGCAGCATTATATAAGAGGAATGTAGCAATTGCAAGGCTCTTGATAGAGGAGGGAGCAGATTTAAGTGCACAGGGAGGATACTATGGAAATGCACATCACACAGCATCACGTGGAGGCCATGAGGCACTTATAAAGCTGATCATAGAGAAGAGGGCAGATGTAAATGCACAAGGAGGACAGTATGAAAATGCACTCCAGGCAGCATCATATGAAGGTCATGAGGCAATTGCACAGCTTCTGATAGAGAAGGGAGCAGATGTAAATGCAAAGGGAGGATACTATGGAAATGTGCTCCAGGCAGCATCATTTGCAGGCCATGAGGCCATTACAAAGCTGCTCATAGAGAAGGGAGCTGATGTAAATGCACAGGGAGGACAGTATGAAAATGCACTCCAGGCAGCATCATATAAAGGCCATGAGGCAATTACACAGATACTGATAGAGAAGGGAGCACATGTAAATGCACTGGGAGGGCCCTATAGCTTTGTTGAATTTGAAAGAAACTGGCTTTTCATCAATTCTTCTCTAGTTCTATGATTACTCTCTTTACTTCCAAAGAATGTCAAGAAGTGTGTGCTCCTTAGACTTTTGCAACTCCTATCTTCTTTATTATGTCATGCAATTCACTTGGTGTGAAGACCCTCAAGTTGGTTTCCTCAGTAGTTGTAGAGAGCTCTGTAATGAACTGTTGAGATAAACTTATCAAAAAGAAAGTGATTCATGTTAAACATGCTTGTTCCATCACACATTATTTATATCTCTGAACAATTTTTTTTTTTCATTGATTATACACTAATCCACTTTCTCAGATGCTGCTGTGAGTGTCACAGCTGGTCAAGGTGGGACATTCTAATCACATTTAGTAATTTACAGGGGTTTCTCTGAGTAAAATTGCCATTTTACCAGTACATTGTCAGGGCATTCAGTAGATGTTATTGTTCATTATTTGGTTTTGACCAGGGGGCTCCCATCTGCACATCCCATTAACACAACTACCTCTGACATGTACCAATTCCTATGTCAGGGTCTTCATACTATATCAGGAACTTTGATTAATAATACACCCAAATCCATACAAGTACATGTTGCTTAGATCAGTTCAAGCCACATTAACTTGAAGCAAATTATTGTAAAGAAATTTCAAATAATTTTGCAGTAACAATGTAACAATGTCTGAAGAATTGTAAACTGTTGTATTATATAAAGAAAAATTATAATAATTTTACATTTTTTCAGACTGCAAAATTATTTGAAACTTCTTTACAAATTTCTTTAGAGGATGGTCAGTTATAGGCAGAGTATGTACCAGAAGCAGAAATGAAAATTTGTGCAGGTAAGATAACTATTGATCACAGCTGGGCCATCTTATTGAGCTCTGTTATCACTGCTGAATCCCCTGCTGCAAACAGCCATGTTGTAAACAAATACAGGCACTTTGCCAAATCTTCAGCTTGTGTGCCCCCCCACACACTGCAGGGATTTGGCTTGGATGCATAAGTGAAGAGTTGTAATTTCAAGTCATTGCAATTTTCAAAAATGATGTCACTTTGAAAGAAAGAAAAAGTTTCAAGAGCTGGGTGGGGCCTCTAATGTTATGATCTGTGATGCTGAGCATTGTGTTCATTGCTGGTTGACTTCAATTTCTTTTTTTTTTTTTTTAAAAAAAATGAAATGACATCATTATTGAAAAGTGCAATAAATGTCCTTGATTTAAATATTTTTTACAGGCACAGGTCATCCATAATGCATATGGCATATAATATGGCAAGTGTCATGCCCCCAGCTGCTGTGTGTAGTATAGCACTATTTCCCTCTATGCTTTCCATAGACTATCTATCTGCTCACACATTACACTATATGGATGTATCTGTTCTTTCTTTGTGTACATCTCTACATTCCAATTTATGAGTTTCGCTATCCCTCAGCCCTGTTGCTCACATTTTGGTAAAAAATTGAGTGCATCATGCAGATAGAAAATTCAGGAGATGTAGTCAACACTGAATGATTTACAGTCTCTTGCCTTGTAAAATATATGAGCATAAATACAATTTTTTCTCTCTCCAGATTTGGAGGCATCCATTGAAAAATTGTGCTCAAATGTCAGGGTCCAGGTGTTATTCAAGTCTTCTGCTACCACTGACAGCCTGAAATCAGTCTTTTTCAGCAGATGGCAAATGCTCCAACCTTGGCAAAATAAGAAATGATTATAGTACCATTCTGCTGATGTTGTAGACTAATCTTTTGTAGAATCAAGCCATGTTTGGACTTTCTCCTGGGTCTTTTCTGCCTTCATTGCATGTGCTTGACGCTGAGCCTTTCTTGCATTGCACATCCATAACCCTAAGATTATGTTAGCAAAGTCAGGGGCCTGAGAGCCTGTGGCCTGCACATCCTTTTTTTTCTTCTCTCATCTGGCAGCCCATGCATCATGTTCAAGCTTATGCTGGTGAAGTTTCTGATCATCATAGTAAATATGCCTGGTGTGTTGTCAGGCCAAGTTCACAAATTGAGGCACCCCCCAGGTGTTAAGGGCAGCACAACCATAGGCAATGTCAAAGAGAAGAGGTGGTGGCCAGTCAGCATGGCCCAGATATTGCCTTGCATCTGAGTTGTAAGGTGCTATGAGTATGGTGACATGATCAGCATTGAAGTGATGCAATGTGAGGCAATTGACTGCAAGCCATGGAACGAAGCCCAGATGTTGGTAGTGTTTGAAAGTCCGGTCACAGGACTGGAAAAAGACCATGACCAGACCAGACCATGACCGATCAAGACTGGAAATTAATAGGACTGACAAAGACTGTAACCACAGTTCGGTCTACAGTCCTCTACGACTTTCAATAATTCAAGACTGAGCAAAAACTGAATTAACTGGTCAAAGACCGGTCTTTCGTGCTCGAGTCTTGAGGGCCAAACTTAGAATAGATTGAACCTCATATGTTTTTGATGAGAACCAAATAGTAACGTTCATCAACAAACAAAGTATTTTCTTCTCAACCACCACCACACCACTGATATGCCTGCAACGCAGTAGATGTGTATGGAAAATCCAAAACACACCAAATACAAAACCTTTGGAAATGGTTAGTGTTGCTTCGAGTGGCTCTGAAAGACACGAGACGGAGTTCTCTGGGCTTCTCAAAACAGGAAAGGTGATGTAGACACAACTCCTAATGTGTGGGAGTGCATCCGAAGGTGTGTGGGGAGTATGAGGATGTTAGGGACAATGTGAGTGGAGGGAATAATCGGAAAACGAATAATGCGAAGGTTGACAAGTGCACACAGTGTGCAGGACAATGGCAACGAGTATAATGAAGTGCTGAAACGATTATCAGCTGGAACAAGATGCGAATCGAGGGGTGAAGTACAACTTGTTATTTCGAAGTACTATGATACTACAAATACATGAATGTACAAATATTCAAAAATATTCAAAAAAAGGAAATGTGAAAGATAGAAACAAAGATAAGAAGTTCCGAAACATGAAACATGAAGATCGTAAGAGCAAAATCAGAGAAATGCAAAAGAAGTAAAAAAATGAATATAAAATAAAAGAAGAATAAGTAAGGGGTGGAAAGGCACCAATATATTCAGAAAATGGAAGCAAAGACTGGCTGTGCATGGTGATTGATCCTAGGTTAAAGCTAAACTCCACATGTGCAAACAATAAGACCGGATTGATGGGAATGGATGAATGCCGGAGTATGTGCCTGTGCGCATTCTTTCGCAATACAACTATTCGGGCATGTGTGAAGATACATCTGAAGTGGCGAGAAAGCGAAAGGGTAATTGTTGATGAGTCTGCGAATGTCTTGTGAACATGTGTGTGGAGATGTTGTCGAAATCCTCGCAAAGCTGTTGAATATTCGGAAGTTCGGATTTAAAGCGTGTACACATGATAGAATATTTGGGGTGTGTGTGGAAACACGTGAATGGAACATCCTAAAGTTGGTGAAGACGTCTGAACGTGTTGTTGAATCGAATATAGGCAGGAGGGGACGCGTGTGGAGTAAGATTCGCAAAGTTGGTAGAATATTCGGAAATTCGTTCGGAAATTCGGGTTCACGTGCCTAGGATAAGCGCGTGCTCATCACCACCATCCCTGCGACCACCTCCAATCCGTCACCATTGCCACCACCAACCACCACCTCTCACAATCATCCTTCAACTGCCGCCAACTACGCAGAAAATGATGACAACTTGGCAAGGCCACATCACCACCCAACGGATGAACGACAACAATGGACGGCGACAACATGGCACGTCAACGGATGTCCCACATTGTCCAGATAGTGACAACAACGACTCATGTCGTCACTATCTACATTACTGGAGGTGAGCAATGTGACTGCTCTCCCTCTCACCTTTATTCACACAAAGATCAGGGCATGTTGTTACAGCGATATGGCTGCAACCACAACCACCCCCTCCCTGTTCGACCACTCTAACCATCTCTGCACATGCTAACGGTGATGACGACATGGCCACCCACGTCACCAACTGAATCAATGAGCCCACATCATTTCGATGACGACGACACCCAACAACAACGCCTGCACACGCTAATGGTGATGACAACGTGGCCACCACATCACCAACTGAATCGTTGAGTCCACACCATTTCAACGATGATTTGGCACTACGACAACACCCACAAATGGCAGGTAGCAGCCAGAGATGACCACATCAGTTGACGTCGATCCAGGTGAGCAACTGTTACCCCCTTCCCCCTCTCCTTTTTTGACATGAGAAGCAGGGGTCACGTTGCCATCGATAAAATGTCAACCAGTAACCCATGAACGACGACGTTTACACACAGATGGACAACGGGAACGACGATACATGGATGAACGACACAGATGGCGTATGTTGATGGCGACATAACAGAAGAACGATGACGGTACATGGACAGATGGCATATGTTGACAAGGACCTGGTGTGTCAACGAATGGTCAAGTTGGATGTGAAGACATCCATAGTTACCTGTGTGCATTGTTACCAAGTCGTGTACAGTGACCCCCTCCCTTGTACATTGAAATATTTAGTATATTGTTGTTTCTTGGCCACCTGACCCCTACAAAGACCGGTTTAGACCAGTCGCAAACCGGTTAAGACCAGAACCGGTCAAAACTGGTCTCATAACCGCAAAAGACCAGTCTCTTGTGGTTCGGTCCTGTTTTTTGAAGTTTTTTGAATTGGGAAGACCGGTTACAGTTATGGTCTAAGGCACTGAGCACCAAAAAACCAGACTGGACCGGACTTTCAAACACTAGATGTTGGGCATTGGGTTGTATGGCAACATCCACATCATTAACAGACATTGCAAAATTGGGGGTCTACAAATTAGTTCAGTGACATGAAAAACAATTGGGAAAAATAACTAACATGCAAAAAAGCAACATTAGAATTCCCAAATGGTTCATGTAGGTGTGTCGCAAGTAGGATGCCATTACGTGGATCATTGATGTCATCCAAGGGTGGATCCAAAACTTCATTTCTATGATTGGCAAGACTATTCATGTACTGGGCCTGGAATGAGAAATAGAAAAACACACCTGGCTTCCCTTTGCATGAGGAAGGATATGACATGCCTGAAAGTTTTCTGTCACACCAGTTATGAGACAAATTCCATCACGGTCAGTCACCCTCTGGATGAAATCGCCCCGGTGAGTGGAGATAGTTGATGACTTTGAAGTCCTGTTGGCCATCAAATCAGGGTCAAGCAGAATTGGATCTGACATTGAATGGGCATTGAATATTGAACATTGAGAGGTCCTTGGACAATGGATGCCTAAATATGACTTGCCTTGCGAGTCGGGTATGTAGTAATAAACACCAGCCTGTATATAACCTCAGAATATTGGACCACTGGGCCAGTGGTGGACCGAGAGATGTGGCCTTCAGTGCCATAGATTGTAAACCCGACATACCGCAACCAGCTAAGAGGGTGCAGTGAGAAGCGCTGACAGGTCTCAACAGGAATGGATAGCGCAGGTTGCCATTCACCATGGATTGGCATCTGGAGCTCAACGATGGCCATGTTCGATGTTAAAATGTGGGTAACGAGTCTCAGCTTGCGTGGTTAGGCCGAGATGTGCTAAGGCCGATAAATTAAATTACGTAATAAATAGCCCTCTCCTCCTTCCTCAACTGACCAGAACCCGGACAATGGTAGCACAGGCTCAAGCCGCGCCACAAGTCAATGGAATCGACGAACATGCAAACAAAAATATTAACGGGAAACCTATAAAGTCCAAAAATCAGCTTCGACGGTTGAAGCTGAAGCAAAAGAAGGCGTCAACGGTGTGTGCTCTGGTTCATTTCAAACGGCGGCCTCGCTGAAGTTTCTTAATGCGGCCAGCAAAACGGCGAAGAAAGCCAACAAAATGGGGTGGTAAATGAAGAGAGGAGGTTCGAACAGTCATCTTATACCGAGTACGTATCTGAGCAGTTGGATCTCAACGACGCTGGGCTCGAAGCATTCTCCGACGTATTTGCTCGCTTCCAGCTCCCCCCTGATGAGACTTCAGTGCGTTACCCAACTTTTGATGCATTCGTGCCTTTTTATTCAAGTGGCTGCATCAGGGAAAAGACAGCGGGCCAACCAAGGGCGAGGTTATCTACTCGGACGACGACATGGCGTCAGAAGACGACTCGGACACTGAAAAGAAACCCCTGTCAAAGAAGAAGGCGCGCAAGTTGGCGCGGTTGACCGTTGCGGAACTCAAGCAGCTCGTCAAGAAACCTGAAGTTGTCGAATGGACAGACGTCACAGCCGCCGACCCGCGTCTCCTCCTCCACCTCAAGTCCTACCGCAACACCGTGCCCATCCCGATTCACTGGAGCGCTAAACGTGATTATTTGCAAGGCAAGAGGGGTATTGAGAAGCCGCCGTTCCAGCTCCCTGCGTACATCGCCGACACGGGTATCGCGACGATGCGGGATGCTGTGAAAGAGAAAGAGGCGAATATGAGTTTGAAAGCAAAGACGAGGGAACGGGTGCAGCCGAAAATGGGCAAGGTGGATATCGACTACCAGAAGCTACACGATGCCTTCTTCAAGTTCCAGACGAAACCACCTGTGACTGGTTTTGGAGAGATGTGAGTGGTTTGGTAATGATGATGTAAAATGCGTTATTGACCCTCTGCTAGGTACTATGAAGGTAAAGAGTTCGAGACGTCTTTGAAAGAGAAGCGTCCGGGCGACCTGTCACCTGAGCTTGTGGAGGCTCTTTCAATTCCTCCACTTGCACCGCCTCCTTGGCTTATCAGCATGCAGCGGTTCGGGCCACCACCAAGTTACCCTACCCTACGAATACCAGGACTCAACGCGCCCATACCTGAGGGGTGAGTGCTGGCACCGTTTCACCACTGCTCTTGTTCACGCTCTGCTCCAGCGCTCAGTGGGGTTTCCATCCAGGTGGTTGGGGAAAACCACCCTTGGACGAGTACAATCGTCCGCTGTACGGTGATGTCTTTGGTGTCCTTCCAAAAGCTGGAGATACAGGCGTAAGAGTTCTCCATTTACTACGTACATGTGCTCATCATTCACTCAGGTCGGGGAACCTATCGACAAGGAGCTATGGGGAGAGCTCGAACCGGAAGAAGGCACGTCCATCACCTTCGTTGATACTCTCCTTCTGATTCTCACCACCATACCTTTACAGAAGAGGAAGAAGAAGAGAGCGAGGAGGAATCAGAAGAAGAGGAAGCCAACGAGCCAGCACCGTTCGACGGGCTGCAGACACCATCAGGTCTAGAAACACCTTCAGGCATGACCAGTGTCGTGTCAACGGTCGCAGGTGGCCTGGAGACTCCCGACTTCTTGGAGCTAAGGAAAGGGCGGTCGGTGTCGGAGGCGGTGGAGTCGTCTGGGCCCAGGTCGCTGTACCAAGTTGTTCCGGAGAAGCAGACGTCGGTGAGGGGGTTGATGGGGAGCGAGCGTGGCTACGACGTTTCTGGTGTTTCTGGGGCGCCTATACCGGTTCTTGGGGAAGAAAGGGGTACTAAGGTTAGTCCTTGCTTGTTTGTTCTTTTTGACCTCATCTTTGACTGTGAATCTGAACTTTAGCGAAAGAATGGTGTGGAGGTGTCGTTGGATGCCGGTGAGCTGGAGGGTCTTTCGGAGGATGAGCTGAGGAGGAAATACGATGCGCATGCGAGGGGGAACGCGGGTGTTCCTGGGGCTGGGAGTAGAGGGGAAGATTTCTCGGATATGGTGGCCAAGGAGATGGCGAAGAAAAAGCAAAAGATGGATCGGGACAGAAATGATAGGGATGGGAAGAAGGGGAAGGATTCATTCAGGTTTTGAGTGGGGTTTTTCTGACTGCCTTGCTCGCTCTTTCACTTTTTTAACTTGCTCTATTACTTATAATCCAGAACGCTGTACTCGCATTAGCTGAAAACCATATGAGACGTTGTGAAATGCTACATGTTACAGGGGCTGAGTTACAAGACAAGAGTGATATGTACAATACAGATAGCAAAGAAATGGATGCAAGACGAATGTTTTAGGAGACCAACCCCTCCTCCTTATACCACCCCTCCAAGCTCTGCCTCTGCACATCCCAAAGGTGCTGGCTAAGCTTCACCAACCTCGGCTTATACGCCACCATCTCCTCCTGACTCACAATCGAATTGAAATCCAGAGGCGTCATCCGCCTGGGCAACGTCGTCCCATAGGCACCACCAAACGTCAATCGAACCCAAAGTTCCTTCAGCGCATGCACGATCATCGCATGGCGCTGGGTATACCTGACCCCTTTTGCGACTGCATAAAACGTCGGTCTGGTCGCGTGCATGCATACGGGTTTCCAGGTCAATAGTTCACATGAGATCGAGTCGAGGATGTAGAGGATCTTCGCGGTGATTGGCCTTTCGGGTTTCGAAAGCTTGATCACGATCGTTCCGAATGGGGAGACGCTTTGTATCCCGATGATCAATTGGGATATGAGCAGTCGGTCGCTGACGTTGTTGAGCGGCGCTAACCCGTCTGCCTCGGCTACGCGTAGGGGGTGGCCGTCCAGGAGGACCAAGTCGAATGTGTGGGTTATGAGGCTTGAAGGGAGGGGTCGTAAGTTTGGGTATAGGTATGTGCCTAGTTGGTATGTGGTTATGTCTGCTAGGTGGAGTTCGAGACGGGGTTGGAGGTCTTCTTCGAGGAGGAAGCTGTGCCCGCCGCTTGAGACGGGAAGGGAGAGGCCGACGCCGTAGGCGTTTGGGTTCTTGGATAGGATGTACGATGAGAATCCTCCTGGGCAGCAACTGGTATATGTCATAAGGTGACGACATTTGCGTGATAGATAGACTCACCCAACGTCTAGGAAGCTCAGCGGGAAGTGAGTCGGTACGCATCGTAGTGCGGTGTCGATTTCGTCTAGAACGAGTTTCATGGATCGGAACCAAGCCTGTTGGAGATGGGGTTCAGGCGTATCTGACTGCTTTCGCTGGAAGTGAAAGTATGCATTTAGGGAAGGGCCCTGTTGGTGTTTCTGGGGTCGGGAATCAGCGCACGTGAGAGGGAAGGTCGTAACACAGAATGTAAGGGACGCACCGAGAATCGGACTTGGTTGAGCATTTTCAAAGACTTGTCCTCGATGAACGACGATGCCATTTTGGTGGTGATTGTGGGGAGGCACATGCAGGCCCGAGAAGGTTATCTACACGTTGCCTCATGGCCCTGTGAGATTCTGAGTCAGGAGGCCTAGAAACGGGCGCTTGATAGCTGCGCAAGGATGTCCAAAAAGGCGATGCAACTGAGGAAGCTTCTATCTTCGGCCAAAGTGACGAGTAGGAAGATTGATCATGTTACTCGTGTGCTCGAATGAACGTAGCTTGACAAGAGGGATTGGCAACGCCTTCGGCTTCCAAGAGCAGCTCGCACCAGGGGCACCGCGAGGAAAAGTCCGAGACTCCAACTCCCTCAAGATCCCATTCCATCAATTCCCACACTACACGGGGATGCCTGCCATAACGGGAACATGAAATGATATCATCCAAGCAGGGGCGCCACTGACCAGTGACCACCCTGGGCCAAAGTGATGCTAGGCCAGGAGTTAGAACCTAACACCCCCAGAGTGGGTGGTTAACTGGTCACACTCACTTGCAAAGTTGTGGATTCCTCAACCGTAGGTTCCAAGTTCATATGGAAAGGGCTGAAGGAGACAAGAGACCGCTTTGAGCTTGTACAGATGTGCATACATAGACAAACAAAACTGATAGACAAAACTCTTCAAAAATCAACCAATCATCAACTTCAAGCTTCATCAACCTACACTCCGGCTCCAGTCCTTCCTGTCATTGTGCGCCCTGATCCTGTTATAGAGGTTGGTCAAAAGTCCCCATCCGACAAGTTCAACGTTCATTCAACATTATTCATCAATGCCAAATATAAATGACCTTCCTCCGGAAATTTTTGGACTCATTTTGGAGTCATTGCATGTCGATATGACAAAACATGAAGGAGAAGTCAATATTGGATTGGCTGCCATTTGCCTGACATGCAAACTCTAGAAGGACTTCACATTCTCCACTCCAGAACTTTGGTCGTGCATCGAAATCATCAATGGTGACGCCCTGTGAAAACCACGGCGGTTTAGTTTGGCTCGGATCTGCTCAGATCGGACAAACGAAAATTCAATAGATTTAAACCGATGTCAACTGATGATTTAGACTATATCCGATGAAAATATGTTCATATCGGTTGGGGTGGGCTCCTTTGCAGATTAAAATGTTGCCAACTGATTAAATCGGTTTTCTACGGTTGAACGAAAGATAGAAATTTTTGATGGAATGGTGCTATATTCAATACTAGGGCCATTGGAATGAATGCAGGTTGCATTATACAGTACTATATACAGTAGTAGGCAGTACAAGAAACTACAGAAGGCTGCCTGAAGCCAGCCGCCCCCCCATGACAGTGCTACACCCTGGTTGCAACATCACACCCCGAGACCACCAGGCCCTATCCCCACACCCCACTGACCCAACCACCACCCAATACTCGTTGCAGAGCTAGACCGGCATATGTTTTGCGACAACATCACATTGACCTAGCAAGTTTCAGATTAGGTGCTCCAAGTTATAGTAAAATAGGACTCCACCTACGTATTCCGACAGAGGGGAGTGTTGCTGTACCAGTCATACAAAGTACCCAGCCAGGTACTTTGGATGAAGGGAACGGCAAGCGGTCGAGAAACTCAGTCTTCTAAAAAACCGACAGTTGTAGGGGAGATGATGGAAGAGGGTACAGAGGGTGTGGGGGTGGCGATGCAGTGGTAGGAAGATGGAAACGGAAAACTTCAGAATGCAATGGACCAGATGCACATGATAGAGGTGCATGTGAAAGAGGACTTGGACAGAATCGAAAATGTGATGCTACGCAATTTCGATGTGGCATGACTAGCGCATGGTGCCTACAAAATCCGCTAAGATTTTTGTTGTCCTGTGGAAGAAAATATGGACAACTTTTGTATTTTCATGTGGACGAGTTTTGCCAAGTTAATTTTAATTCGTTATGAACCGATTAGAACAGATAACTGTGAACAAATCCTTTTTAAACATATGTGATCCGAACTAAACCGCCGTGGTTTTCACAGGGGGTGATGACTTTACACTTGAGACAGGGTCCAATGTTTGATCTAGGCAAAGGTACCTCCATAATTGTCAACACTCCTAGAATAATAAAGCTGTTGTGTATGCCAAAAACATTGATTAACAAAATTTTAAACTGTTGAACAATAAGAACATCAGCCATATTGACAGACCAATTCCATTATTTTATTCTTTAACATATTCTTCAGCTGAGTGGTGTTGCCATGACTACCAAGACTATTTCTCAAAGACATTGTTTAAATATGCAAATTAAATGTGGTTGAAGTTCTTATTGTTCTTCATTTTCTAATTTTGAGAATTAATGTTTTCGGAATGCACATTTGCTTCATTATTTTGCAAGTGGCCACAATTAAGGAGGTACATTTGTCCTGATTATTTATTAGGCCCTGCCTCAAGTGTTAGCTCACATTCAAAAGTCTCGAAGTGGCTCGGTTGATCCAAAAACCAACCCCTTTCTTTAGTCTTCATCTACTACAAGTTGGCAAGAGATCAACTAAAGCTTCTTGTAGCTCACTCACACCGATGGCATCACATTTCTCTATGCTTTAGCCAGTACTTTGGTGGCGTCGAGCTCCCAGACAACTTCCTCGCTCCTATCTTGGAAAGTGTTATCATTGATGCACTGTGTGGGGGGTTCAATAACAATGTTTTCTACTGCAAGTGATGCTTTGATGATATTGGAGAAGGGGATCAATCTTCGGACTTGCTCCCTACGGATTGAGGGATGTGATGTACTCTCAGCTAAACCTGTGACCTCTTCGGTTGGCTGCTTGAGCCTTGTAGTTGTAGACACTGACGGCCCGAAGGAATTCTTTAAATTCCTAGATGCCTGGAGCCTCACAAATCTATCCATCATTTTCACTGAATGGTGTCATGACCGTGGCACTCTTTTTTATATCCTTTCCAAATCCTTTCGATGACCCATTCCCATTTGTCCACCCTGACAATTACGGAAATCAAGATGCCTGCGGACGAGTTCCTCAATTGTCTTATGCTCCTTACTGAGCTCACCACCCTCAGAATCTTGAAACCTTGGGATATGTCAAAAACTGACCAAATCAACAATAATATAATGAACCTCCTCACATTCCAAGGTGAAGAAGCTCCAAGACCTCTCTGCCCTTTGTTAGAAACCATCACTCTGGAACTGTGTGTCAGGGCTGACGATGGTCTTTTTTAACATACAGCTGTAATTTGACTTCCCATTGATACGCATAAGGCCACAAAAATTGAAAATTCAAGCTATCGCCAGAAGAGCTGGCATCCATGAGCCATGGCGGGGCGGCGCTCCAAGTCTTCTGACCTTGTTGCACATTTCACCACTAGTCAACTGCTAGTTCTTCGTAATTTTCTTGCCATACACCGGCGACATCTAGTCCAGTGAGGTCACTGTCACCGTTATCCTGGACGAAGTCGAATCTCACCCTCCTCTTTTTGAGCCAATTTCCTCATCCATTGCAGCTTACCAGTGCCATCATATACAGCATGTAGCCTGCTCGTCCAAGAACATTGGCCACAACCTGCAATGCCTAACATAAACGACCTGCCTCCGGAAATTTTGGGCCTTATCCGAGTCTTCATGTCTAGTGTTTGGAAGTCCGGTCTCGTGACTGGAAAAAGACCGTAACCAGACCGGACCAAGACCGCAAAAGACCGGACCTGCGGTTACGGTCTTTTATTTTTGAAATGTAAAGACCACAAAAAAACCGGTTAACGTGAACCGGTCTTGACTGGTTTGGACCGGTCTTGACCGGTTTGGACCGGTCTTTTGTAACCCCTTAAATACCCTTTAAAACGCACCCAAGAACGTACGATTCGGTAAAAAAAACGAGAGAGATATGAATTAAAATGTAAATTACTTTTGGGAATAATAGATGTACCAGACTTATTTTATAGAAGCACCAATTCCTAATGGAATTTAATGTTCTTGGGCTCGTTTTGAAGCTATTAGAGATGTTAATAAATCTACCGATTCATAATTTTAAAATATTGGCCTAAAGACCGGTCATAAACCGATTAAAACCGATGCAGACCGAAACCGGTCTACAGACCGCAAAAGACCGCGGTCTGCAGTCTTTTTGCGGTCCGGTCTGGTCTTTTGACTTCTGGGGAAAAGGCAGACCGGTTACAGTTACGGTTAACGCCCCTGGGCATCAAAAAACCGGACCGAACCGGACTTTCAAACACTATTCATGTCATTCTACCGGGACCTGGAGAGAGGAGAAGTCGACATCGGATTAGCCGCTGTCTGTCTGACGTCCAAACGCTGGAGCGACCTCGCGCTATCTACTCCAGAACTTTGGAGTTGCATTGAGATCATCTTCGACCCCATCCAATCCACCATACCGATATCAAACCCCCCCTCGTATACAAAAGTCTCAAGCTGGCTCAACCGATCTAAAAATTGGCCACTTTCTTTGACTGTGACAGGGGACTGGCTCTATGACTGCGAGCCTGCATCCATAAAAGCTGTATTGCCACTTCTTATCGCTCACTCGCACCAGTGGCATCGTGTCTCTTTTGGCTTTGGTTTTTGGTTCCGACCAACACACATCTGCCTCCCTCACACCTTCATTGCTCCTATCTTGGAAAGCATTGAAATTATTTGCGACAACAAATCGAACAATTACAACAAAAGATATGTTTTCTGTGAAAGACCATTGTGTGGATCTCCTGCCTTGCAAAGCTATACTCATCGAGGACCCTATCACATCAAATCCGATTCCCTGCCGTCCGATCTTCCTTGGAAGCAATTGAGAAATCTTGAAGTCACTAATCCTACAAATGCGATGAACGCTCTGATATGGCTGGGAAAGGCCGTTAATCTCCACAGCTACTACGTTACGCTAGGAGCGGACAAGATCTGTGATACCGTAGTAACATCTACCTTCTCTTGCGTGACATGGTATCATCGTATTTACTCTTATTTGTATCTTGTTATAATGCTTTATGATAGACAAATAAAGCACTTGCAAACTTCCACCTAAACTTATATGTGGAGCGAGTCATATTTATCTAACATGGTTAGGCGACCTCGAGCCTCCCCTCCGGGATACCAGAGCCCTGTGCTGGGTGACAGCTCCCCTGTCCCAGGGTTACAGGGAAACCAACTCGAGGCTTCGCTAGTCGGAGCCGCTAACCGCTCTCTCATTCGGCAACCACGTTGGCTCTCCTCCATGGTTACGCGACGGCGGACTCATCAAGAAGTCCTTAACGATCAGCAAGTTTCACAATGGTGGGGGCACCGCGGACTTCATCAACATGAAGTCCCGGAGTGCCTAACTACAGAGGAAACACAACAGGTGAGCGCCACCAACTCTATCTGTCTACTAACGACAGTTTCTAGGCTTTCCATCCCTCTAAGCCCTCGAACGGATGGAACGTCCACCAAGGACCCTACGAAACCCTCGTTAGCGCGCTTCCCCGCAGCTCTCGAGGGTAACAATGCAACGAACGACCCTATCGAACCTCCGTTAGCGCGTTCACCTGCTGCTCTCGAAGGTAGCGACGCGGACAACGAATCTTCATCATCCGTGACTCTAGCGTCGTTCACCCAACCAACGAGTAGTTCAGTCAACCCCTACAAATCCGACGATTCGACAATCGCTTCCATTAATTCACCTCTCCCAAATTACACGAGCTATGCCCTACGACCTCTACTACTTTTGAACTACTCGGTCAAAGAGGAACCTCCCCCAAAAGAAGGAAATTCCCGCGTGAAGACGACCCTAACTCCAAACCTGTCTGGGAAATTCTTACCCTGTCCATACCCTGATCATCAGCCAACCCTACTTAAACTGGGTGCTTGCCAGCGAACTCCCTCATCCTATTCCTCCATGAGTTCAACAACCCCCTCCGGCGGCAGCCATATGCCATCTTCGGGTCCAGTGCTCACTGGACCCCACCTACCTGGCAAAGTCGGTCCAGGGGAATCCTCTTCACTCCCCGCTGCTTCCCAAAGCGCGAAACACGTTCCCATAGCGAATAGAAATGCGAGCACACAACCCGCTGCTAATAAAAGCGCGAGTGCAATCCCCGCTGCTCCCAGAAGCGCGAATAACTCGAATAAAGCTACTCAAAAGCCCTCGACCTCAGGCGCGAATCAATTCGCAGCCTTCAGTCAGACAGCGCAAACTGCACCATCGGACGCAGCCCTGGCTCTTAGAGACGAGCTATTGAACCTCCAAACCGCTGTCCGAAAAGAGACCATCGACGACGAAGCGCATATGTCCGCCTCTAGTCATACCAAAGGTAGAGGAACTCGGCGTGCTGCTTCCATGGCAACTTCTACAGAGCTCGAGGAGACTGAGTACAAAACGATCTTCTGGGACATAGAGGGAGTCAGGAACTTGCCCATATGGGCTGAACCTATCATCCGGTCGTCGGAGCGAATGTTCGGCATGTTCGACCCATCCGCGGATGAGGACGCCCTCGTACCCCTCGGCGCCATCGACGGGATAATCCCAGGCAGGACGAAGCTCGACTGCGATCGGCTGAGATGTGCCATCGAGTTAGTCTATACTACCCCCAGGGACTGTCGATGGGAGAATCTAGGTACCGCAGTCCGAAAGTTCGCCGAATACGAAGTCAGTAGAAACGATCTAGTGAAGTACACTGGACTAGATGTCACTTACGGAATCGAACGTACTCTACTCTTGGAAGCCTCGCAAGTTGTTGTAACTGTTGACCAAGTATTACAAGTCCTGGCGGACTTCTTCCGCAAGCGCGAGAGAGAACGCTTTGTTCTTGATCAGCAGTTCGCGTTCTTAAGACTCATAGCCTCTAGCAAGAGTAGAACCGAAATACTGGCTACGTATCGGATTCTGCAACATCGAACCACCATAGCCTCAAAACACTTGGTGCTGCAAATCAACGCCCTCACGAAAATGTATAGATCGGGTTCTGATCAGATGTCTATTAGTTCTTATGAATCGACTAGACCGTCCCTACGATCCGCATTCGGCAGCGAGTCTGCTAGGAAGGAGGTCGGCAAGTTGCTTGCAAGACCAGACTACTTCAGCAAGATGCCCCAGGACCTAGCGGAGATCGCTGCATATTTGCGCGATCGAGCCTATAAAGATAGGCCTGTCCCCAAAGAATTCACCATCCATCGGACTTGTAATGCCCTTCCATCGCTAAGAGCCGGATCCTCTATCTCAAGCGAGCCCACCACCCATACTACTGGACCTGAATCTGCGCGAAACCCCGCTGCAAGTGAAGGTCAGAGCGTCAGGTTCGTTACTGAACCGCCTATCCCTGGATCTATATCGGTTCTTCTTTCTAAAAAGCACCCCGTAACACGACTACCTGGAATAGGAGCGGTTGGCGTGTCCGCAGTAGGAACTTCCTCTGTAAAAACTACGACCACCAATAACACTCCAGCGACCGTGATCTCCGACATTAACAATGACAACCTTAGGGCACCTGCAGCGTTTACTTCGCGCATACCCAGCCCTAAGTCATGGACCAGCTACACATTCAGACAGAGGAGCAACCCTATGGGAGTCCAATCGCCGTCTAGAGCGAACGGCGACGGCAATAACCACCGTGGAATCTCTACCGCTCGTAATGACGGTCCCCCCCCAGGAGGATCGCCTCCTTCCAGCAACAACGATGACCATGGAAGACGACCTAACCCGGATCCTAATGGATCGAACCCCCCAGCCTCCTGGTACGTTCCCCCTAGGGGTAACGGAGGAGGAGGCGGAGGAGGAGGCGGCGGAGGAGGCGGCGGAGGAGGCGGTGGAAGAGGCGGTGGAGGAAGTGGTGGAGGGGGAGACGACGGGAACCCGTCTTCTCAAGAACCACCACCCTGGTGGCGAACTCCAGAGGAATGGCACACTAGTGCCTACCACTTTTATGATAAAACCTGGGCATTTGCCTGCACAGCCTTTTCAATCCCCCCAAGTGAAATATGAAATGAAATGCCTAGGCTATTTCATTCTTGCTTTGCAGCTATTTCATTCCTACCCACCACATTTTTCATTTCTCCTTGGCAATGAAATGCATTTCATTCTTTTGCCTGTGCTTTTTCATAACTTTTTCATTCTTTGCCAACTTTATTTCTTTTCTTTTCATTCTTTGCCAGTATCATTTCATTCTTTTGCCTGCGCTTTTTCATAATTTTTTTCATTCTTTGTCAGTCTTATTTCATTCATTTGCCTGTGCTTTTTCATAACTTATGTATTTGTTTGGTTATGATGGGATCAAAATATAAGACATGTGATCTTTTAGTTGCCTCAATTTACATGTTTATTGCTCAATTAAGTTAGATTATGGCCTCAAATACAAACAAATGTAAAGATCACAAGCCAGGGGTTGATTAGGTCAAACTATAGCTAATAATTTGAGAATACATATGTTTATTATTTACAAACAAATAATGTGTCTAGTTATGAAAAGGCTTAGAGAAGCAATGAAATGAGTTTCATTTTTTTAAAGTGCAACCCTAACCTTAAACATGGCAAACAATGAAATAATAAGTTATGAAAAGGTGCAGGCAATGGAATGAAATAGGACTGGCAAAGAATGAAAAAAAAATTATGAAAAAGCGCAGGCAAAAGA